AAAATATTTTTTGATTTCGACAAAACTTCATCCAGTGTGATAACCCATCATCAGAAATGCGGACCCAACTTTTTGAGCCATTTCCTCTTACTGTAGCCGGGTTACGGTAGGCAGGTGGGCACCTGCGTATCTCAGTATTTATGAGTTTTTATTAGGCAAGTGATATATCAATCGATAGGTAATTCAATTTTAGGAACTTTTACAGTACATACCATCATGGGTTACGGTGGGAAAATTTTGAGTTACGGTACTTTTTGTGTCCGCCGAGTCAGTTTTTCGACCACCATGAGCTTGAGCCGGGAGATCCATTCTTCCTAACTTCTCAAAAGATACCTTATGAGAAGCTGTACAAGCTGTTACTAGTTTGAAAAAAATCCCTAGGTGGACCATCATTTCGAAAAAAATCGCCTCGAAGGCGCGCAATCGTGGTCTTGCGGCGGCCAAGTGGGTGAAGTCCATGATGCCTGACGGCTCATTCTTCAGAGATCCATTCCAATCTTTGTTTCCATTTTCACTAATAGACATCTATTATTGATTTTTTTATTTCAATTTGAGATGTTTTTCGGGTTGACCATCATCTCGAAATTTCATTTTTGAACCCAAATTTGGCCTAAAATGGCCGACTCGGCCTTTTTCACGGGATCCCTGACCCCGTATGTGACCGTTCTCAACTTTTTTCTTTCTTAAACATGAACAAGAGTGTCTGAACAACAGTTTTATAACAATCGGAACCCCTTTTGAGAGGACCATCATCTCGAAATTTCATTTTGAACCCAAATTTGGCCTAAAATGGCCGACTCGGCCTTTTTCACGGGATCCCTGACCCCGTATGTGACCGTTCTCAACTTTTTTCTTTCTTAAACATGAACAAGAGTGTCTGAACAACAGTTTTATAACAATCGGAAACCCTTTTGAGAGGACCATCATCTCGAAATATCGATTTGAACTCAAATATCGGCTTAGTTTCCCCATTTGAAGTTTTTATCATTTACATCGAAATCTATTCTGCCAATTTATTTTTCAAAACAGCTAATCAAAAAAATGAGAAATGTGAAATACCAAGAAATTTTTTTCATAAAAGAGAAAAACTCGTCTTTCTGACTACCGGTGAGGTTGAAACTTAACTTTCAAGGTGATTTTTTTAAAAATGTTTTTATTATAACCTAAATAGTAGTTCTAAATCTTCAAAAATTTTTTTCATACCTAAAAAAACAAGACATTCGTCTTGTGACTATTTTTTTGTGAAAAATAACCAAAAATATTTCGATTTTTCAAGCAAAATTTTTATTTAAAAAGTGGGTTTCCTAGGTAAACGGTCATTTTGGAATTGGTCCAAAATAAAATTTTATTTTCAGTTCTCATCTTTATATTCTCATCAAAAAGTTAAAAGGGCCAAGATCTGTATTGAGGGAACCAATAATTTCATTGGAAGGGTAAACCAAAAGTTTTCAAGCCAAATTCATGTTAAAATCGATATTTCGAGATGATGGTCCTCTCAAAATGGTTTCCGATTGTTATAAAACTGTTGTTCAGACACTCTTGTTCATGTTTAAGAAAGAAAAAAGTTGAGAACGGTCACATACGGGGTCAGGGATCCCGTGAAAAAGGCCGAGTCGGCCATTTTAGGCCAAATTTGGGTTCAAAATGAAATTTCGAGATGATGGTCCTCTCAAAAGGGGTTCCGATTGTTATAAAACTGTTGTTCAGACACTCTTGTTCATGTTTAAGAAAGAAAAAAGTTGAGAACGGTCACATACGGGGTCAGGGATCCCGTGAAAAAGGCCGAGTTGGCCATTTTAGGCCAAATTTGGGTTCAAAATGAAATTTCGAGATGATGGTCCTCTCAAAAGGGGTTCCGATTGTTATAAAACTGTTGTTCAGACACTCTTGTTCATGTTTAAGAAAGAAAAAAGTTGAGAACGGTCACATACGGGGTCAGGGATCCCGTGAAAAAGGCCGAGTCGGCCATTTTAGGCCAAATTTGGGTTCAAAATGAAATTTCGAGATGATGGTCCTCTCAAAAGGGGTTCCGATTGTTATAAAACTGTTGTTCAGACACTCTTGTTCATGTTTAAGAAAGAAAAAAGTTGAGAACGGTCACATACGGGGTCAGGGATCCCGTGAAAAAGGCCGAGTCGGCCATTTTAGGCCAAATTTGGGTTCAAAATGAAATTTCGAGATGATGGTCAACCCGAAAACATCTCAAATTGAAATAAAAATCAATAATAGATGTCTATTAGTGAAATGGAAACAAAGATTGGAATGGATCTCTGAAGAATGAGCCGTCAGGCATCATGGACTTCACCCACTTGGCCGCCGCAAGACCACGATTGCGCGCCTTCGAGGCGATTTTTCGAAATGATGGTCCACCTAGGATTTTTTCAAACTAGTAACAGCTTGTACAGCTTCTCATAAGGTATCTTTTGAGAAGTTAGGAAGAATGGATCTCCCGGCTCAAGCTCATGGTGGTCGAAAAACTGACTCGGCGGACACAAAAAGTACCGTAACTCAAAATTTTCCCACCGTAACCCATGATGGTATGTACTGTAAAAGTTCCTAAAATTGAATTACCTATCGATTGATATATCACTTGCCTAATAAAAACTCATAAATACTGAGATACGCAGGTGCCCACCTGCCTACCGTAACCCGGCTACAGTAAGAGGAAATGGCTCAAAAAGTTGGGTCCGCATTTCTGATGATGGGTTATCACACTGGATGAAGTTTTGTCGAAATCAAAAAATATTTTTTTTATTGTGCCCGTTGCTTTTAGAAATTTTTGAGAATAACGGAGACAGCGTGTTAAACCTGACAAGGAAGTTAATTTCACTTTGCGGTTGGGATTTTCCTGAAAAATGGCCAGAACACTCCTTGATGTACCAGAATAAGATTCTGAATACCTTAACCTGCACAACTTCCTAGTTTGAAAAAAAAAGAAAATTCAAAGTCAATGAAAACCCTAAACTTCGTGAAAAAATTCGCAGGTTGGGATTTTCATAACCTTCTTCTGGTACATCGAGAGACGATCTGGACAGTTTTCAGAAGAATCCCAACCGCAAAATGAAAAGACCTACTTTATGAGATACAATGTAAGGCAAAATCCAATTCGCTCTCAAGTTCGAATCCTACTTAGTACAAACTCGGACACTCTTGTTAGGGTTTATATTGAGCGGTGAATAAATTCATTAACATCAGTCTCAATAGGTTTATTCCTACTTTTAAACGCAGAAAATCACCTTCCACATGTAGTTCTCCTTGATTATCCCGACTTGCTCAGCAGGCATGACGATCTCGTCGCTTCTGCATACGAAAATAATGGTGAGAATAAGAAAAAAAAATCAATTGACAGGGAAAAAGACTATATTTTGTTGAAGTCTATTCCATCCAACAAAAAACATTTCTGTGAAACTAACTTGATGGCGTTGTACATGGAGATAAGCATTTCCGGCTCAAAATCTTGGCCGCCATTGGTACCAGAGAGATTCCGTTTGAAACAGTCGACTGTCATGGGAGGTTGGTTTCGTTTCACCTATAGTTATACTATGAAAAAATTTTCAACGATACGTTGTGTTATAGCTGAAACAAGCTATTCGTTAAATTATCTCATTTTTAACAAATTTTATACAGCTGTGTCCAACATGTTCAGTTGGTTATCACACAAAAAGCAGTTCGATAACATTTTCTCAGTAAATAACAGCCGGAAACCTAAAATCAACAAAACCAACCGAGAAACAATTGAAAAAACTTATTTTTTGCCCGATTCAGATTACGAAGCAATTTATTGAACACATTTTTATCAATCAATGGAGTTTCAAGTTCATTTTACCATTTCTTGCTTCACTTTTAAAAACTATTATTCAAAATTAAAAAAAGCCCTGAATTCAGATTCCCTTGATTTTTTTGTGGGTTTTTGGAATGATTCAGCAGAAAATCTCTTCCGAAGACTTAATAAATGTTTAAATATTCGTTGAATAATCAAAAAAATTAAGAAAATTTAGTGAAATTGGGTGGTATAAAAAAAAACACCAGCAAAAAAATTCAAACGGCGACTTTTTCCGATTTTTTTCATATCGCTGTGGAGCTTTCCGACGGCCACCTTTCCGACGAAATTTTTTCCGACTATTTTTCTCGATAAAATCATCGTTTTAAATCTTCCTATATAAAGTAGGTAGTTTATTCATGATTAAACACACAAAGAACATCGAAAAACTCCGCTTTTGGTTCATGAAGCATTCCCGAAGTGTTTTTATTTTTTGTTGCCTCATTCAACAAAAGATTTTCGGAAACTGTTCAATTCTCTCCTGGAGTTTTTTACGCAGGAACTGTTGCTCTAAACTACTAAACCTGCGGGTTATGCTGATCCATATTTAGCATAATGACCGCGTACGACAATGTGAAAGCGGCGTCCACATGATTGAAAGGTTCGTTGTTAGCCCGGTACCATTCATCTAGACAAGAAACCAGGATAAGAGGCATTACTGTCGGAAAAATACCAGAGAAATGCTGCATCACCATGCTGATTTCAGCCGCCTCGCCAGGTAAACGGAACGTTTCGAGGAACATTCGCAGAGCGACATCAAGTCTCGTATTGGCGAACGGGAAAGATTTGACGAAGGCTTCTAGTACCTAAACTAACTACTTCAAAACCTCGAACACCACACATATATCGAACCTCGGCGTTTTTTCTACTGCAGATGAAGTCGGCAATGCGGTTTTTGTCCAGATGAGGATTGGTGCGCAGCCACTGAACCACTGAGAGAGCGTCCGTTCCGAGTAAACCTTTCTCCCGCATGAATGCGATACCTATGTTCGTCGAACATTTCAGAAACCGTCCATTTTCCCGGATTCGTACCTTCTTTGGGGTTTTGGTTGAACAACTCCGTTCCATCAGCAATCATTCGTTTGCGTTTCTTCTGATTGATGACCTCGCTAAGTGAGGGCAAGTTGGCGCTAGGCAAATGACGATTCGAACGCAGTTGAAGAGGACTTGGCTTTTCGTCCGTTTCCGCAACCACTGTCTCTATCGCACCTGACACTATTCGTCGTCCAAGGTCGTAACCGCTCAACACTGGAAGTTCCAACTTCCTGCTCCTACAAGGCCAAGAAAATTTTGCGAAATTTCCGAAAATCGTGAAAAACATTTTTTTTAGTGATCTCAATCAAAAGAAAAAAAGGTTCCGAAAATTCAATCTTAAACGAATAATGCTTCAATTCTCAAGCTTTTGTAGTCAATGTGCGAAACGGTTGCAATGCGTTTGGTGCCAGTCCCAAATGTATGACCTATACCTAATATAAATTGCTAAAATTCCAAATGACCTTCTTTGAAAATTATTTGTTGTGAATAAAAAATTGTCCCAAAACATGCGCAAAATGCGAATTTTTGGAGCTGGCGCGGAAAGAACTTCAAAAGCATCGCATTATTTGCACATCAGCTGCAAAGAATGCAGCCGAGAAGATAAATTATACAAATTGGAGACCATACTCTGTGTCAATGACGGCATCGGCATTCTTTGGAGTTCCGATCTGACGGAAAGCACAGTTCTGGTCGATATTCTCAATGACGACCAACAGCGCATCCAACGAGAGCAGAGACGCAGTGTAGCCACCCAACGATGGGAAAGCGTTTTCCACTAACAACTTGGTCAAATCTTCGAAAATATTCCTGAAACAGATTTTTTGAACACGTGTAGAAAAAAACAACTTGTTGGATTCAAAGAAAAAAGGATTAAACACTGGAAAATAGCGGTTCAAAACCAACGCGCAATAGAGATCGCAGTCGTAATTGAGATAAAGCTCTGTGACGAGACCCGGTATACGCCACAAGTGAACCAAAGACTCCAAGGCCATTTCTTTTTGTTCATTGGCCACAGGCTCCTGTAAAACGTTCCCTTCTTTCATTTCACTCAACCGCATGATTCGTATAGAAGAACTTATCAAAAACCAACTCATTTCTTTGATATCAGAGTTGCGTCTACTTCTCTGCATGCGCAATATTTGTAAACTGTCTTTCAGAAAAAAATATGAGTTTTTCTGGACAAGTTTTATATCAATCGATAGGTAATGCAATTTTAGGAGCTTTTTCAAGACATGCCATCTTGTGTTAATTTAGAAAAGATACGGTAATTTTTGTGTTGCGAATTTGGTTTATTTGGTCACCCTGATGGTGAGCACAAATGCCATTTGCCGTAAAAGTTACTTCTTCAAAAATGTTTCCTTCCATTAGCTACAAATTGATACAAATTTCATGTAGAAATTTCGAAGAAAACACTCATCAACTCTTAGATACACTGGTGATACCCCACCTACCGTAACCACGCTACAGTAAGAGAGAACGGCTCAAAAAGTTGCATCTTCATTTCTGATGATGAGTTATCACATTGGGCGAAGTTTCATCAAAATAAAAAAATAATAAAAATTTTTTTGACCGCTAATTTTTGAGAATTACTGAAACAGTGTGTTAAGAATCGAGTCTGATAATGTTCATCACAAAAAATGCGAAACCTGATCAGAAAGCACAATAGACTGCAATTTGCGGAAGTAGGCCTCGAGCTGAAACTTCATACTCGACCGCATCGATTCAAAAAGTAAAAAGCAACACCGATTGGTGGCCGCCAAAACCGGTAATTTCTCGGTATCTAGCAGCTAAAAAGGCATCGATTGGATTTATGATGACATTTTAAAAAAAAAACACCTGAAGAAGCGACCGGCACAAATTGTCCTTGATTAACGGCAGGAGGACGGAGTATGTGGGCAAATGATCAGCGGACGCCTTAAACTTTTTTTTTTGAATTCGTTCAAGACAAAGAACAGCCGGGAATATGGTTAAAAATCTTCTTTTGAGCCATTGAAACAGAAATAACCTCGAGAGCGACGATTAGAAGGTTCAGCCCCAGTATCACCATTGATTCCGTGTTTTGCCTATCCATTGGATTGATCAGGGCGATCAAGAATCTGGAAGGATAAAATCCGCTTTTTTTTTTTGATAACAAACAGATAGAAGCAGCCTAACTATAAAAATTTGATTTGAGATAATTCAGATTAAAATTTTATCATGTCGAATGGGAACGACACCTAAGAAGCTCTCTGCAGCAGGGAAGGCCGTAGGGCATCGGAGAAACTGAAGACTCTGCGTTCGGAAAATCTTCATCATTCTCAATTTCCCTTTGAAGTCCTGAACGACGAGACATTGTGACTGGAATCTGAAATAAGCATATGTTAGAAAAAAATTTTTTTAACCTAACAGCGTCAGATTTTGAAAATATCAGAACATTAGAATGTTTAATAAAACGACTTTGAACTTCACATTAGTAGATTTGAAAAACTTATGAAGACTACTAAAATTAATAATCAACCATCTACCTTTTCTCGATTCTACTTTTTTGGCTATAAACTCCTGCCAGCTATAAAATCAACAAAAATGAATTTTCTTGAAATAATATTTACTCATATACAAAATTACAGTTGGTTCTAAATTCTCACCGAAGCATCTTCGCTTTCGCTGTCGGCATCTCCAGCCGGCTCAAAGTCGATCTGCTTCTTCTTTTCCAGTGCGCTGTCGGGATGCGTCACGACGGAAACTGGAGAATCGGCAGTAAGAACAACATCATAACCTTAAAACAAAGGGAAAAATAAAACCTGAAACTTGATTTCTTTTTTTCGAAAACAAACCGAGATTGGAGGCTTCGGTCTCGTTAAGAACTGCGTTGACACTAGCGCCTTGGTTCAATAAAGGCAGTGTTTCCTTGGTTTCAATCTCTTCTGGAGTTGAAACCGTCTGAAAACGAACAAACGGGTGAGAAACGCGGAAATCTTTCAATATACCTCAAGGTGTCTTGAACCCCGTTTATCACGACGCTTCCGCTTTACTTCTGATTTCCTGTTCTTGACCTGAGATAGTTTTCAATTTTATTAATCGCAACTCTTTTCTTACGATTTTCAATTACGTAGCGCAATATAGTAATTTTTTTTCGAAACATAATCAAGCTTTCCTGACTCTAATAAGCGATAAGGCAGCCAAAAGTACTGTATAAAATGCCTCACTAATTCCACCTTTGATCTCTCATTAGCGCGCGTTTCCCTCGTTGTTTATTATTGAATGATTTTTATTGCTTTTTCTTACTCTTCTAGATTATCTTTATGTTACCGCTCATGCTAGAAATTTCAATCGTTTGTATCAATCGAGCTCTATTTGAAAGATCAGGCAGATAATCTGAACACTTATACTAAAACAAAAAAACAAAAAAAAAAAAATTAAAAACGCAGCTCAATGAACTATTCGAATAGTCACTTCTTCTAACGTATTTGGCGGAAACTTCACAGTGGAAAATCATTTTTTTTTCCACATTGTTTGGCATGATGACATTTGACCGCGGCTTCGCATTAGCCAGTATACCCCTCTCATGCTGATAAGGGTGCCCCAGCCGTGCTAACACGGGGTCTCAGCGTGTGCCCGCGTATTAAATCCGTACAAACACACCTGGTTGAATTTTTCGACAATTATTACCTCAGCTGAGGCACCGCTTTAGCACAGTTGGGTCACAAATTTTCGAAATAAACACAACTGTGGACCTGTTTTTTCCTAAATCCGTTGTTCCCCCGTTTTAGCCCAAATGAGACTCAAATAGCCTTAAAAAACGGGCTTAATAAAGGTACTTCCGTTGAGAAACCTGGCCAGAAAGAGAGACGATCTCCCCTTTCAAGTCGAGAGAAATTGACTACACATCTTTTTTTTTGTTCTTCAAAGATTAACATAAACGCACCAGCTTTCGCATATATGGATGACGGGTGTCTTCAACAAAAGTTGGTAGTCTCGTGAAAATCAACTGCGTCATGTCAGCCAAAGTAGTTTCGGCGGCCTAAATGCAAAGGGAAAAAAATCAGCTCACGTGTCAAATAACTTTACCTTTCGTAGCAAGAAAGAAAGATTCTGCTCGAAAACTATTCTGAAGCACGACTGCATCATGTCACACACTGCTTCGTTCGAAAGAAGGGACCCAGGGGGCGAGAGTAACAGAGATCGTAGAACCTTGTTAAATAATTTATTAAGAATTAAAACTTCCTCATCTTCTTTCCACGTTCAAACGTAAAATCGAAAATTAAAAAAAAATTGCTGAAAAAACCTGCAGGATTTTGTATAAGACGCATTCATCACTGCCAGAGCTTTTACCGCCGATGAATTTTGTGTGAACGACCGCATAAGCGATGGATTCAACCGTATTTGCCGCTCTGATGCTGAAAGCAATGTTGAAAAAAATTTTTAAGTAAGACGGAAAAGTCTCTCCGAGGTCCCTCAGAAGTAGCTGGAAAGGTTCCTCTGAAAGCTCTTAAAATGATGTGAGGAAGCTTTTGAACTCTTTTTTCATAGCCTCAGCGGATCCTTTTTGAATTCGCTCAAATTTTTTTTAGATGCTTTCCAGCATCTTTTTTGTTAAAGGAGGGGGAAAACATTAGCAAAAATGAAATAAAATGAGATAAAAAAGATTTTCTGGGGACCCTTAAAACGTTTTTTTTGAGGAAATTTTTTGAGAAGCTTTTCCGTTTCGCCCGAGGGTTATTACACATTTCATTATGATTTCGAAAAAAAGTCATGTCATTCTTCCGAGTTTAAATGAAGTTTAAAAAAACCGCACATTATCGACTTGAAAAAAAAATTTTGAACTCAAGCATACCTGCTGGCGTCGATCAGGCCGTAACTGAGAAACTTGGAAACGGCGGACAAAGCCGCTTCAGTAATTGGGCCGTTAGTGTTTTGGGCTTTTATAACGTCGAGAAATGGTGAAAGATAGGTTAGAGGATTCATGTCGTTCAAGTCTGCTACCTGAAAATTCAGCTCATAAAATCATGAACAACATAACTTTTCAAAGCAAAAAAAATCTGAAACTGGTCAGTTTGTATTACCCTTGCACCCAAACTCCTTTATCCTGATCCGGAGTAGCAAAAAAGATGATCAATTGAAAGACTAGATGTATTATCACGGCTAACCTCATTCAAAACCTCCTTGAGGTCCGTGAAATTGCGCAGCAGAGGCTCTGTGTCCTCCAACGATGGCGGCTGGTGTGATAACTGATACTGCCTGAGTCAAGCAGTCTAAAGAGTAAAAATTCCGAAAAATGATTACCTCCGAGCTTTGTTCAATAGAGCGACGACCGAGTTGGCCTCGCCCATGACGATGTACACGCCACTGGCCGCCATCTCACGGCGCGGTTCAACTTTACAAACCCAAAATCAGCTGGCTGAAGAACAGTTTACGCAGAACTTCGTGAAAAAGTATGAAGAAATGAGAGTATGTCTGAAGAAAGAAAGAACTATGTTCTAAACATTCAAAGCTGCTGATGGTTCTCAAGGTGGAACCTCTACCAAAATTTAAAAAAAAAACCACTGCGAGTGAAATATCAAAAACGTGTCTTTCTACTTGCCGCGGTTTACACGTCACAGACACTTCAATACCGCAAAATAATGTTTGGGTGGGGGCACCAACCCTTGCGGCATTGCAGTCGCGCGCGTTTTCCTTGTTTTATATATCCCTTGAATCTATATTCTCAACTCTTCCATTAAATTTAAACTACAAATTCCAGCAAAAAAACCAGGACCACGTAGACAAAAAAAGTGTTTTTTTATAAATTTAAAGTCTTTAAAGATGAAGACCTTGATATAGCAACTTATTCAAAGAACACCAAAACATCGACCTCAAATTTTTATTCGAATTCAGAAACACCCGAGTCACAATGACATTGAGAGGGAGGAAGCAATGAGTGAAGCTTGCTCGGAAAATATGGAAATTGTTTTGTTATTCACTCGCAAGTATAACTTCTGCAACAGAAAAAAGGGTTGAAGAGCAGACAAAAAGTGACATGATGGTTAACATTTACAAAAAAGTAGAGCGGCAAGGATGAAAATAAAAGAGTACTGATAAGTTTTTAAGGAGTATTTAACTACACGCCAAGCGATCTGCTTTTCTATTAAAGTGATTATATTTAAGTCTGAAATCTTTTCAATTTTTGTTCATTCAACCTCAGTAATTTTTGTTTTACTTTTTGAATGTTCTAAAACGCGATATAAACCTGCTTTTTTTTTTTAAAGGAATTTGCTGTTTAAACAGTTCAAAAAAGGTGAATAAATTACAGCGATCAAGTTTGCCTGTCTAAAATTAGTCTCCAATCTGCCGTGACACGAACAATGTCGGACGACCGAAGAACAGCTTTATCGAGGACGCCGATCGGCGTCTGGAGACCGGAAACCAAGATGTGCTCCCCACTACCTTGCACTGCCAGCAGCTCGCCGCTGACTCTCCCTCCTCCTTGCATATGCACGCTAACAGGATTTCCCGACAGCTTCTAAAATTATTCACTGTTTAAATCACAAGAAAAAAATTAATGGTTTGGGTGCGAAAGGCTATGACGGGCGAATGCCCAGGACCTTTGGAAAAAGCCCCATAGGCGCCTTTTTTTCTTGACCTTTTTCTGAAAAAGACCTTTTTAAAAAAATAAAAAGGAGGCGGAGAAAAAGCTAAAAAAAGAGCTTAAAAAGGAGACTTATTTTTTTAAGGCTTTTTTTAAAGGTCGTTTAAACTTTGCTCGGGATGGTCCCAGAGAAGTCTAAAATTTGTGGAAAAGTCCATTAAAAAAACCTTAATTTTCTTTTTTTCCTTATTTTTAAAAATCATAAACTTATGAGCACCCGTGATGAAAAAAATAACTCTAAAAGACATAGAAGGATCGCAGGCGTGCGAAAATACACAAAAACAAAACTTGAGTGGCGAATTTTGAAAGTTTCCAGAGATACACATCTTCGAAAACTTCTTGTATTTTCTCTACTCTCATATTTTCAAGCGAAGAAAGTTTGCGCTTACCGCCAAGATCCATAGGTAGCGCTCCCTACACCGTGCTCTTACTGCTTGCCTTTTTTCCTCTTCTGTACTCATCTGACGAAGAAAACTAAAACTGTTATTGAAAGGCAATGGATGAATTGAAATGGAAGAGATCTTTCCTATGATTGGAAAAAAAAGAAAAAAAGATGGTATAGCTTTATACAAACAAAAAAAAGGTGTGGTTTTAGGCGATTGGACGAGAATTAATCTGCGTCCTTGCAATTTGCGTAATTTTTTCCTGGACATTCTTTATCAAAATTGCAGCCTCGTGGGATGTCTTCTCAAGCTCCTCTACCACCTAAACAAATGAGCACGTTATTCAGAGACCTGCGCAATAACCTTGATTCTGGAAACGTCTTCGTTTCTCATCTCTTCGTCAGCTTCGTCCGGATTCATTTCTTCTACCGGGAAAGAGTCGACGAGCGTCTTGAAAATAAAAGCCTTTTTCAAAAATTTCTTTTCAGAAAATCAAAGTTTCATTATAAAACATTCGACTAAATTTATATTTTTTAGTTTTTCCGATTAAGGAAAATTTTATTCCATCAGAAGAACAACTAAAGAAAAATATATTGGAAATTAGCGACAACTTTAGGTTCCAAACGCACCTCAATATCTTTAGCAGCTCTTGCAATGTACGAAGCGAACAGATCACAATTAGTTTCTTCTTCTAACTCCTGAAAAAAAAATTTTTTCTAATCAACCTCGACCCATATACCTTGGAAATGTGGTTAAACTCACAAGGAGGTGCAGATGCTTGCAACACTCCAATGGCGTTTGTCATGTATGACGCCATATCATTGACCAAATCTTGAAGCTGCGTTAGACGGTCCGACATTCTGTCGGATGCTTTTCAAAAAAAAGTTAGATAAAAAATGTTCAGTAGCGAAATGAATAAGAGGAATTGAACCAATAACATCAACACTCGAAGTAATGTTGGGTTTTTTTCTCAATTTTATAACACAAAAGGAGGAAGACAGTTTTTTTTTTCAATTTTGAGGGAAAAAAAGTCTCTGAAACGCAACCAAGGTTAATATAAACAGTGTGAACTAAGAAATTACAGTTAAATTACGAAATCACTCTCGTCGCGTCGGCTAATCCATCCAAATCTGAATTAAAGTTCCCACACTATTATAGTTCAACTTCTTACGCCTCACCTATTGAGCGGCCATATTCTTAGCGCTAAACGAATCTGTACGAGGCCTTCGGGGACTGGACCAAAATGGCGGGAATCAGTGGAAGCCGCTGCATTGTCTCCTCTCAAAAAGACATGGCCAGGGGGCACGCGCTTGTTCGACAGCAATTCCGATTCAACGAATTCACCACCCTGCGCAACTTGAGTTGAGTTGATCTCTCAAGGTCTGACACAACAACCCACTTTTGCTGAGACGCGTTTGCACAGAAGTTCTTGAGATTTGAATGGATTCAGGCACCCTACGATATCTCCTTTCTTTACACTCGCATTCTGAATGCCTAGAAACATTAAAACACTTTTTAAATAATTTATCGTTTTTTTAAACGTACTAAAACGCTCAGCAATTATGAGGTCACCATCATGAATAGTTGGATACATTGAAGATCCAGAACATATCACTAGTTCTCCAAAGTACTGGCTAATTGTATGAGCCACACAGTACAGCGCCGCCGCACCTTTGGAGTAGCGCCATATCAAGAGCAATGAACTTGTTCCTGGATTGCCTTTCATATGTGCATTGAATAGAAGAGCTCGGAATCTTAAACTAACTCTGTAGAAAAATGAAAATGAAAAACAAAATTATTTGTAAGATTTTTCGAACGCGTTCCGTTTCGGAACAATTTTCGTTTTGTTCGATGAACACGCCATAAACAAAAAAGCTGAAATATTGTTCCGTGTTTAAAGTAATTTCCGCGAAATGCAAATTTATCTCTGGCCCTCCGAAATTTAGTTATCTTTTTCTTCCTCTGACGATTATTTTGGATTTCGCGGAATCACTTTGAAAACGGCCTTGTACCAGGGCCCCTGTTGAAAGTAATTTCCGCGAAGTCCAAAGTTATTTGTTACTCTAGAAGTATATTTACATTTTCCACTCAAAAATTATTTTTGAAATTGCAGGAAAAAAACTTTTGCCGTGTTCAAAGTAATTTCCGCGAAATGCAAAATGATCTCTGACTCTCCAAAAATTTAGTGATCTTTTTCCTTTCTCTAACGGGTATTTTTGCATTTCGCGGAAATTACTTTGAACACGGCATTTGAACACAGCATGAAACTTCCGAAAATACTTTTTCGAACGAGCGCGACAAAAAAAATGAAGTTTTGCACCTGTCGCGCAAGCACACGAAAAACGCGAGCACACCACCCACTGACGTCTTTTTGGGCAAACGCTTGGCCAAACACACTTTCCCAAAATCTTTTTTCATTTTTTTTTTTCCCATGGCGTGTTCATCGGACAAAACGAATATTGCTTCGAAACGCAAAAAAATTAAAAATTGCTTCAAAACAAAACTTAGTACTGTTTTGGAGCAACTTTGGCGCGCCGATGAACACACTTAAAGTTTTAACGTTTCTAGTTTACTCCAAGCTTGGTGTGACCAGACTTGTGCGAGGACCGGCCTAGCCTTAGGGAGGCCCCAAGCAAAAATGCCCAGAAAAGCTCTAATTTTCTTCATGTCGAAATTTCCGTTTTTTCAACGAGAAAAGTGGGGGTTTCGTTTATTTTTCCTCATAGAGTATTTAGATTAGAAACTGTGATTCAACGAGTAAAAAATTTTTCTCGATAAATGCTTCGTTTTGAGTCTTCCTATATAAAATAGGTAGTTTATTTATGATTGAAACCCAAATGCCGCGTTCAAAGCTAATTTGAAGCCTGCAGCGAAAACGTTTTTCTGCTTTAAAAGCACGAGCCGAAAAGCAGCGAAACGCAGCAGATTCTGACGACGTGATTGGTTGGCCCCGCCCAGCTGGCAAGAAAAATATTTTGAAAATAAGTTTATATTGGACGTTTGCCAAAAAGGCGGAGCCAACCAATCACGTCGTGGGAACCTGCTGCTTTTCGCTGCGTTTCGCCGAGTTTCGGCTCCTGCTTTTGAACCAGAAAAACTTTTTCGCTGCGCGCGTCAAATAAACTTTAATCGCGGCAAAATAAATGAAAAAAAGGTGTTTATAAAACGAAAGATATAAGAGAAAAAAAGTCCGAAAGTTCCCTAGCGATATGAAAATATTGGAAAAGTCGCCGTTCGAAAAATTCGCTGGCTTTTTTTCATACTATCTGAAATTTGAGATATTTTTTTCGAAGCCCGGACTGCCCCCCCCGCAGGCTTTTTCAAATGAAGGCCCAAAGCCCGGTTTCAGGCCGCCCGGCCTGACGCACAAGCCTGGTGTGACCAAAAGTTTCTATTTTTCCTAACTATAATTTTGTAGCTATTTTTTTCAGCTAGTATTTCGTCTCAAATATGTTATATGTGCGCAATCTAATGAATGGGAGAGCCATTTTTTCAGCCATGACTATGCCAAAGTTTGAGCTCATCGGGATTGAAGCGAATAAAAATGGTTGGGGACCTGTTTCCACCGGCGCGTCTACTGATTCTGTTGTTCCTTTCCAGCAGTTCAACAAGGTTCAAAATTTTAATTCTTTTAAATGTTGAAAGCTTATGAAAAACCAATATTTTTAGGCAGACCGAATTGGGCGAGTTGCCGACTGGATAGGAATCGACCGTTTTTATCGTCGAGTGAACGATAGGTTTTCTTTTCACTTTAGATGAAGTATTTCTCAAAAAAAAAAAAAAGGATTTCGAGCACGTTCAGTTTTAATCTACGTCTTAGATACAACGAGCGCATGTATGGTTCTGCAGCAAATGCGGGTTCGCAATTCGATTACGTGCATGGAATGGACGACAACAACTTTCAGCTTGTAATTTTTCTCTCGGAAACTTTTTCGGAAAAAAAAATAATAAAAAACCTGTAATATTTAGGTGGACTCTTCGAGACCTGTCCAACGCGGCACTCAGCGCAACTACCGAGCTCGCCAGCTTCAAATCCGAAAGCTGATGCAAAAGGAACAGGAACGTCGTGAACAGGCTAATCAAGCCCAGAATCTAAAGATGAAGCGAAGCATTGCGAAGTGAGAGAGATACAGGGGCGAAGAAATTTGCAATTTTTTTCAGAGAGCAACAGCGAGCTTTCAAAATGTGGCAGCGTCGTGGTGGAAATGCGCGCCAAGGGCCGCGAGGAGGTCGTGGATTTGGGAATGAACGTCCCAAGGTAGCACCTATATCCCTTTTTCATTGATTGTTAATACTGTTTTCAGGAACGTCTTCCATCTGTTGCTGTCCGTCCAGAATGGGTTGTCATTGAAGAAATGGATTTCCCACGCTTGTCGAAACTTTCCCTCCCTGGAATCAACAATGGAGAAGATGTCAATGATCATCAATACGGCACATTACAATTCTACGACAAGGTTTTTTACAATGCTAATTCTTGTGAGAAATTAAAATTTTTCAGGGTGTAGATAGAATATCGGTCAAAAATTCTGCAGCTCTTCAAAAGTGCGCGGGCTTGTTCTACAACATTACCACAACTGAAGACCCAATCATTGAAGAGCTGGCCCAGAAAGGAGTCGGAAACGTGTTTGCTACGGACATTATTCTGGCTACGCTGATGGCTTGTCCACGTTCGGTAATTTTTTTTTCTATCTACAAAAGAGATAAATTATCAGTTCGAAAATTAGTTTTAGGTTTATTCGTGGGACATAATTGCTCACCGTGTCGGTGACAAGCTGTTTTTCGACAAACGTGATACGGGCGGTTTTTCGAATCCTGTCGACACGCTGACAGTCTCCGAGACGAGCAGCGATCCTCCGTCGTTCGAGGGCGGAGGCATAAACAATTCTAAAGTTTCATATTCTGTTCACAATCTGTAAACTAGACTTGTAAATTCAGGACCTTGCCACGGAAGCCTTTTACATTAACCAAAACTTTCGACGTCAAGTTGTGAAGCGCAACGAGGAAAGCCTTAAAATGAAGCACGCCTCGGCTCCTTTCGAAGAACAGGACGCTGGAGAATCGGGAACAACTTACAAGTATTCTCATTTACGGTTTAATGATATGAATCTCACTTATTCACAAGGTATCGCAAGTGGAATTTGGGGGTCGGCTCGAATGGAAAGCCGGTTGAACTAGTGTGCCGCACCGAGTTGGACGGCGTTATGGTATCGAGTGAAAAAAAGACATTTGACCGATTTTAACAGTTGGGTCCACATGGAGAACAGCAAACCCTGACCATCAAGGCATTCAACGAATGGGACAGCTCACAGTCGGGAGGTGTCGACTGGAGGTTTGAATAAACCATGTGTGATCGCCGAGTCAAACTCAACTCTGTTTAGAACCAAACTCGACGTTCAAAAGGGTGCCGTTCTGGCGACGGAAATCAAGAACAATAGTTGTAAAGTTGCCAAATGGACCATTCAGGTTTAGGTGAAGATCTATGAAATTTCAAAATTGAAATTTTCCAGGCACTGCTTTCGGGCTCAGATGCAATGAAGCTTGGTTATGTGTCGCGAGCATCCGTCCGCAACACGGCTCAGCATGTGATTCTTGGAACTCAGCTGGTCAAGCCAGGCGAATTCGCCAACAACATTGCGTTGAACCTCGACAATGCGTGGGGTATTCTGCGCTGCATCATCGATAGGTGAGCTGTCTTCAATATATGGAGCACACTATCGAAGCTGGCCATACGCGATATAGCAAAAACTTCTTCCTGCGACCTAGTTAGAGTCTCGCTGCCATATCGCTATTCTCATAAATTTGGGATTTGAAAAACAATTTTTCAGCTTTTTTTTTTTGACTTTTATGATGAAACCACAGTGATGGAAGAGCGATATAGCGCAAGAAATTTTTGAGATAGCAGCGATAAGTCGAGTTTGATTTCAACTATCGAGAATTGTCAACTTACAGCTGTATGAAGCAGCCGCCTGGGAAGTACCTTCTTATGAAGGATCCTCAGTCGCCTGTGGTACGACTTTACTCTCTCCCTGAAGGCACTTTCGAAAGTGATCATGATAGCAGCGAAAACGAGTCTGATGAAGACTGAGTATGTTGAATTGTTTTTTTTGCCGTTGTTTGAATTTCCCTTTTCTTTGGTCGGTTTACAATTTTTTGCCTGGAGGTATGCAAATAAATGAATGAATTTATTTATCAAACGGGTTTTATTGTTGATTTCAACCGTAGGCAATTGTGGGAACATTCCCCACACCATGTGAAAAAAATTGAAAAGTGTGCATGTTATTAGAGTTCCAAATTTTGAACTACAACAGCAGCAACAGAAAATCATGACAAACAAATGAAAACTTTAAAACGAATCAAGCATTACCGTATTTCATATCGAGAACATTCAACTTCTAACTGAACGTGAAGTAAAACGAGTCAATGACGAAGATAAAATGTAAGTGAAAGAAGCAAGATCGAGGGCCTGATAAAAAAATTTAAATATTAAGGGTTTTGATAAATTTTTTTAATTTAGTCAGTTTATCACGAGCACGGCGAAATCGACAAGTTCTTCGCAATCAGCCATATCCAACCCAAAATCTCTGGCTATTGCGAAAAACTCTTGAGATGGACAATTCTCTGGGAAATGTCGGTCTTCAAATTCGGTATTCATGTGACAGACACTGTAAACTTCGATTTGAACACTCTTATTTTCAAATAAAGTCTGAACAAACATTCTCCATAAAGAAATGACGAGAGCGCGAAGTTCCATTTTCGAAAACCCCGTGATATTTCCCGAGTTTAGGGAAAAGTTGGCAGTGAGCCGCGCCAGCAGTTGATTTGTAGAAGAAATCTTCAATTTTGCTTCGAGCTCTTGCCATCTAAATTAGCAGCGTACACAGCTAATGTTAAGTTGGAATTTTAAGGAAATATGTTTTGAATTATAGTTTACGCATGTTTGAGACGGTGCTAACAATCGTAAAATGGCCGGTCATTATTGTGCCGTCTGTTCCGGAGACTCGCACGGATTGTCAAGTTTCGCACTCACACAGGTCCAAGGGATTGCAAGAGAATCGCGTGTCGCCGTTTCTCAACGTCCACGGCATCAACTTCCGGCATTGCCACTCTGTCCTTCAAGTACAAAAATCAAATATCATGGAACCCTTTCAATTTTCACCACGTCCGAAATTTTCTGTCCAGACAAGTAGCTCAACAAAATGCTTTCGACATCGCCACCTGTCGTTTTACAGCCCATCCTCAGTGCAGACCGACATTCTTCCGTGATCCATTCCCTCAAAGCGATTTTTGATTAAAAAAATTTTTTTTTCGAGTCCAAAGTAGCTCTGGACAAAAGTCAAAGTATAGTTAATTTTCAAAAATTGAAATACGATACGCACCAGTACAGACTCACAGGTACTTGTCCGGTTCCCACTGCGCCGTCTCCACCATAAATGAGTTAACAGGGTATTTATCACTTTTGTACCCCCCTATTCATGTAGCTTTTTAAGAAGGTGAAAACTTCTCCACATTGATTATTGAACTTTTTTTCGATTATATTGAGTGGCAAATTGATCGGGTATCTCTTATACTCGCTCCGAGCCGTCGATAAATCGATCGCGTGACAATAAACTCAGTTATGAATCGATCTCAATTCTATTTAAAATGCATCCAATGGATGGATTACTTGTGATCACCGAATATTAGGCAGTTCGAAAAATTCATTAAAAAAAGGTCAATTTCTGAGATCCAAAAAAAATTTTTAAACGTTCACAGTTTTAGAGCTAAAAAAATAATTATTTCCTTGAGCGTACCATAAAAATAGGATTTTCAAGCTTCCGGACGTTTTTTTGAGCCAAAAAAATTGGGTGGTATGAAAAAAATGCCAGCGAAAATTCGAATGGCGACTTTTGCGATTTTTTCATTTTGCTAGGGAACTTTCCGATGAATCCTTTTCCCACTTTTTTTTCTCGATAAATTATTCGTTTGGAATTTGCCTATATAAACTAGGTAGTTGATTCATGATTGAAACACAAAGAAATGATAAAACTTGTTGGTTAGCCCATGTATGGTCTCAGCTGAGGATAACAGGCCATTTATTGTATTTAATAAAATGAACACAGTTTCTTTCAGCATTAATAGATGAGAAAAGTACAGAAAAATACGATTTTTTTACTTACTAAAAAAACGGCTTCTCAAATTAGGCCATTTTTCTGACTTTCTGGCACTTGCAAAAAAACTTTATTATTAAAAACTAAACATGTTTTCTTTAATGTTTTAATTGTGTTTTTTTTTTTTTCAAATTTGTCTATTTTTTCTTAGAAAAACGTTATTAACCAATAGCGCTGAAAAACTGCGGTCGGTGTATGCACAATTTAAACACAACCGGACAGACTAAACAAATGTGGATAAGGGCAGATTTTCCTTCATCAAGTTTTGGATGTCAAGCAGCTGACTCCGCCCTCTTGTGTACATTAACCTTTTGTATCAATTTTTCATCGCACTCGACGAAGATCCTTTAACAGCGATAAATTGTTCATACAAGGGAAAGTCTCGGTGACCCGGAGAAAGAGGAGTAGACCTGGCAAAAAAACGAGAAAAAGGGGGAGGGGGGTGGGGAAATCGTAAAAAACGTTTTTCAGGGTGCGCATTGAACGGCGCTTGTCCGATCTTATGGAAAAAAAAATCGAAAGGCTTTGAGTGGGGGTAAGGGATTGGGAGACTTGGCTGTCGCCATTCATGCCTATCCCATGTATGACATTGTTTGACTTTTTTTTCAATAAGTTGATTAGAAGAAAAAAAATAAGACCAAAATTTAACACTATTGAAGGATCACCGAACTACATGATTAATAATCAACACTGACTATTAATTTACGCGAAAATGTACTATATCCGGGGGCGTTTTGGCTGTTCGAGATTTTACAACTGGACAGAATATAGATCCGAAACCAACTTCAAAACATCTTTGGCGAAATCGACGACACTTCTATTCGATTTTTTTTCAAATTCACAGCTCCCAAGTGCTTTTGTGGTTTCTTTGGCTCTTGTTGTGCTTCCACCGCCGTTTCGTTCGATCAATGCCCGCGGCTCGACTATTGGTGGACCTCTCACTTTTCCATCTTTCACACTATACTTTTTCCTTAAAGCGTCCATCAACCTTGAAATATAGAAACAAAAGCAAACCTCAGCCTGGCCAGCTTTTCCTCTTCGTTTTCAACCCGTCTGGGAGGCGGTGGTACTTTTTCACTCGGCGATTCACCCTTTTCCTGAAAGTGCAAATAAATTGGGAAAAACAATTGTATGCGAAACTACCTCTTTTGGAAGACAATTTGTGCGCTTTGAAGTTACGAAGCGCTGTACAGCATCAAGAAAAATATCGTCGTCCTAAAAAAATTAATAACTTTTTTGTTCGATCGCCTTTGGCTACGTACTGAAGATTTAAATAATCACGCCATAATTTTTTTGACGTTTCCCCACCCCGTTTGGGAACGCCGTGTAATACAGTGGACCGCGCGAGACGGCCACTTTTAAAGGCACTGCAGAAAAAATACAAAAAAAGAACGGTTGTTTTTTTTTAATTTGCCTCTAAAAAACTGCAAAAAAGACAACAAGAAGTAAGGTCTTGAAGCGAAGTTCAGTCGAATTCAGACTAATGCTGTATACAATTTTGTTTGCAGGACAAAACGGGACCCACGGGCGCGAAATGGGCTGTAAGGTCTTGAAGCGCGTGTTCAAGAGCAATTTTTAAACTATGGAAAGGAATGAAGAAAAATGACCCGACCCTTTTTTTAACAAATTTTTCACTATATGTCAAGGCACTTTCAGTTTCAAACTGCTTTCACCACTTCACATTTATAAATAAAGATGAACTATTTCTTAAATGGTTTTTAACAAAAAAAAAATCATGAAATGGGTTTGAAACTGAAGTGCATCTTCATGAATTTTGGCCAGAGACAAAAATGAACTGACCGGGCACTTTTCGTACTCATCGACATGAGGCATGTCATCTTCTTCTTCAGCATCTTCGTCAGAACCTGCGTCTTTTTCACAGACGCGCAGGTCACTCATTTTTGCCACGAACTGCAAATAGTAGCGTTCCCTTTATCTTCGCAAATTATTCATATAGTATTTCAACTTCAAAAAAAAAAGAAAGAGGTATTTCAATACTATTCTTGTGCACTCAGATACCCTCCTAATGCTATCTGGATTTACAAGGGTAAGAGAAAGCTTCAAAATTATGATGCGTCGGATAAAAAACCTTTTCTTCTACAACTTCAACTCCTCGAGTTGGTAACCTCTGCGGCTTGACTGCGATGATGGGACGCGAGTTGTTCACCATGTAAGCTCCAGTGTTCTCGCTCACTTTGAAGTACCTATCTTCATTGGAACTTGAACTTGTGAAGAGAGAAAGAAGAATCTTCACTCATTCGCTCGGGAATTTCGCCCGTCATCCACAATGGCTCATCAAAAAGTTGTTCACGAAGCATGGCAGACAAATCGAAACATTCATCACTACAAAATTTGTCGCGATCACGACACGTTTCGTAAATCTGAGATAAGAAATCAACTGCGGACGAACGGCGTGGAAAAAAACCTTCTTGCTCTGGCGGTCAATATGGTACCGTTGCTTTTGAAGGGGCCGCGACGGCCTCGCACAGAGTGGATAGCCGCAAGAGTTGCCAAGAGAGCGTTCCTCGATTAGTTCGTCCCAGGAAGCAACGTGAAAGTAGGGCAGCTGAATAGATGTAGTCGGGATCGAAATATTACCATCATCACGGCTAACCCACTTGACCAGTTGTTCGCGGGTCACTGTTTCCGTCAAAGTTTCAATGGCGTTGAGCACCTTTGAGAAAACGACAAACGTCTTGAAAAATTATGCGTTAGTGATACCTTACGGCGATATTCGGCGTGGGCAGGTATACTCATTACAACCTGAATCTTCTGAAAAATATAGACAGCTTTTATGGCAGTTTTTTTAAGGGGTTACGAAGTTGGCAAACAAAGTCTGATGAAAAAAGTTCAGTTCCAACACTGATTTAGATTTATATTACGATAACTACTAGATGGTTTTCAAAACAATTAGAGCTTTGAGAGTATTTCTTTGATCTTTGCTGAAACGAAAATTATATTTGTCAAACTCAACTTACGAATTCAAAGTTGGAGCTTGGGAAAATGACATATTTTTTATGAATCTCAAAATACACTTTTGCACGTCATTAGTTTGCTTCAAAAATTCAAAACCCCATATAGAAAAACAAATCATAGAGAGAGAAACGTGATTCAAATTGAAAAAAGAATATTTTGCACTTTTAAAGTGATTCCGCGAAATTAAAGTTAACTACCAAGAAGAAGACATAAAAACGGTAGTGTTTTATATTTTGTAAACGCTTGCACGTGCTCATCGGACTGTTACAAAAAATAAATTTGTTTCTATGATGAACACCCAAAAAGCGAAGAAAGAGAAACGAAAAGAAAAGGGAGTAATTTCGCTACGTAGAGACAGAAAACAGCTCCTGAGTGCTCACTGAAGGGTCAAATGTTGATGCCAAAAAATGAAGTTTTTTTTGCTCGTTTCTATCTCCAACAGTTTTCAGAAAGAGTTGAGATAATATTAACTTTGATTTTTTGAAAGCGATATATCTCTCTACATTTTTTTCTAAATTTTCTACTTGAGCATGGTTTCGCTTTCCTGGGAAAATTCTTTGGTTTGCCTGAACAGCCGTCCGGTCATATATAGTCTGTTCAGTTTTTTTAATGTCAAGTACAGTGGGTGGCTCGCTCTCTGATTGGTTTATCGCTCCAATAGGGGCGAAGTTTGAGAGACGACTTCACATTAAAAATCTGCTATACCGATTTTTAAAAAATGTTTCTTTTTTTAAAAATAGATAAAAAAATATTTTTTTCTTTGCTCTGATTCAGACGGTGATGGCCATGATGACCGGCCATTGACCGTCTTGTCAAAAAAATTATAGTTCTGTTTTATAGTCCTGCGGATTTTCGTCCGCCGCAGCATGAGTCTTATCATGTTTAAATATTGCGTGCTATTCTTCACAGGCGAATCGAGAAGGTACCATGATGTGTCCACAAAGGTACCTCTCAAAATGGATCGTGATGTAATGTGTCCATCGTGAGATCTCCGGCATACCTTTTAGCTATATCTGAGCCATCGGAGGTACTTCAGAGTCTCTCTCTCAACCCCCTCTCATTTTGCTCAAAATCTTCAGAGGTATCTTCGAGGTACCATCGTGAGACTTCAGAGCCAGCAATATACCTCAGAGGGTCTCGCGATACCCTTTCTCGATCCGCCTATTTTCTAGACTAGACAATTATCTTTTTTTTCACGAATTTAGCTCGAACGGAAGATAACGTTCAGTTTTGCACCACTCGAGCTTGTTTGTCGCATTTGAGACGCTGATCAATTAATCAATCGTCTCTTTGAACGAAAAATCGTCATGACGCAGGTATTCGATTTGAATTAACTCGAAAAAAAAAGCATAAACTAACCGGAAGTTCTGAAAAACCGAATTATTATTTTTTTCAGTACGTTTTCGAAATGGGAATGACGTGCGGAGGTTGTGCGAATGCCGCAAGGCGTGTACTTGGAAAATTAGGAGGTTCTCATTATGAAGCTTTTGTTTTCAGTTTTTTACTAATTTCAGAAGACAAGGTAAAAATCAATGAGATTGACCCCGAAACAAAAAAAATTGTTGTCACCTCAGACTTGCCTGCTAGCGAGGTTGGATTCTTTTTTTCTTAAAAATTAAGGGAAAACGAAATTTTTGATTTTGAGAAAACTAGTTAAAATATGTGGGGAAGAAAATTTCCAGATTCTGGAAGCTCTGAAGAAAACTGGCAAGGAGGTGAAGCAGATACAATAAAAGACGTCTATTCGTGTCTCGAATGCATTCCTAAAAGGTTGTGATTGTCCACTTCATCAGCATATATCTACGCTATTGCCCAACATTTCAACAATTGCCAAATAAATTATATCGATTTCTTTTTTGTTTTATTTAGTGGCCTAATCGATAATCTACACAAATGTTGCTGTCGTTTTCGTCGCTGATAATCTGCGCGGGTCGGACGAGAAATTGATCGTAGAGACCGTTGCGTGAAATGTCTTCTGGCGCTCGGCGTGCAAACTTCTGCAAAATTCGTCTTCTTCGCGAGCACTGTCCTTAAATAAATCGGAATGGTGCCGCGTTTAAACCTACGCGCGTAGCAAAACAGTTTTCAACGCAGCGGCGGAAGGTTGAAAATTTTTTCGCAACTTGCTGTCGTTTCTTATTGTTCAAGTCTTGAAAAAAGACGTCGTTGCCCCAGCTTATTCAAATTGGACTCAAAACGATTTCCTAATATTTCTTCTTGCAAGGGAGGTCATTTTACTTTGCGGTTTGGTTTTTTTCTAAAAATTTGTTCAAACACTCTTCAGAGGTTGCGCAGGACGACATAGTGGCTACTTGCGCAAACTTTTGATTTTTTAGATATTATTTTTTTCAAAGTTGGTATAAAATAAAAACCACCGAACTTTCGAACGGCGATTTTCCGATTTTTTGATATCGCTATGGAACTTTCCGACTGCGAAGTCTAATCTTTTCCGACTTTTTTTCTCTCGATAATCTCTTTTTTTTGAATGTTCCTATATCAAAATAGATATTTGATTCATGATTAAAACACAAAGAACAAGGAAAAAAATGTTGATGGATGATTTATAAACCGAAAAATATAAACGAAAAGTTCGGAAAAGCTGGCCCGGGTTTCGACTTTGATGAATCCTTATATAAAGCTTTAGAGATTTTTTGAGCGAATCCGTAAAAAATCCAAACTGCCAACTAAAAATACTTCTTGTTAGCAGTTATCTGAAAAACCTTGATAAAAGCCACGACTTGTTCCTCGTCAACATAGTTCATCTCGATGCGCGCGCCCCACGAAACAAGAGCGATGGGCTGCGAAATTATTTTCTTCACACATTCAATTTGAGAAAAAAAACCCGAGTATGCGATAATTTGTTGTAAGGCGTAATGACGTGACGGTAGAGGCACGATGTCAGGATCTCACGTAGAGAATTGACTTCATATTGATTAGCGCAGGGGTGGTAGAGCATGACGACGGCACCATGCTTAACTTCTCGATTATTTTGCTACAGGCAAGAAGAAAGAAAAAAGAAAGAAAGACACCTCCAAGTTATGAAGCCATCGCTGCACAGGCACATACAGGTACTCGCCATATTTTGCCCAGTTGGGACGATGATCGCCTCTGAAAAGTACATACAGGGGTGTCACTGAATATGGAACGAATTTTCCAAAGGCTAACTTTTTGAGTTGGTTGTTGGTCAAAATCCTGCCTTTTGTTTTTATCTACCAGGATGTCTTTCAAAAGTGCTCCGAAGATGGCTTCCTAATATTCAGTTGAGTCGATTTGATGTTTTCTCAATCTCACCCATATGTCCCAAAAGCTAGTTTTTGCTAGTTTCCAGAGATTCTCAAGCGAAAGTGCAAACTTATTTTCACTTTTCGATTAACTTCTTTAGTCGTATCTGGAGAATAAGGCCTTACCAATAATTCACACTAATCTGAGATCTCTATTGACCTCTATAATTTTGGAATAGATCAAGATCAATTATCTGCATCATGTGGTCCTAAAGTTCCACGACAAGAATCACATACTTGATTTTGGAAAGAAAATTAATTGATAACCAGCCAGGAAATTTTTTTTTATTTTCTATCTTTTTTTGGAATTTGTTAAGGACCTATTTCTAGAGGTTACAAGGTACGTTACGTTACAAAGAATACACAAGTTTTCGTTTTATTGCTGAAAAACCTATCCAAACTACCGTAATACTACCGGCCACCTTAAACAGGCGTGAGTAAAAATGGTATTTGCAAGACTAAACCTAATAGGAACGAGCTCGTCATATTGCAAAACCGTGTCCATGCACTTGTGAACGACTTCATCCTTTCGTGGGTCGAAAGAGGTATTGTGAGCAACCATGTCTACGGAGATAGGGTCCACGTTCTGTATAAAAAAATTTTCCGTGTTTTTTGTTCAAGTGCTTTACAAACCTTTTGGATAGCGAAAGAGTATTCGTTGGGGCAAGTAAAAACAGTATAATCGCGAGGATCCCAATCCAGTTTCAAGTTACTCTGAAAAGTGATGGAACAAAAGTTATCTCAAATATCTGAAAATTCCCTGCAAACAATGAAAAAAAAAACAAAAGGAACATCTAATTAAACTTTTTTGCCAGAAAAAGAGTTTTATAAAGGCCTTGAAAAGGGCCTATCCGATTAAAAGTCACGAAAGACACTAGTAAGGCCTTCAAAACCCATTCACTGGTAAACAGGCTTGTGCGAGGGCCGACCCAGCCTTTTGGCCCCCGGCCATTTTCTAAGCCCGGCCCGGCCTTAGCAGGCCCTGTAGAAAAAATGGCCGGGCCGGATCAAAATTTTTTGACTGTTCGAAATGTCACTCTTGAATAGGTTGGTCTTTTTTTGACCGTTGAAAATGTCACTTCCGAAACGGCCGGTCGTTTTCGTAAATATCAGAAACTGGTCGGTCAAACGAACGGTTTGAAAACTGACCGGTCAAATCAGTCGAACGGTCTAATTTGTTGAACGGTCAAATTTTAGAACACTAATCCAGATACCTACCCCCGAGGAGGCGGAAGTCACCAAAAGAAATTTAGAAAAAATACTCGCACCTAAAACTGGACGCGAATCGGACGTGTCGGGGCATTTCTAGTTACCACTTGAGACGCTATCAAAGTGATCACTAGAAATGTCTCCAAACGTCCGATTTACGTCAGGTTCGCATTACCAAGATTAAAGCATAATATCAAATATCGACGGAGCAAACTTTTGCAAAACGAGAAATTTCTTTTTCACGACTAGTATTTCTTCTACATTTGCTCACACATGTTTAGAAATGGTAAATCCGTTTCTCTGCAAGACGATCAGAAAAAGAGAATATACCTTTGCATCGTCGCAGGTAGTAAGTTTTCCCATGACGGCGCCCATATAAGACGACACCAAGTCGCAAAAATAAAACGATAAAATCAAAAGATTAATCTGTGGCATTTTTTTATACACTTTCCTCTTCTCTCTGAAAAAAAAGTTTAAAAAACTTTGATGAGACAGTTTGAAAATACGAATGAGTTCAGGACAAAACCCATGATAAATAGCTAATGACATGAGAGCCCTAGAAAAAAGTGCCGTTCACAAAAAAGCCCAGGAAAAAACGGTCGAGATGAAAAAAAAATAAATTGGAAATAAGAGCCGCAACAGGCGCTCAAGTTTGGTGAAAGCGTGCTCCATGGCTCAGTGAAGCTTTTTTTTTCCCTCGGTTCCGATTTTTCCAAAACTTTTTTATATTTTTTTTATATGGAAGGAATTTATACGAGTAATTTAAATTTTGATGTCATCCGTGGAGCACACTTTCACCGGACTCTAGCGCCTAATGCGGCTTTTATTTCCGGACTATTTTTCCCGGCAATTTTTTCAACTATATATATGTGTACATTTTTTTAAAAATATTTTCTAACTCCGTTACTTTGAAAATTAAATAGAAGAAAATGAGAAGTAGCTTATTGCATAAAGTTTCCATTTTTGAACCTCATTTTCTTCTACATTTCTACATTTCTGTATTTTATTTTTTTTTAAATGAAGCTAGAACATGTCACCTCATAAATTTTTAAGCTGAAAAAACGAGAAAGATTTTAAAAAATGTGTCTTGATCAAAGCAAAACCACATTGTGAGGAACGATTTTTTCACACGACGAAAAGTCGGCGCCCGTCGGGTTGTTACGTCACTGTGGTCGAAACATGGTCGACGAGGCGGTTGACTATCCGCGCGGAATGACCACTCGCTCCTCTTTTTTTCCGACATTTTTCGCGACCGCACCATCTCAGATTTCTTTCCTCGCCTTTTGACTCACGCTTCTGTTAGCCGTGAAAATGCGTTCATATTTCACACCTCAATGTTTGACGTTCAAGATTTAGCTCCGAGAAACTATATATAAATTTTCAACATAACAAAAACAACAACAACAAAAATAACAAGGAAAATTTTCTGAATGAAACAAGAAACAAAAAAAGGAAGAGTAAAACTAGGATGGATTGGAATCGAGTTCAAAACTGTTGAACTTTCAGCGGTGGCTTTACGAATTTTTTTTTTCATATCGCTAGCGAACTTTAAGAGCAAGCCGCTTGTTTCGACTTTTAAAAAAAATTCTGCCATAATTTTCATGGATAAAATCGAACAGTAGCACGCATCTATGAGAGCAATTAAGCAAACAAAAACTTTCGCCATGCTTCCAAAGTTAACAAAACTCATACAACTCGAAATATGAACTCTGGCGTTTCTAAAAAATGATCAATTTTTTCCATAGTGTACCTGAGAGATCGGGCTTCAAATGAAAATTTAACATATATCGCGGGAGAAAGATGTACATGGGATGTAAATCGATTCAAATAAAGGCCGACTGTGGAAGCAATATTTTCGCGTTTTTAACAAAAATTGCAAACTATCTTTTTCAACTTTTGCGACATACGTGATATATAAGCTCTAGCCCTAACCGCCCAAAAAAAAACATTTCGAGAGTACAGACACTGGTGGTAACCCTTTCCAGGCGCGATTTCGATTTCAAGGAAACGCTAAAGAGGCGCTAATGTAACTTTTGTATGATCATTTGGCTCAAAAACGTCAATTTTAGTGAAGAAGCACGTCATTACCAGTGCCCGAGGGATTTCATTTTTTTGAGTTATTCGCTAACAATGGCTTGCACTTTCTGTGGTGAAGCGAGAATACCGGCAGCCATTTCCGTTCCAAAAGTGTTCTGAAGCCGAATCCGGTCCAATTTGCAATAGAGCAAAATGGCCAAAAATCGTTTCGAATCAGATGATTCTGACATGTTGATGAATTCCGAATACAGAGCTGGATGTGAAGGTATTTGGTAGAAAATTAGCCGGCGAATTCCCTGGAACAAAACGTAAATGTAATAATTGCGCTAGAGAGAGATTTTTCGTCATTTAGGTGTTTGGGCACAGAAAAAGAGGTAGACAAAAGATGATTTTGAAGCTAATACCTTAATATGGGTGGAAATAATTGTACGACGACAGAATGAAAATGTGCAAGAAAGACTCTGTGGTAATATATTTCTGGAAAAAAAAACGAGCAGATGAATTTGAACTAGTGAAATCATAACTGTCCGAACTATGCTAAAAACTTATTTCTATGTTTCCCATTTTCTGTGGTCCTGTTGCGATACCTTTTATTTTTCTTTTTATTGAAAAAAATGCAAAAAAATGTATATGATGCACATTCCCCTGAAACTCAAGTGGTCTCTAGCGAGGCGGAAGCTTTCCGACTTTTTTTTCTCTTGTATCTATTTTATATTAGAAGATCCAAAACGAAGAATTTATCAAGGAAAAAAAAATCGGAAAAGGATTAGTCATAAAAGTTTTCCAGCGATAAAAAAAATCGGAGGAATCGCCGTTCGAAATTTCGCTGCTTTTTTCATACTACCTTCCTCAGAAAGAAAAAAAACAAAGAAGAAATCGTTTTTTTTCCATTCATAACGACATCCAAGTTCTCACCCTCAATGGGCGCCTATTGAAGAAGTAGAAACGTTCAGTCACTAACAAGTAGCTTTTTCGCTCATGGTAAAACATATCTCGTGCGCGCAAAACCTTAAAAAAAATTCCATCCGTTTACGAATTTCAAAAAATGAACAAAACCTTTTTTTTCGGAGCGTATTCATGACAAGCCACAAAACTTTCTTCCGCCTTCTTTAAATAGTTTCGCATTCTGACAAAATCGAAATAAGACGGAACGACGATGCAAGTTCGCGGCACGAGCCCGGGCACAATCTGGAAAAAAAAACTCCCCCGGAGTTTTCCGAGAATAAAGATAATACTGCCTTCTAAAAGAGGCTAAAACTCGCATTATTGTGGCCGAAAATACCTTCCGGAGATTGAACCTTTATTGTACTCCTGATTTTTCAAAGTATTTGTGTAAGCCAAACCCTCCTCCCGGGCTGAATGAGTTCTGTACTTGCCCACCTATGCACGGATAATAAGGGATAGAAAATTCGATGAACCAAAAGGGCTCTTTCATCTAACCTTTGTTACAGTGTTTCGATTTGCTATTAGGTTTTTTACTAAGTTTCTTTCTTTTTTGAAGGACTTTTTTAAAAAAGTTTTCAACCAGAAAAGCGCTTATGACAATTTTGCTTCATATAGTATTTACTACCACACGATCTGAAGTTCAGATTAAAGTTAACTGTATTCCTATAACAGTATGCAGAAAAAAAATTTACAGAACTTTGTCCGAACTCGAAAAATCTCGATTTTTGGAAAGTTTTGCGAATTTCTTTTTTATCTTACTTTTTCAATGTTATCATTCGAACAAGTTACATAAAACGCAAACTGAGGTCGCGTGCTTGCTCGTGAAAGTTTTCGTTTGCTTCCAAAAAATTTGAGAAATGAGTTAATCATTTAAAAGCCAGACCATTCAATTTATGATTGGCCAACATTGTTGAAACAATGCGCGTCCTGTTTTCGTTTGATTTTTCCCGAAATACATTTGCAAATATTAATCAATTTTGAGGTTTTGAAAAAAATTATAGACATAATATTAGCAACCGGCACCTAATGTGAAACTCGAGGATTTAATTTTACAGCTTTTTTTCATCAAAAAAAATTTTTATAGCATCAGGGTAGTGGTTTCTATCCTTTTTTTCAAATTTTTCTGTTCTCTTGCTATCTCTCAAGTTAATAAAAAAACAAGTACAACAAAGGTCACTGCAGCCATGTGTCAAAGCAGAAGTGGTTCAATTGAGTTTTTCCGGCCTATAATTTTGAGAAACGGTAATCAACTGAAATGACAGCTTGATGAACTTCTGGAGAAGAAGCGACTGATACAGACCATGTCTGTACTAACCACGAAAAATCAAAATCATCCTCAAAGCCGTTCATGAGAAAAGCGTCTAAATGTTCAGCGACCATGTCATTGTCATTGATCACTGACCAAAACTTTTAAAGAAAAAAGATTTTTAGGCTGGTTTTTTGTCTAAAAAGTTAGTTTGCTTACTCTATCTGTACTTCCATCTTCCCTCGTGAGTATTTCATTGCTCGTTTTAAAGTCAGGAACCCCAAAATTAACAGACATGTTAACAGATAGCTGAGGATGACGGGGGAGAAATTGTTTGCTGTTTGAATCCAAACTTCAAAAGTTATACACCAAGAAACTTTGAACCGAAAAAAGAAACAAACTTAGTAAACGACTTAATATTTACAATACTTTCACATTTGCGAACAAAAAAAACAAAACTCAATCGAGATATTCGAAGAGAAAATTGTTTCATGCTCGTTACTGACGGCTTGTTGAAAAAAAAAGTCATATCAATTAAAAATTTTCAATGGTGAAAAAAGCTCACCTCATCTAGTTGGAATCAAGTTTAAAATGTCGCACAAGTCATTATAATTTTTAGAAACCTAATGAACCAAACTTTTGGAAAAAAAAAATCAATCATCTATCAACTTTACTAGTAATATACCTTGTCACAAAAATACTTCCATCGTTCTTCAGAAACGTGTTCTGGATTTGGAACATTGAATGAGTGGAGCTCTTGGCAGAGCGGGACTTCTATCTGAACTTCCCGAACATATTCTGGAAGAGAATGATACAGGATGGCTACCTTTTCGAGAGTCCCAGCTTGCTTCGGCGTGTTGAGAGCGACGCCGCGGTGGTTGGTGCTGTTTTCCAGCACGAGTGCCGTGAAAAGCTCATGTGCATAGCGAGAAAATAGCATCAATTGCGAAAAGTGCCTACCATTTCCCTCTGAAGGTTGATTAATTGATGGAATGATAAAAATTGAACTCAGAAAATTTTTTAGAGAAAAACTCGGGTTTATGAAAAAAAAATTTTTTTTTTTCATAGCGCTAGAGAACTTTCCGACTGCGACGTTATAAGTAATCCTTTTCCGACTTTTTCCCTTACATTTTTTTTCAGGATATTTCGAAAACATGCCTAAATAAACTCTGCGAACTCGAGAAATATCCATGTCAATCTTAGCGGGAAGGTTGTTTAAGTGCGAAAAAATGAGCTGAACGTGCTCCCAATTCTGCTGGAGCATTAGATCCGCCTGAAATAACAAGATTGAATATGTTCTCGACAGAAAGGGCCGGATCGAACCCGGTCAACGACGACAAGTTGTATGCTGCTCAGCAAATGTGCCTCATTTCCTTCGTCGCCGTTGAGAATCATCCGGAGACCGAGGGGTGAGCACAGAAGAATGTCGCTTTTGTCGAACTTTTCGTATAGTTTCAGCGTTTTTTTCGATAAAGCCAATCCCAGTCGAAACGTGTCATCGTTATTCCCGATAAGAAGTTCCTGTATAAAAAGAAGAATTTCAGAAAAGAAAGGAGAACTCTGCGTCGAACTTTGCACCCCACAGTTTAATCAGGAATGTACCCCGTTCAACTTCAAATGCCTATTAAGATGCTTATTCCGTACTCGATTTCGAAATGGTGTTTTTCCCAATATCACCATTCCCTACAGTTCCATCCTAGGCGGCTACGGCAGCTAAAAAAAACAATTTTTATTTCCGACCCAGCGGTGCACGCCATCCAGGTCTAACGCGGGGTGAACCAGAAACAAAAACGAAAAGTTCACTTTTTTCGGGGTTCCCTGCGGGTTACACCCTCCTTATTGTTAGAGTAACCATTAACCAGAATAAAAACGACTTGAAGAACAAAAAAAAAATCCAATCACCTTGTGATCTTCAGGAACATTCGCCCAAAGAGCAGCAGCCTCTTCAGGACCGCTGTATTCTTCTTCGAAGCGAGATTTATTCCAAACATCACCATTCTCTTAACCAACAGTTTCATTTTTTTCCTTAAAGCATTTGAGCGAATGATCGACTCCTCAACCAAACGTTTCAAAATCTAACCGTCGCCGTAGATTAAACGCCTGAGACGATTCACCACGTCATATGCATCTTTTTTGTAAGGACACATGATGAGAACACTCGGCCTCACGAAGCCTTGATCGCGGCTACTCTCAACAAACTCTTCCGACACGCCGCCCTAGAATAAACTTGTGAATGGAGCACGAAAAACAAAACTTTCTAGAAACTCACAAGAGCACTTGCAATGTCCATTTTTCTCTTGTTATTTATGATCAGATTTTTTGAGCGGATCAAGTGCGACAAGATGTGAGCGCAGTAGACCGTCTGAATGAGATTTTGAACCCAAAAAAAACACTGGATAGTTTTACGCGGTAGGTATCTGACGAAGATGTGATCGCGCTCAAGTCGACATATCGTGAAATGATGGTCAGAAAAGAAGACGCTTCCATATGGTTTATTGCTTCAGAATTACCTGTTAAAATGTTTTCCATTCATTAGCAGAGGAGTTAGAATTATTGAAAGAGATTTTTTTTGATAAATTTAAGTTCTGGAATAATTGGAAGATTCGAAAGTTTCTAACAATACAAAAATTATATTTGAAGAGTAAAAAGAAAAGTTCATAACTCACCAATCTCTTTTTTAAAGTTCTCAACCAACGTCTCATTCCAGTTTACCGAATCTGGGTTCACGATACTGTCAACGTTGAGCTGAAACTTACATACATCAACCGATTATGGTTTTTCTCTCTTTTTTTTGTGCTTGGTTTTGAAAACTTCTGCCTAGCGCCCGGAAAAAATATCTGTATTCCATGTTTTGTATTTCATATAAATGTACCTCGAAAGAGTTACGGAGCCCCGGCAGGTAGCTGCATTCCCCAAGCGTTGGTAAGGTGAAACATATGGAGTTTTTTCTCCTATTTCTTCCATCTTTCAGCTCGGCACTTACAACGCTATCAACTTTAGCTTCCCAGTAAGATGCAAACTCGTCTTTCTTTTCCACGTCGAGCTTCTGTAAAGCTGTGTATTGATTCAATTTTATTTATTGATTCATTTTTTATTCAAAACATAACCCTCAATTGTTTCGAAGAGCAGAGTCAATTCGCTAATCGGTGGTTGTCTATTAGCGAACGCTGAAAAGTAGCTACCGGACCTGGTATTCATCATAAATGTCAGAAAGGATAGCGACGATACTCAGGTACCTCTCCGGTAGTTTCCAGATGGCATAAAGAACTTATCTGTTAGCTAAAACACGACCACCGGTTAGCTTACGCCGACTGAACTTGATGCTGTATCTGGAGTAATTTCCACGAATTTCGAAATAGCTCTCAGAAGTGAAAAGGTAACTGGATTTCGGAGAGTCAGACACGGCATGAAGTAAAGCCCGTTCACGGCTGGGACAGCGAACGGGCGGTTTAACTTGCGCGGCGATGGCAGATCATTGCGGCCATACATGCGCCATCAATAAGAGTCTCATTTGGTGAAATATTTCTGTTTCTACTGAATATATTTTTTTTTTATATTCGTCTCATTGTTTTTAGACTTTTTTTTTTGAATCAAAAAATTATAAGAGAAAAATAAAGAAGTCATAAAATAAGTCTTTTGTCGAAGGCGCATTGATAGTTGCCATGGCCATGATCTACCTTGGCCGCGGAAATTAAACCGCCCGTGGCTTGGGATAGCCGTGAACGGGCTAGAGCTGTCTGTTCAGATTTTGAATGTCAACCAGCTAACTCCGCCCCTGCTGAGACGGTACCTTTTCGCGTCGTTTTTATCGCGCGGGACTAATTTTGAGTCAACTGCTTGACATTCAATTATTTCTGTTTCTATTGAAATAATTCTATTTTTACATTCATTTCATTGGTTTTTTTAGATTTTTCTTAAATCGACGAATAATAAGAGAAAAAAATAAATAAGTCATAAAATGGGGCTTTTTATGGAAGGCGCATAGATAGTCGCCATACATGCGCCTTCAATAAGAGCCTCCTTTGATGAATTATTTTTGTTTCAGTTGAATTTACTTTTTCGTTTACATCAATTTCATTATTTTTCAGATTTTCTCTCAATCAACGAAATACAAAATTAAAAGAAATAAGTCATAAAATCAGCATTTTGTGGAAGGCGCATTGATAGTCGCCATGATCTACCTTCGCTGCAAAAGTTAAACCGCCCGTTTGCTGTCCCAAGCCAGCCGTGAACGGGCTATTATATAAGATTTCTATCACACGGCGTTTGTTTTAATACGCAAGTCAAGACTTCTCGTAAATTATGATATTTTTCTGCAATTTTAGGATAATAGTTTCTGAAATGTTCGAAATCTTGTCAGTTTGAAGAACATCTCTGATGTGGAGCGCCAAATGGGCGCCACAACTCTTTCTCTGACACACACTATTTCGTCGTTATCTAGCTGCGAGAAAACGACGAAATAGTGTATGTCAGTGAAAGAGGTGTGGCGCCCATTTGGCGCTCCAATTCAGAGATGATGTCAAAAAACATTCACTTACGTTTAAAAAAAACATTTAGGAACGATTTTGAAAGAGGAAAACTATAAATGTTCAGATTTCAAATGTCAAGTCCTCGCTGAAGCCCCTCCCCCTAATGGCGCGATGAACCAATCAGAGAGCGAGCCATCCACAGAGCATTTTCAAATGACGTCATTCTACTTGACATTCAAAATCTGAAAAGACTATATACTCAACACGGAAAAAAAAGAGAATGTCTAGATTATGGAGAACGCACAACCTTTAGAGCCGTAAGATATCCTTAATCGGCTATTTTATTTAACTCCCGAATCAACTTTGCATGAATCTCATGAACTAAGAAAAATTGACTCAAAATGAAATTAATATCACATAAATTACCTTTTCTCCGATATCGTTTGAGATAGAAGTCTTACGCTTGCGCGACTTCTTTTCGCTCATCCTCGAAACAGATTTGAAGCAAAAGAAAGTTTTGGGAATTGCGGTATGACAGTTTGGGCTCAACGAACCCTCGCAAGACGAGCGACACTGGAATGAAGAAAAAAATCTTTATTTCAACGTCCAAATATGAAATAAGGGTAGACAAATTTGCGAAAAAATAAATATAGAAGACCATAAATAACGAGATACCATTACATACACAAAATAACCGGTTTCGTCAAGAGAGAGAGAGAGTTCCTTATTCAGCTTGCTGCTCATTTCGCATCGCATCGGGAATTGGCGGAGGCGTCGACAGCTTTTCGATTTCCAGGCTATCGTCTCCTTTCAACATCATTCCAATCGTTGCTGGCTGTTGCGCCTGTAAGCCGAATGAACTGGTACAAAAACAAAAATTACTGCTGCGTACGCCTGTTTAAGGTGGCCGGTCGTATTACGGTAGTTTAGACAGATTTTTCAGTAATAAAATGAAAACTTATGTACTTTTTGCGACTTAACTTACCTTGTAACCTCGAGAAATAAATCCTTAACAAATTTCAAGAAAGAAAGAAAATTCAAAAAAATTTGTGGGCTTCGAAACTGACGGCGCAACATCGACCGGCCACCGGAGCACTGTCTCAAACATGCGTAGCGTGAATCAAAAATTTAAAAAATAAAAAGATAAAAGGTTGAAAACCCTGGCGTTAGTAGGATTGAATCCACACTCAGCCAACGTTTTTCGGCTATCTAGTTGCGTGTGTTGCCCATTTTCACAAAGTCGAAAAAGCTCCACATTTTGGCACGACACCTTAACAGCTTTACTCATAGAAGTGCGAAAAACTGGAAAAAACCAACCTTCAAAATGTCTTTGATCATGCATTTGAGATCGAAAACTGTGCTGTTTTCTTTAGCGTCCAGAAAAAAATGGCTTTTCTTCCTTTGAACTTCGAAAAAAAGCTCTTGCACCTGAAATGAAGAATTGAACTGCGGAAAGCTATTAGAAGCAAACCATTTTTGAACTGGTCGTTAAATCGGCTCGAATTCACTGCAAAAAAAAAAAAACTATTTTCGGAGATAATCGTTTCGGAAACATGGAAAAGGAACCAAAAAAACTCAGGATTGAACTTTTTCTTAACGCTTATAAATTTTAAATATTCCCCTTACAGAAACGTTTCTTTTATTGTCATGTCAATTTTGTTGAAAAAGATTTGAATTCAATGGAAAACTTTACGAAAGCTTTTCAAGATAAACGCTATAGCTGAATAGAAAAAAATTCAATCCAAATAAATTCAATTTGTTTTCGCAACATCGTGATGGAATAGCAACGCTGCAGGGGAGGAGAAATAATACGAGATGAATTAACTAACCCCCACTAAGAAAGAAAAGAAACATAAAAAGAAAAAGCTTCGGAGGAATTTTTTTTTTCTTGTTAATTGCTTTCTTTTTTTTCGATAATAATGTCGAGTGCATAATCTCAAAAATATTGCGCGAAAAAAATTCCCTGTTTCTAAAAGAAATGGCGTAGTGTAAACTAGACGGTAACATAGCGCCGGACAGCTTCCAACAGTGCTGAAAATTTTCGTGTTCGAACAGGCGAGAGGTCAAAATTTTGGAAATGTTAACAAGTATGTCGCGTATGTTCTGATGTTTTGGACGCAAACGCGTTTTGAGTGACGCGCAAAGAATAGGTCACGCACTCTGAACTGGAGCGGCTAAAGGCGCGCCCGAGTTTTTCTCTGCCACATGCTATTTCGTCGTTTAGTTGCAGTCAGACTTTTTTTTTGCACTCATAATTTGCTTATTTTGCAGACGTTGAAGTTCCATACTTCGGAAACAAGATCTATTGCGCAAATTTTGCAAGAAAAAAAAATTCCCTGGTGAGGAAAATTTCCTTGAAGAAACCCAGGAAGTTCTCGGCTGGACCTTACGCACAAGCCTGAAGTGCATATAGCTTATTCAAATCTTGAATTTCAAGTACAGTGACTTTATTCGAAAAAACTCTGCGGATGGCTTGCTCTCTGATTTGCTTTCCTGTCTTTAGAAGATACAACGCAAGGTAAAATGGGTGGCCTTTTGGCTTCATTGCCCCCACCACTCTGGCTTTATTCGAGCGAAGCTGGTGAAAGCTTATGCAGTGCTCAAAGTTCTTTTCGCAAAATTAAAAATTATTTGACTTTTTCCAAAATTCAGTTATATTTTTTTCAATATCTGACGATTATTTTTGAAATTTGTGGGATCACTTTGAACATAGCGTGAAATCGCCGAAAATACTTTTAAAATTGGAGAACGAACGCGAAAAAAAAAAATCAGACATTTCGATGGAAACTTTGATTTTGCCCCTAGTTTGATCCACAGTAACTTGAAAGAGAATAAATCTCGAAAATTCTTCAAGAGCTGAAACTCGCCATGTGGCCTTTACACTATGACCCCAACTGAGCCGTCAGCAAGTTAATGGAAAAAAGAAACCAAGAAAACGAGAAGCCGATTAAAAAAAAGAGACAGCTGCTTCTTAACTCTACCACGAAACGAACAAAGGAAAATTGTGGCTCGGAGAATAAGTAGAAGCGCTAGTACAAGGCTTGTCAACCAACCGAGAAAGCCGGAAGACCTTAATATCTTACGGGTTATTATGTGAAAAAAAGAAATACAGGGCTATCAAAAAAATCTTACTCATTTTTTCATTTTTTTCATTTTAACTAAAAAAATATTTCATAGTCTCTCTGAATATATTATATCGATGTCTGTTCAAATTTAATGAATTTGAGTAGAATTTTTTTGGTTATATTTATAATTATTGAAAATTATGACCACACTACATTACTTATCTCAACTGATCATATTTTTTATTATTATTATTTTTGAGTTAAAATGATAACAATGATCACCAAAGGGCTCACATAAGCATTGATGAATACATGTTTTTCTTTGAACTTCATCGGGCAGACATTCATCCGAACCCGTACAAATTCGAGCCTGAAGCGAACCATACTTATCCGAACCCATCAATACTCCTGCGAAAAGATATAATTTGATAATTTAACTTTTTAGTTTCACCAGTTCAGTCATTTTTTTTCAATTTTCAGCCAACAATGCTTTGAACTACAGTAACTGATTTTCTGCAGTCGATCGGACGAACTCTTCTGGTTTTCACATTGGCCAACCAAAAGACTGAAACACGGCCAGATGAATGAACCAATGTGCAAGATGTGATCGGCCAAACTCCAGCGCGCGAAGAGCCCAAGTCATTAATCTCAGAGGTCCAGATGGATCGCTCGGCAGTCGAACTGAACAGCCAACAACGAAAGATGGGGCCGTAAAATGTGTACGGCAAATGGCAACAACGCGATTGCTCGAGGCGATCCAATGGCGGCACAACATTTGTTAGGGGCACATCCCGCCAAACTTTGCCCGATAGTGCGCCTGTTCTTTAATTTAAAGCTTTGACTTCTAATCGAAGAAAGAAAAAAGTAAGACTTGGACAAGAGTTGAGCCCACGATTTCCACTCCGCACTGGGAAACTTTCCAACTATGAAAAAACCAACTCACAGAAAAACGAAAACGATAGCTTCTTCAACAGAAAACTAGCTTTTAAAAAATAGTTTCGTGAGCTTTGACTATTAAAATATTCTATCATGAAGGGTGATGATTGGGCACTAAAGGCTAAATTTTCTATAGCTTTATTTTTGTACCTAATTTGTTTCAACATTCCATGTATTCTCGGTATCGTTCTATGAGTCGAAAACAATAGGAGAAGGAGAAGCCCGCTAAATAAAGTTGATTTCCCTCCGTCCACAGTTTATAATACTGAAAAGCGAAACCAGAAGCGCTTGTTTATCGGATGAATTGGCTCCCGATCAAATTTCACTCTTTCTAAAAAATAGTTTATTAGTAATTGAGTTACAAATCAAAGCCGATAAAGCTGAGATAATCAAAAGTCTTACACAAATCGGGATTTTCTAATCGGTTCAAAAGTTGAATTACTTTCTGAAAAAACCCATAATAAACTAAAGCTGTTAAATTATAATCTATAATAGCAATTTGAAACACTCTCGAAACCGTTTTCGCTTTATAGAATTTCATGATGTTCAAAATAAATTCCTTTTGGAACTTTCTCATTTTTTTTCTTTTCTCTGAACCTGAACTTTTCGGACTGATCAACAGTTGCGGAAGGGTGGAAAACATCAACTGTCGCGAGCCAGGGGTGCCGTCCATCGTTCGATGCGCTTTGTTCGAAACTCCGCCCTTTCCAGTATCTCTATTCATGAGCAAGCGCTATTTCTTCAAGCCAATCGTCTAACCATGAGCTCTCTCCAACTTTCAGTAGATGGCCTCTGCCAACTCTCCCAAAATCTGACACTATTTTCCGCCCAGGGTCACCTATAAAAGCGACTTGCCTGATCAGAAGAGCACAGTCGGTCAATTTCGCTATCAGACTTGTTATTCGTCTTCTGCTTCTTCTTCTTGTTCTTTTTCTCGTTCTTCTTATACCATCTCGTGCCATTTCACTCTTTTCAACTCATTTCTTACAGGCATGTTCCGTCAGTTTGCCCTCGTCGCCGCGTTCGCCTGCGTGGCCTTGGCCATGCCGCGTCCTGACGCTGTACCGGAAAACTTTGAAGACATCCCGGCCGAGTACAAGGCCATGATTCCCGATGAAGTCGCCCAGCACCTCAAGGACGTCACCCCCGAAGAGAAGGCTGTCCTCAAGGAGCTCGCCAAGAACTACAAGGATTACAAGAACGAAGATGAGGTGGGGCTTTCGGTGATGCGAGCTTTTTCAACAACTCATTCCTAGTTCCTCGAGGCTATCAAGGCCAAGTCCCCATCTCTCCACGAGAAGGCCCAAAAGCTTCACAACCTCATCAAGGATAAGGTCGAAAAGCTCGGAACTGAGGCCCGCGCCTTTGTCAAGGAGGTAAGTCATTCGACATGCTTTTTAACACGTTTCAATGGGTGGAAACTTGACAGGTTCTGGCTGACGGCCGCAAAATCCACGCTCAATATCTCGCCGGAGAGAAGCCATCGCTCGAGACTCTCAAGACGTCCGCCAAGACCCACATCGACGCCTACAAGAAGCTGAGCGACGAGGCCAAGACTCAGTTCAAAGAGCAGTTCCCGATCCTTACCTCAGTCTTCCAGAGTCAGTTCAACTATTTTTTTCCCAAGAATATATTTCTCATCCTTTCAGACGACAAGATCCAGGCTCTCGTCGACAAATACATCAACTGAAAAGTGCCTAAATCGCTAGCCAAAGCTCAGTAACTCAACTCTTTTTTTGTATCTTTGAAAAATAATTATATAAATTATTTTTACAAGTGAATGCCTCCCTGGAAACACTCTTGGAAGAATGAAAATGAAGATGAACCATGAGACGAGTATGCAACTTCAATGAAAGCTTCACGAACCAAAATATAAGGACCGCCGGCAACTTTAGAAACTATTCAACGTGGTTTTGTGCTCTCTAACCAGAAACGGTTTAGTAACTCTTTTTTTTTCAAAGCTCGAAAATTAAACAAAGACAAATTCTAATAAAAACCTTAAAAACTTCTACCGAATCCGTATGCAATAGAATGGAAAATGATCGAAAAATGACTTGAATTAGTCTTTTATACACTGAAACTTGTCCTTCTTTATCCTAATCTCATTTTGAATCTAATTAAATCTGTACAAGACTATATTCATGAACCAATAGCGAGTTACTGACCTTCTCAATTTTCAGGAAAATAGCGGAAAACCGAAGTACTTGAAAGCGAAGCGATACGAAAAGAAGAAATTAAACGTCATACATATATTGAGAATACTTTATTACACCGGTATCACAGATAATCGATCACATAGAATTAAAGTGAAAAAAAAAAACTGAAAATGATAACATCTTTAAAAAAAAGTGAAACTAGAAAAAATTACCAAGAAAACAAGTATAATTGCAGCCGTTCATTGCAGAAGCCAGAAGTCGCGAAAAGACTGTGAATCACAAAAAAGAATCACAAAAAACAAACCCAAAAAAATGCAAGAGGCCAAAATCGAGACAGAAGAGAAGGAAACAAGGAAAAAAGAAACTTACCCATAGCGAATGCGTGTACAACCGAAAACATAACGATGTAAAAGAAAAATAAATTAATCAAGAAAATAAACATTTGAAGAAGCTAGACAGAAAAATGTGAAGAAAAAATCAAGAAGGCAACTGGACTTTGTACTCTCGAGCCTTCTCGGCATTGTATTCTTTGAATCTCCAATGCTGATAGGCGTCGTCGTGGTCACAAAGTGACATCAAAAGCTTTGCCCCATCCTTGGACATAGCTAAACACTTTTGCGACACAACATGCTGCATTCGACCAGTCTGAATATTGGCGAATGATCGAAGAAAATTTAAAAAAAATCATAAAGGCAAAAAAATGTTTTTCCACTGATTGATCAGAAATTTTTTGAAAAGCAAAGGGTTCTATTACTAGATACAAAAATGACACTCCTGTGAGAAACTTTTCAAATTTTTTTTTCGGACAGACATCTAAACACGAAACATTTTCCATTTTTGGCTGTTTTTGATAAATTGATTTTTTCTGTGAACTTTTTCTCAAAACATTCTCTATTTAGGGATGAGTAACCGTGCTGCACATCACATAGCTAAATAAGAGCTTAATCGAATCCTTTTGAGAAAAGTTACTGCCAAAAATGCTGTATGTCTCCGATAGCATTCCTTGTACCATAGAGATAATATAGTCAATGTTTCCCGACTTGAAAGGCGAAGGAGGCGGGGCAAGGGGCGGGACGCGTAGCGTGTGCGTACGCGGTCCTTTTCACGAGTCCAGTTCAATCGCCGCCGATTATTTAAAAAGCTCGGCAACCGCTCTTTTTCAATGTTTTCTACTATTTTTTGATGCACACATGAACATAATCAATAAATAATTGAAAAAGGAATGAAAAAGCGAAAAACGGGCTTTCAAAGAGTCGATGGCGGTTGAATTGAACACGTGCCAAGAACCGCGAGCGCACACGCTACGCGCCCCGCTCCCTGCCTTGCCCTTCTCGCCTTTCAAGTCGGGAAACATTGACTATACCTGTTAGCTAATAAACGAGCACTCATTAGCTAACGCCGACTGAATTTGAAGTAGCTACTTGTATACACCTTTCGATTTACCTTTGCTTTATAACTCGTTCTAGAACTATTTGAAAGAAAAAAAAACGAACATCATGATTGTAGCGCCACTCCTGGTTGCCTTTCATCGAATGACAGGGGAAAATCATCACGTCCTGACCTGCATAGTCGACACAAGATTCATCTCGACGGATCTCGCCGTCTTTCGACAACATCCAATACTGAACTCGTCATTGAAAAAAATATTTTCCCCTTTTTTACTCCACTCAGCAATGCGAGATGATATAATGCTGTTCAAATTATTACAAAAACCTCTTTTGAAGTTTTGAACCATGGCGTTTTCGGTGGTATGAAAAAAAGACCAGCGAAAATTAAAACGGCGAGTTATCCGATTTTTCGTTTCGCCAGGGAACTTTCCGACGGCCACCTTTCCGCCGAATCTTTTTCCGACTTTTTTCCCTTATATTTTTCGGTTTATAAAACATCTATTAACATTTTTTTCGTATTTCTTTGTGTTATAATCATGAATAAATTACATACTTTATATAGGAAGATTCTAAACAAAGATTTTATGGAGAAAAAAAGTCGGAAAAAGATTCGGCGAAAAAGTGGCCGTCGGAAAGTTCCTTAGGGATATGAAAAATCGGAAAAGTCACCGTTTGAATTTTCGCTGGTCTTTTTTTCATACCAACGCGTCTTCTGCCCAGTATCCTCCAATTATTTCACACATTTTTTGATACAGGACGCTTTTGAGGCTTAACCCCCGCCATGTTAAAAATCACAACAAACTGAAGGGCCAAAAGATTATTACCACTTTTTCGTGATCATCCTTATTATTGTTATTGACTTAAGACTCCCATAACACTCTCTTTCTTTTTTCTTCGAAGTCTAGGGCGATAAAAGGCAACAAGTTATGTACTCGGAAATGTTTAATTAACACACAATTTACATTTTATTCACCAATTAGATACGAAAAACTTGACCGATTTGACATCTGGTGGTGCAACTTCAATGAACAAAAAAAACGTTCGTTTACAAAGAGCTCCTCTTAACGACCTTTCTCCCACCTGATTACCACCCTGCTCGTGGCACTCGTACATTCCAAAACGTTTTCCGGATGGAGCGCCTTTATAGTCGACACATTGGCGGTTCCCACCACCCGCGTTGCGTAGCTGCATCGTTTATTATATGTCTATATATTGTCTCAATCGGAAAAGTTCAAGGTTGTCAAAATAAAGGAAGCAGGTAAGGAGTATAGGAAACACATTGACGTTCCATCACCAGACAGATTCCGATCAAGTGAACCAAAGTGTTTTGTGGCGCAGCCGAGTGTGATATTTAAATTGATAAAGCTCAAAAAACGAGTACATAACAAGTGCCAGAAACGACCCTTACAAAAAAAAAAAATTAATGAGTGCCTTTTCCTCCCGCCAAAACCGCTTCTCGACGGCAGCAAGTTCCTACTGTATCCGTACGACCATGGTCTATCAAGTAAGATCGAAAGAATTTATCATTAGGAACTAATTAACCAAATTGCTGATTCTGGCTAGGTAGAATTATTGTAGTTACAAACTAGATGCTTTTTATTTCACTTGTCGCGTAAAACTTTTGAGATTTTGAACTACAAAGTACAAAAGTCAATCGACAGTATTCAGATAATTCTTTAATGAAATAAGATGAGCGGTGAAATGACGTATGACTGGGATATCCGAGTGGACACAAAAAATATGGAAACATTAGAGTGTGAGTTTTTTTTAAAGAGTACGTTCTGTTGGCTAATGTGGATACGCCGATTGACCAGTGTACACCTCATCACTTGCCATTTGTAACTTGAAAAATCCGACTCCTAGGGTATAATAAACCATTTCAAAGTCTACTCAACCGCCTCCTAGCATTCCTAAAGTTTCATAATTTTTGCCAGACTTTAAAATTAATTTTGAATGACTGTGCTCCTAGCAAACAAAAATATTTCTCAAAAAAGGATATTCAGGGAGTATTCGTGCTTTTCCCCCTTTATTAAGGTTATTCTGTATGCTACACAGCTATACCGGCCGTTCTTTTTCAAATTCCCCCAATTCTTCTCAAACTACTACAACTCAGAATCTGCCTTGGCAACACCTGGTTTCCGCCCTGTTCGTGACAAGGATACGGTGTGATAGCCTTGTTCTCGACGTCGTCGCCGACTGCGCTGTCAAGGCACTGCGAAGAGACGGCGTTGCGCATCTAAAAGAGCTCGCTTGGCGCCGGGTTCTCACCTGGTTTCCGCCCTGTCCATGGCACGCGTACGTGCCCACTGGCTTGTTCTTATCGTGCTTTCCAACCATGCAGTCGAGACAACGTGCTGGTGCGTGCCCACCGAGATTTCGCACCTTGAAACCAACGAACAACGTGTTTGTGAGTAGTCAAAGAGTTGCTCTCTCAGTTTTAAGATACGTTCTAACTATGATCCTTTCACAACTGGACTTTTGCCTCTAGCGAACAAAAAGGGATATAACAAGGAAATCTGCAACTAGACACAAAAAGCACTAGCGACAATGAATATCTATTACTTATAATTTTGAAATAGCCAGAGTACTAAAAAAAAAATGAAAAAATAAAACTATTATATAATCTGACTAGAAAACTACTTGAACTCGGGGACAGGTATCGAGTTAAAACTTTGGTTGCTTATAGAACTAGGTAAGAGTACTCGGAAACAAGATATTTTAACTAACTTTAAAAAAGTCAACTATGAGACTGGCCATGGCCACCTCGATGAGGGGAAGGCCCCGGCAGGTACAGATATCCACCTTGATTTTTTCTAGATGCTTTTCCACAAAAGCCAATGTGGTTTTTCAAATTGTCTCTCTTGTTTCCAGGTTCTCCTACCCAGTCGTTCAATTTTCAACTCGCTACTCAACCCGAGCAGTTCCTTAGTAACGTAACAAAATAAAGCTCAACCAATAGGGAAAAAACCATCAATTATTAAAAAACTTTTCTTGAAAAAATTTTCTATTAGTTTCGTGATTGCTTCTAGAAAATTCGCATGCAGGAAATAATAAACACCAAAAAAATCAAGAGTTGGTCACAAAATTTGAGGACGAGTTCAATTTTGAGAAACGGAGCCGTAAGTGAATAAAAGCTGTCAAAAGACAAATATATATATAATATCTCCGCCTCACGTTTTTGCACCCGTTTTCAAAGATTCAAACAGAAACTAAGATAAAATAGATATAGCATGCATTGATCGTGTTGAGATTAATACAAAAAGGCATGCAGGTGACCACCTTATGAAGTCCAGTCGAAATTCAAAAATTATTCCCCGCTAAAATTCGCCAAAGTCATACGTTGGAAAGCAAACTATCCAGTGGGCAACAACGCTGTACCATTTCTCTTCTTCTTTTTTTTTCTCTGATATATCTTGGGCCATTTGAAACCAGGGAGGAACCGGCGATTTTTTTCACACTCATAGTTGGTTATTTTCAAAATTAGTATAGACGATTCACGGCTAGCTTGGGACGCAAAAAGACGTGGCCTGTCTGCGCTCTCCACCAACCAGGGCACTGTCTCGTCTCTTTTCGTGGCAGGACCCTTTTCTCGATGGCTCGAGCCAGCCGTGAATCAGCTATATCGAAGGGAGAGAAATTAAAGATGGAGACAATGAAGCAAAATCTGACGAAAGATTGATGGCTCCTTGAAACCAAACTGCCAATTTGCGGAATGACATAACCGATAATTGAAATGGCCAATAAGATCATCACAACTTACGGCAACAAGGGCATTGGGATTGCCAAGCGTGCAAAGGTGAAACAGACTATCCAACAAATGTTAAACAAAGCATGTTAGAAGAAAAGATACATAAATAAACGATAACTTATTGAAGAAAAAAAAACAAAACTCTTCTAAAGAAATTGTATTAAGAATAAGATTTTAATCTTGAGAAAAAAAAACAGTCGTCGAGAAATCAATTTTTGTTTGAAGTATCTTCCAAAAATTGACGTTTAATTTTTTTTCAAAACAGTTTTCAAATTTCTGAGTTTTCTGTTCAGATTTTGAATTTCATGGGGTTGTTCAAACTTCGTCCCTTACGTGTAGATCAAAAAAATCAAAAAGCGAGCCATCCACAGAGTTGAGGGACAGCAGTTTGCTGCTTGACATTCAAAATCTGAACAGAGTATGAAATATCAAAAAAAAAAAATTTTTTTTCACTACAAACAATCAGTAAACTGGTTTTCTACAGGATTCTAATAAGAGAATAAGTAGAAAAACACAAGAAAATGAAGAATAAAACTGAGGAAAGGAGAAAAGCAGAATAAACAAGGCGGCGGAAAATAGTCTGAAAACTCACCTCTCCTTTTGCGATCGACTCGCCGGGTACAAAAAGCTCTGGGAAAATGTTGTCAAGGTACCACTTGAAGGATTTACAGCCGAGCCGCTGCCGCAGGGCTTTCCGCTCTCCGACATCTCCATAATCACCCTTCAATGCATCTCCAATGTTTTTTTTGCTAATGAAATTTTTTGAAATGGCCCATTCAAAAAAAAAAAAGAATTTTTGATGAGAAAATCATACCCTAGCGAGAAAACAGAGAAAAGACAACTTTTCAAAAATCATCACTACGGAATGGCGGAAAATGAGGAAAAAAATTAACGACATTTTGTACTTTTTCTAGCGCTCATCTGCATGAGTAACCTACCAATTGGTTATTGATCCGTTCGTAATAATACGTTTTGTATTCGTCAAGCCAAACTTCAGCTAGACGAATCGAATTGCGTTTCAAGACGTTCACACCCGTTCTGGAAAAAAAAGATATCAAAAAAAGTTCGAAATAACAAAAATCCTATCAACGTAATTTGACAAAATAGAAAACAAAAATCCATAACTAGCAACGGTTCGAAAAAAAAATCTTTTGAAAAACGAAGAAGGCCTGAAAGTTGAAAGCCTGCCACACTGCATTAGAAAAAAAAAACACACGCACACACACAGTGAGACATTTAAATGATATATTTTTTTCTTTTATTTTTTTTTTCATTGTGAAAATCATTGATTTTCTTAATAAAAAAAACCAGAGCATATATCGAGGAGAATCTAACTCATTTCTTTTGATGATTAACACCACTATGAGGTGCTAATAAATGTAGAAGAAGATTCTGTAGACTTCGATAAGAAAATGAAAAAAGAAATGAGCAAAAACCTTCGAAAAAATTTAAGAACCCGAGCCAAACACCCAAACAAAATTGGTAAATATATGCATAAGTAATCCATCGAACCCAAGTCTGTCGTTCGCTGGAGGTTTCACACTAGACAGATCCGGTTTAATCATATAAGACGAAAGTGTATTTTAAAGAAGAAAAAAAACCTCCATTTGTAGGGAGACCGTTTCCGGAAGACGTGACCTACATGTGAGCATGGAACAATCTCCAGGGTTCCGCCGCACATCCATATCTGAAAAAAAAATCAGCAAGAAGGGTAAGTGAATAAGGTACGCCAGAAGGTCCCTTGTGAGGCCACCTTTAAGGCACTTGAAGGCTTCTCTCTAGGGACAACCTTACTTCCCCTATGGTGGCACTAAATCTCTCGAAAACGGCTCCTATAAGAAATTTCAACTAGTGACCACTCTAGAGGAATATGCTAGTCGCTTATTGTTGAAAACTCTATGAAAAGAACAATTCCCATGAACCTAATAAATTAGCGTTTTTTGAATGAAAAATTTCAATATCGGATTGATCGATCCAGTTTTATTGAATACGTATTTTTTATTTTTAAAACCATCAAAAAATTGAAAGAGCCCTAGAGGGACCACCTAACATTTACCCCTCTAAAGAGCACTATTTTTTCCTCTTTATGGACTGTTTTTCTCAACCCCTCTATGGACTACGACGTCCCAAGAAAAGTGTAAAAAGTCCCAGTTTTTCAGGCGCTGAATGTGAATAAACCCGTATTTCGACTCTTTTTTTCATAATAATTTTTTTCTTTTTTTCTCTTATAATTACTTTGAAAGAAAGCTCGAGGTTCTCTCCACCCCAGATGTCGAAGCCATTATCGTAGGTGCCGAGTTTCTCAAAATACTTTCTATCGATGGAGAAAAGTCCTCCAGCCATTGTAGGAGATCTAAAATTACAAAAAAGAACATGAAATACAAAATGATCGGCGAGGAAAAATCAAACGCACCTAACAGGATCAATGGCACGAGTGCGATTTTTGCGATCGCGCTCTGGGATCGCATGCCAGTTGAATTGAAGACCCCAATCGAATCCTCCAACGTTCGTGAAATACGCCTGGAAATAAGAAAGCTTACAGGTTTGAAATGTTTTCTTCTTCTTCTCATTTTTGGTTTATTTCAAAAAATAATTGTAAAATGAAAGCTTGAGAACTTGGTTAAAATTTGCTCAGATGGTTCATAAACACACTCATGAAATTATGGGACGACTTTTTCAGTCTACTAGTCGAGTACGGCGCCTCAAAGCTTGCGCGCTACTATTGAAGTGCGAAAAAGAATATTTCGGCACTTTTTTAGTCGTTATAACTTGAAAAAGGAGATGGCTTTCATTAAGTTTTATATGTTCAAAATCAATGTACTTCAGAGAAATCTTGAGTGTCTCCATTTTTTTTTGAGCTTTTTTCTATTTATTTTTCAGGATTCTCTCAAATTTTAAGAAGCATTCAAAATTTTTTCCGCGTTTACAAATGAGTCGAAAAAAAAACCTTAGAGTAGTGGTACTCAAACGTGTTATCGTCTATCACGTCAATAACAGGGCAAACGACGGTAGTTGGATCACGTTTGATCCTGTCGAGCAGCGGCTCAATCCAACCTTGTAACAACAAAATGATCAAGAGAAAGAGGAATTTCGCACAAACCTTCCATACATTCGCAATGGGAGTCAAGGTACGTCAAAACTTGCCCTTTAGCGATGGCCGCTCCCCGGAGACGCGCCCGAATAAGTCCCTCACGTTTTTCCATTCGTAAAATCCTCACTTTTGGGTACTGCGACATATACTGCTCGAGTGGAACTCAAAAACCAGATTAAGCGAGATTCCAAGAATCATCAAATTCAAAGAATGCGTGATAGAAAAAGCCGTCGATTAACTATTGAACAAATGACGAAAACAGGCTTTTAAAGGGCGCTTTATGAAGCCCCGTTCAAGTAATTTCAGCAAAATAGAAATGACGGTCAGAGAGTGAGACAGATAAATATGAAATCTGTAGAGTCAGAGATTATTTTTTATTTCGCGAAATTACTTTGAAAGCGGCACGAATATCTAAGTATAAATATACTTGAAAACTTTCTGAGTATTTCAAGTTTTAAGTTTTCAACGAGCTCTAAAAAAAATCAAACATCGTAGTTGTACTCAAAAGAACTTTTTTCACTTGAATAATAATCTTTGACAAGCGTTTTCTTCAATGTAAAGACCTTCAATGAGTTTTTTGTCTTTGAGAAAAAATTAAAAAAGATTTGCACTCGAACCTACTCCAAAAACTGATAATAAAACGACTAGCCCTCCAACCCCTAAAGCAGGTCTAATGCGTTAAAACCAACTTTTGGTGTGTTCCATATCGGAGAAGTCGTCGACGAGAATCACTTCTTCCAGAAGGTTATCAGGGGTCCTTTCCAGTACCGAGTGCACCGTACGCAACAACACGGACCACGCTTCGTTGTGGAAGCAAACGATGACCGAAGTTGCTGGCAACCCTTCCGAATATTTTTCCACTGCGCATCTAAACTTTCAAAACCCTGATTTACCGTTCGCTGTCGGCGCAAAAATTAGCTACAGTAATATAAAAAAGTATTTTTCGACAAGTTAAAGATTATTGCACAATCATACAAGAAGAGAAAAAAAAACCAAAAATTGCTAAAATGAAAAATAGGAGGTCATAAATTCACCGCCAGCGAAATCTTTTTTTTCCCTTTTCTTCTCAGAATATGTTTTTTTTTTAACTTCGAGAAGTTATTCAATTCATTGAAAATGTTGAGGAAGAAATATTGATCATATTCCCAATTCGTAGGAACGAACTCTTTGTCGGCATTGTCGGGCAACGTCCGATGGATGGAGATCATATCAGAAGCATACTGATTGAAAGCGTTATTTGTCATCCCCTTGTCGTATTTCTTTTTCTCTTCGGAAGAAAGTTTCTGAAAAATGAACCAAATTAGACTGAAGACAAAAAAAATTTAACGCATGAATAGTGTCTTTTAAACGATTTCACTCGCGCGAAGTCGGAATGGTGGATTAGCCGCAAAAAATAGAGGCTCAAAAAAAGCCGCAGAAAGGCAGCAAAAAGGCAGAAAAAGAGCCTTTCTGTCTCTAAAAGGAAGCTTTTATCCTCTCTTTCCGACTTTGCCTTTGATTTCAAAATTTTCTTCTACATTTTCCCGATAAACCTTTCACATCAAGACTTTATGATCTATTTTGAGTCTGAATTTAAAACCTTCCACTAATGAATTTTGGCGGAGTTTAGGGGCGGTAGCCGCCAAAATAAGGAGAGTAATAAAAAGAAAAGAAAAAAAGAAAATACAATCGATTTTTTTTTTCGTTTTTTCATTTGAAGGCCGTGTGAGAAACGTATTACAAAACTTGATCCCCTAATGAAAACTTCCCGCGAAAAATAAAACTGACCGATTTGTCGACAACTACGGCTGCTCCCTTTTCTCCTGCTTGCTTCGGATCACCACGTTTGTAAATTGGCTCGTTGGGATCAACAAAAAATTTAGGCTTTGGCATATTTATATTATTATCGTTATTCTGTAAGCGTTCTATTGGACAAAACTCTTTTTCAAAAAAGAAGGGTGAAAAATGGGAACCTTGAACAAAAAACCAACACTAGATTTTGACGAAATTTCTTTTCGAAAAAAGGTGAACTATGCAGTTTTCAGTCGAAAAAATTCAGTGTGAACGTTGAACATGTTCTTTTGTGTTCCCATTTTTCACGTTAATCCAGAACCAAGAAGACATACATTAACATCGTTGGTATCAGGAACATTGTTCAATTCTTGATTATCCTGATCATTAAAGTTTTGAGGTCTGCCAAAACCTTGAATCACTTTAGCTGGTGGCTGCCGTTGTCTTGGCCGTAAATCTTCATCCTCCGAAACCTTTACTCCCAGATGTGCTCAGACACGCAAAAATCAAACTGACCTTGCGATTTTCGGTGGCGGCAAAATAGATAAGCGAACAAAACCACACAATTGGAATAAGTAACAAAAATTTTTCAGAATAAATTTTTTAAGAACTACCATTGGACCCGTGGTATCGAAAAAAATCAGTTTTTTTAATTTTTCTGAAAAAAATTTATTTTTATTAAAATATTTTTTTAAAAAAACAATCATACCTGGCTTGAGAGCCACTAGAAAAAAAGTGTTAAATATGATCTCGTTTATTTCTTTTTTTAAACTTGCTCAGAGAACTAAAATTTCTGGAAGCCTGATTCTTGTGGAGAAGTAGTTATCTGAAAAAATCCTCATTTCAAAAAATTCAAATACCAACGAGCAAAGAAAAACGACAGAATCGTTGTAAAAAAAAAAGAGTAAAAACTAGGACAAAATAAAAAATCTTTAGAATTTTGAGCCTCCTGGTTTTTTTTTCATTACTCAACATCATAAAAAAATTTTTCGGTATGTTAAACATAAGAATTTTTGAAAATTAATTAAAAAAATTAAAAAAATTAACATTTTTTTCGATCCAGGTTTATGAAAAAAATAAAAAAATAACTGGAAAGAATTTTACGAAGATCAACTTATTGGTAAATTAGGTAAAATATATTAGATCAGTTGGTGACCCTTGAAAGATTTTTTCAAAAAAGTTGTTGTGGGGATTTTAAGCTTTAGCCGAGTGTTCTGACAGAAAAAAAATCTTCGGCTTCATGATTGGAGCCGAAAATGGAAAAATGAAATGAATTTGAAACGTAACCGAGTCTAGAACGAATGCAAAAAATCAAAAATTTGAGAAATGAATTCTGGGGGTTGCCACGGTGGCAATACGAAGCCACGTCTGAAATATCGACGTATATGCTTCGAGGCATAAATACTTTCAAAAAGTACATGAACGAATGCAAAAAAAAAACAATTATACATATGCTCGCTCGAAAAAAAAAATTAACAGACGCCTTTGATAAGAGACGCCGTACTTTTCCTACATGAAAAGCAGCTGATCGCCGGAACACTCAAAACTCGTCGACTAATTTTGCCGAAAAAACGTGATGCTCTACGCGCCGTTTTTGATCGAAGACAGCTTCGCGAATCGACAACAGTTCTTCAATTATTCCAGGATTCAGCAGAGAATCTTCTCTGAAGGCTGAATAAATGTGTAAATGTGTAAAAAATTTTGATATATAAAGCTTCGAACAACTGCGCGAGCATGAAACTATGTACTAACACAACGAAAAAAAATTCCACTTTTCCCTTCAATCTTTTATTCCTGTTAAGCTTTCATCTTTGAGCTGCACCTTTTTTGGAGCCTCCAAAGAGGCATTTAATGTGAAAGAAAGACCGTATTTTTTTTTCAAATCGCAATAGATTCGAAAAAATATTATGACAAAGTTGACAAAGACTGAAAAAAAAACACAGTTACTATCGATCCAACGAGGTTCGGTCAATCATACAACGGTGGACTCCCTAGTGCGCTCCTCTATTGGCTTTCGCCATCTATGTACACAAACGAAAATTAGAGCAGTGAGGACTCAACTTTTCGTCTTTATACGTTATTTCCATATTCGAAGAAGTTTAAACACTATAAAAAATTACAACTTGTCAAGACCGTTGAGAAAAAATTATTTTGCTTTTTTCAAGAAGCGTAGCCTAAATTCGTTGTAAGTTTGTAAATAACACCCTGTCTCTGTTTCGCAAAATATTCTCAAAAGCAATAGTTGAAAAAATTCTTCTTGATTTTGATGAAGTATTACCCATTGTTATGATATGACGTCAGGCTTGAAGACACAATTTTCGGAGTCATTTCAGAAAATACTGTTTCCTCTTACCTTAGCCGGTGGTCAAGAGATTTTTTAAAAAACACCAACCCCTTGTTTCGTTCACTACGGGTGCTTTATATCGTCTCTACATCTATCACGTTTGCTTTGAAGCCGAAAAATCTGAATTTTAGAATACCCATCAGTCAAAAATTTTGTTTGAACTCGATTTCGACTTGAAAAATGTGATTTCTGAGGTTCTATGGTTTGTTTTGGGTGGAGCAAATAGTTCAAATTTTTTTTGAGCCTGATTCGTTTAAAAAAAAAACACGATTTAAAGAGCCAAGTAGCTCTAATTTCTTTTGAAGAAATTCCTTTGGTCTTCAAAATAAACAGAATCCTATACCAGACAAACTTCGATATTTTTCCCTTGTGAATATTTCGAAAGCGCCCTTTTTACTCAAATTGAACCAAGTAGAATCGACCATGAGGGGCTTTCTTGCGACGCAAAATTATCTCAATCTGAAACAAAATATGGTCCCCTTTCTTAGAAAATTGAACCAGTAAAAATGAGAAAAGTGAGGAACTCAAGTGGATATATGATTGAAGACGAAAGTTCCAAACTTCACGGATAGACTAAATATGTCCACCATAGAATATCCGAAGTTAACGGCAACAGGAACAAAAGCATCGTGAGAAGCAGGGAATCCTGGGAAAAAAGAACGCTTTGCAAGCCGATAGCGGCTCCAAAAAAGGTGTTGCTTCTCAAAAAAAAACTGTTGGCCGAATCGCCTGAAAATGAATACTGATCATTGCGTCTGCAACCCTGACGTCATATACTAGGCGAAACATCATTAGAATGGAAAATTTTTTTTTCTCTGTACCTACTGGTTTTGAAATTCAAAGTGTCGAGTCTATTTCCGTCTTATTTTTTCATACTTTTCGAAACTAATAAAACCAGGTTTGTTCACAGAAAGCATAAACCTCTTTCTTTAACTAAAAAATCGACGAAAAAAGTGAAAAAAAAACCGTAAAAAAAGAGAAGAAAAGAAGACATACGAAAAGAAAAAACACTGGGAAACTTTTTTTTCAGAACACGTTTGGAGGGATTCTAAAAGTGGGAACGTTGAGCGTGAGAGGCGCGTAAAATCGAGGCGAAGGACGAATTTTTGGGCAACGGGGCAACGCACCGAAACGAAAGAGAAGAATAAGAAGAGGAAGAAGATGCAGAAAAGCGTTCACGGCGACACTCAATTATTCGATGGAAATCTACACCGCCGTCCAATGAGTCGTACGGCGTTCAGGTTGCGTTGCCGCGGAACATCCGCAATGTTGCCGCAATAACATCCGCAATGAACTACCCCGAACTATATAGGAATGCCAGAGCGGTCACTAAAAAGGGCAGCCTTGAGGGATCTTGTAGGTTCCTCTCAAAGGACCACTTACTTCCTTATATAGAAGGGGAACTAACAAGTTCATGTTTTCAATATCAAAAATTTCTCATCAAAAGGGACAAATTAATTCCAAAAGTTCATCTTAAAATAGAGAAATAGATTTTCGCGGTGTTTTCTATTATCGATTTTTTCTCTGCTAAAAAAAATATCCTGGAATTAGTAAGTTTTTTTTTTCTGAACTCTAAACACTGGTGAACTCGTTAACAAAAAAACGTTTTCTAGAAAACTTTCGCTTTTGAAAAAAGGTAAATTTTTAGCTAATCATACAAAACCTATGTATCAGTTTTTTTTTCGAAATTCGCTCTGCGAGCTGAGAAAATTGAGATCATATCCTCTTCAAGCCAGATTTTTTCTGTCCTTCTGGGTCGTGTCGCTGTGATTTGCCATTTGTTTACAAATTCGAATCTGACTGGAAACGTATAAACACTAAAGGGGCTGAAGAGTGTGAAAGTCGAAATGCCGATTGGGCTTCATGTGCAGAAAAAATTTGAAGATTGAACAGTTTTCTACATAAGTAAATAATAACAGAAGAACGAGAAATTTGTAAAAACAGTAAAACAGTTACCCAGGAGCAGTATTCAATAAAGTGAAAAATGGTATCCGCCATTTTCCTGGAACTCTGTAATGATTTTAATTACTTTTTTTTAAAATTAGAATTCGTTCTTACCTCTCAGAATCTTCTTATAATATCTTAATATATAGGCAAAATTGCGAATGAAGGAGTTCATAGCGAGTTTCAAGCATCTTTTCAGGAAAAAAGCGGAAAATAATTTTTCAATTTATTGCATAGGGGCTTCAAATTATTGCAGCGGAAATCAGCATGGTGGATATCAGAGAGAAAAAAAAGTGTAATGAAAGCAGTTTGTAACCAGAAGCCGTATGCAATAAAGTGGAAAATTGTTTTCCGCCACTTTCCTGAAACTCGTAAATGACTAAAAATAGTATTTTTCAGACTGAAATTGTTTCTTCTCTTTCCGAATCTTCTTATAAAGCCCTATTACATCATACAAATTCAAAATCAATGATATCCTAGCGAGTTTAAGGCCTTTTCTATTTTCAGGGAAAGGGCGGAAAATCATTTTCCACATTATCGCATACGGCTTCAGATAACGGTTGGTTTGGTTACGGAAAAAAAAAACTACAAAAATTATATTGTAGAGCTTCTAAAACGATTTGAGGCTACTCGTTAAAACTTTGCAAAGTAACTTTCGGATTTTGTGGGCTCATGGTTTCAAAACCAACATTCAAATGATGATAACGAAAAAAAAAAATTAAAAATTGTAGCCAGCAAAAGGCGAGTTTATTTGAGAAAAAAAAAACCAGACTCACTTTCAAAGTTGGGCGAACCATACTTTGAAGAACCGTTCATAAAAAGAGAAAAAAAAAGTGTCCATTGAAGCGAAAATGGATGGACGGTAGATTGAAAAGGAGCGAGGGGAACAAAATGTTTGCCTCGGCGGTTCTCGTCGTCACACGCGAGCGCCCAAACAGTATTTGTTTCCGATTGTGAGTATCCGGGCAAAAGCGGAAACACTTCTCACTGTACTCTATATGAAATCTTTGATCGATAGTTCAATTAAACCTTCCTTCGCACGGCGCTTCAAAAAGGGTTGAGGTAAAGAGAAAAACTGGCCTTCGAGAAAACTTGTTCAGACGAAAATGCCTTGCTTCGAAAAAAAAAAAATTACTCCAAAACAAAATTAGTACTTTTTCAAAGCGGATTTGAGGCGACGGTGGACGGTCTTTGGCATTTTTGAAACATTTCGGACCTTAGTGACGAAAAAAAAGTTTTTTAAATTTTAAGAATTTCTTCGGACTTTATAAAAGTGTTAGCGGATTAAAAGTACGTATTTCTTCATAATCAAAAGTACGTATTTCTTCATAATATAACCAGTTTCGAAGAAAGTTTTTAAAAAGTCTTAGAATTTCAAAAACTCACTTATTTTTCTGAATTTTTCTATTTACGGCAGAAAATGCTATCTCTCAATATACTCAATACACACTATTTGCACATAACATATTTCGATTTCAGGTCAAATTAAAAGGTCGACTTAATTGTAGCTCAAACCCTTTTTTGGTTTGGAATGAACACCTTGCTCGACAGTCTAGTTTTTGCGAAGTTCTCATAAATCAATCATGAAAGTTGAGGCGTTTGAGAAAAGGGGAGAAAGGTCTAATTCATCCTTGAGAAAAAGGATTAAATGCGGTTTTTACCCCAAAGGTGGAGGGAAATCATTAATTTCAAAAAAATTAAGCTAGATTGACTATTAGGAAAGAAAAAATAAGAAAAAAAAAATAGTAAAATGACGTCCAATTCGTTCATTCTACAATGAATAAAGCTGAACCGTTAGAGCATGAGGCCGCTGATAAGCGCTATCAAACGAAGGAAGTGTGCATAGCGAGGTTGAAAAGAAAATGTACGTTTCATGTTTTTCAGGCAATAGGAAAAATTGCCTATTTTGCTTGACAAACAAAAAAGCTTGTCGAAAAATCAAAATTTTTCTGCGGCATGATGCAAATTCGGTCGGTTAGGTTTTTTGTTTTTGCATGGTGGCCATTTTTTGCAAGTTTTCAAGCTTTTTTGATGTTAATGAAGTTGATTGAGGTGTTAACGGTTTTACAGTACAAATTCCTCCATAATATGACCAGTAACTTTCTCAGAATTTTCTCTCTTGGGACGCCAATTCTTCGTTCCCTGAAACTTTCAAAACAACCACAATCAAGAATTCTGAGCATTTTAGAGAGTCAAACAAATTTAAACTGAAAGAACCTTTCAAAAAAAAATGGCCAATTTAAAAAAGGACTGAACCATCTCTTCTGAACGATTTCTAAATTTTTTGAATGAGTTTTCATGAAATTTCAGGGCTCCTTGAGAATAATTTTCAAATAAATGTATACTTTCATTAAAATAGTCACAGAAAGCCTAACAGAAAAATATCAATTATAAATTTTGAAAAAGCAAAATATAACTTTTATTCAAATATTACCAAGACGATCCACACAGAGAAAAAAACCTCGAAACGATCCACACAAAGAAGAAAAAAAAGACAACTTGTTATTTTCTTGATTTATAGTAATAAAGCGTTGATCAACACGGCACGCATGAATATATGTATATTATCCAATCAGTTTGAAATAAATTTTATTCAACAGAAACCCAACAAATTATTAGAAAAGAAACAAATCAACAACTGTCAAGCCCATTAAAAAACCTTTTTTTTGAATGAAATTGATAAATATTGGAAAACGAATGAAAAAAAAATTGACCGAGTAACATCATCATCTGGTAGAACAACGTTTCAAAGCGAAACTCAACTCCACATCTAATTGTCATCGAGGAAAAAGAATTGTCCGCTTCTCTTCTGCTCCACGTCCTTTACCGATTCCTTCTTGTTGATCCTCGGTCGATAGGTCTCCGAATCACGACGGAAAGTAATATCCAGCATTCTCAGGAAACGGTTCATTCCTTCCAGCAAATTTTGCGGCCTAAAATATAATCATATCCGGGAGCACTCAGCACTCGCTCAGGTTGTCTCTAAGATCACGTGTAATTTTTTTTTTCTACTGTTCTTACTCTTCGTGATTGTGGAGGCTGCTGTTGGCACGCCCCTGCCGAGGTTCCGTAATGTGTTTTGAAAGTCGTGCAAGTTTTTCCTAGTGTTTTAATTTTACTTGCCCGTCTATTTACATCATGGAGTTTTTTGTAATTTTAACTGTAGTTTTACAAGTAAAATCGAATAATCTTCTTTGCATCGATTACGAAAATCACAATACGTTAATCAGGGTGTACAATTATGAGTTGAAGAGCATTTACAAGTAAACCTACAAGTGAAGTTACAAGCTCAAGTACAAACTTTTTTTTTCCATGCAAAACCCTCGGCAGAAGTGTGGGATGGCAGTTTCCACAAAATGTAAAAGTCGATAAACTCGTTAAGTTCTTTACGCAATAAAATATACACTATACAAAAACGACATGCTGGAAAAGTCGATCGGTTCGGTCGCTTTTTTATGATGAGTATTTTTCAAGTTTTTCGAATTTTGAAAAGGTTTTGGGATTTACTGAGGCGTCAACAGTTTTAAAATACGTATTTTTTGATAATAAAACCAGTTTTAAAGCAAGTTTTCAAAAACTGTTGTCATTAAAGTAACAAAAATTCTTTTTTTTTGAGTATTTCTCTTTTCGCCAAAAAATGCTTTCAAATCTTATTGAACACTATTTCGCACTCAACTTAATCCGATTCAAGTCATGAAAGTTCAACGTGAAGTTCATTAGAAAAAAGATTCTATTTTGGGCTTTTCCAAACTCAAAACCTAACCAAAATTGAGAACTCTACGCATTTTTGGACAACCAAACAGATTTGAAAAACTTCAAATATTTCAAAAAAATGGCCACTTTGAAAAAAAGCGAAAAAGTTGAACGCTTATTTTTATATCGCTAACCGAAATTCTAAAACTCCTACTTGCAAGCGGTGGCCTCAACAGAGGGCTGTCCTTCGAAAACAATGACTCGGTCGGCCAAGTAGGTGGCCATGATGAAATCGTGCTCAACGACAAACGCCGTTTTCTTCGCATGCATAATAAATCTGCCGTTTTATTCAGTGAAAAAAAAAGAAAGAAAATTTGAACCTCTTTATAACTTTGGCCGCATGCAAACGTTGTTCGGAATCGAGATACGCTGAAGGCTCGTCAATCAAATAAACCGACGCCGTTTTTCCCAAGCAGAGAGCCAAAGCGACGCGTTGCAGCTCACCTCCGGATAATGTTTGCACCTAAACATTTGTTTATTTTTTTTTCTTTTTCTCCTGATATACCTCGCGATCCAGCAGTTCTTCCATCATCAGGGGGTTCATGACGTCGGTTTTGAATTGCGGATGAGTATACATGTTCGGGATTTTCTCGTGAAGCATATGTCGCACCTGAAATTTTGAAATTTCTTAGAATCAAAAACAAAAAAAAATCAAACATAATTCTCCGATTTGGGGCTGATTTTCTGAGGCTTGTACGAGATGCTCATAGGGGGAAGTTCAGCATCTTCTTCGTCGGGCTTCAAAGAGCCAGCCAGCATACTTCAAAAAAAGGGCATTGATTTGTTGAAAAAAACAAAAAGAAAAAAACAATTAAAATGTTTCACCAAAGTTCTTTTTGAACTCCTGAGTGATTCTTTTTATCCTAAAACGCTTGCAAAAAAATCTTCTCAATATGTTTGTGAATAAAATTCAAAATACCGTATCATAGTTGTTTTTCCTGTTCCATTCTCTCCAAGCATGACAATGATCTCCGAATCACAAAAATCTCCAGCTTCGATGTTTAGTTTGAAACCTCCGAGGTTTTTCGACATGGCGGGGTACTGAAAAAAATCAAAGCGTGAATTGAGGAGTAAAAAAATTTACGAAAAAAATGAAATTTTTCGACCTTCATACAAAACACCACTTGTATAGAGAGGATCTATTAGTTGTGAAAATTAAACCTGATTGAGACAAAAAAAATACCTTGAAATTTCCGGTTCGCTTCACAACCTCTTCCTGTTGCTCTGCTACTTTGAACGATAGCTTGGTTTCCCTGAAAGTGCGAGATGGTGATTAGTAATTATAAAATTGTTTTATACCGGAAGCGCATGTTCTCTGTACGGATGAAACCGTCGAGAAACATGTTGATGCCTTCGCGGACTCCGGAAGGAAGTGTCACCACTCCGTAAACTCCAGGAACACCGTATAAACAGCAAATAAAATCGGAGAGGTAATCAAGAACGGCGAGGTCATGCTCCACAACGATGATATAGCTAAAAATTTAAATCTTTTTTTCTTTTCAAGAATCGCTTTTTTAAAGATCCCGACTTTCCAAATTAGTTACATTTTATCTCTTCCTGAGTGCTATTTGGCATTTCGCGGAATCCCTTTGAACACGGCCTAAGTAGTAGCAAATATTCCGACAGGGACTTTATCGCGCTTCCTTTTTCTATATCGTGCTTGCGTCGACGCGTTCAAAGTGATTCCGGTATCTGCGAAACTCGAGTAATTTTCATTCGTAAAATTGCGTAAAATACGAATCGATCTGCAAAAAAATTTGTTTCGACTAAAACTGTCTAAATGAACTAAAAATTTGTGATATCAAAAACTTGAGTCATTTCACTGCAGTTGGGCCCACAATATCTTTTTTTAATGGTCGCCGGAATTCCAATTCAGGGTAATTTGCGAAGTTACATTCTCAACGAAGAAAAAGTCAATTTTTTCTTTCGAAATAATCGAAATTTTGCCGTCGTATTTTCAAAGTGATTTAGCGAAATTCAAAATGGCAGTCAAAAAGTGGAAAAAAAATGCATAAATAAATTTTTGATTAATTTTGCATTTCGCTACTGAACAAAGTTTTCGCCAACTTGACGATAGCGTGCGCACCGTGAACAACGACTGAAATTTTTCTTTTGCCATTTTTCTCGCTTTGAGTGTTCTTTCACGAATACAAAAACCAGGAAAGAAAAAAAAATCATGTAAAAGGAATAAATTTTTCTTTTTCGTTTCCTCTATTTTGTATCAATGAGATTAAAAACGAAGTCTGTTTACTTTGAATCTGTAATCATTTCGCGAATAATGGCGGCAGCTTTGAGTCGCTGCTTGACGTCGAGATACGAAGACGGCTCGTCAAACATGTAGACGTCAGCACGTTGCACACAACACATTGCGATGGCAAACCGTTGCAGTTCACCACCCGAAAGTTGTTCAATCTGCCGGTTCAACACACCGGTCAATTCTGCATAACCAGATTAAAATCGGTCCATTGTAGATCAAATTCAACCCATGAGCTCAACGACATGCTCGAGCTTTTCATTGTCCGATTTCCTCTTGAGCAAATCTTGAACAGTTCCTTTCGCAGCCCTGAAATGAGGTTGATTTAAAAAAAATTCTCTCATTAAAATCCCAACCTTGGAATTTGATCTACATACTGAGGCTTAACGACAGCTTTTAGATTATCCTCCAAAATTTTGGTGAAATAGTTTTGAAGTTCCGATCCTCGGAAATAGGCAAGAATTGAAGGCCAGTCCGGTGGAGACTGAAAAACAATCAAATAATATCCATTAAACGCCAAGTTTTTTCAAATTTACGCCAAATTGTCCGAGATTTGGTTTCAGCTTTCCGGCAAGAATCTTCAACGCAGTTGACTTTCCAATACCATTCGTACCTACGAGACCCAGCACCTGCAAAAATTCATAGATTGGCTGATGGTGATGAGAAAGACACATGAAAACTGCTTAATCCTGTACCTCTCCACATCTTGGGGTTGGGAGACGATGAAGTTTGAACGAATTGGCAGAATATCGATGAGTAGTCTCATTCGCCAGATTCGCGGGCAAATTGATGATTTTGATGGCGTCGTATGGGCACTTTTTGACGCAAATACCGCAACCAATACAGAGAATTTCAGAGATGGTGCTAATCGTTGAAGTAGTTTCGACGACGATGCACTGTTTTCCTATGTGACAAAAAAAGTGTAGTGAACGGGAAAGAAATAAAATACCTTGTCTATTTACCGGACAAGATCGCTTGCAGGCAAGGCCGCAGTTTTTCGGCTTACACCGGTCCTTTTCAACAATGGCGATTCTCAAAGCTTGATCAGTCTCGTCATTTTTTTGAAGCGGCGCTTTTCGACTCATTGTGAACCCTGCAAATAAAGAAAATTTTCTTAGCGTCAAACTAAGGAAGCTAAATAAAGAAGTGTTTCATCTCAATAAAAAAAAAACACTTTCTAAAATAGTTTTGCCCAAAAGAAAAATGAATGTGCGGCCGCGGTAGATTTTTCGAAATGTCTGTGGAGCGCGTTTTCCTTGAGCGCCAAGCTGCACTTTGCAGGGTTGCACGGAATTCCGTTACCCGTCTTCCGCTTACGCGTCTTCCGCATAAATTTCTCTTCCTTAACCCGTGTTCCGTCTTCCTTAAATCATAGTTTTGTTCCGTAACCCGTGTTCCGTCTTCCTTGAAAAATTTTTGTTCTTCAGCTCCTAATTTAAACATTTTTTTGATAGAAAAATGCACTTTTTCGGTGTTGTGAGTGATATGGTAATGAAGATAATTTCGTCTACATATATACTGTAGAAGGGCCAACTATTCTCTCAATTCCAGTATCAAAGTATCCCAGCTTCAATCGACATTCAACGAGACAGAGAACTCTTCTCTGTGTCGGGGCTGATAGCCTGCAAAATTTTCACGTTACTCTTCAAAAAGTTTTCTTTGGTGGATTTTGTTTTGATAGTTTTGGTTTAATTCTTCAAGGTTTTTTTTTAAATGTATAGGTTTTTTTTTATTTCTCCTAATAATACATTTAAAAAAATCTTTTCTGCCAACCGCGTTTCTTCTCTCTAACTTTTTTCTGTTCCGTAACCCGTGTTCCTTCTTCCTTTTTTGAAATTTTCACTTCCGCGTAACCCTGGTCAAAAATAACGCCGTGAGGAATGAATTTGATAAAGTCAATATGCATTTCCCACCAAATTTTTTTATTTTTTTATTAGATATTTAATATTAAAAATGGAAATTTTTCTAAGTTTTTTCCTTAACCCATGCGCTCCTTTCAAAAAAACCTGTAATTCAATTAACTTTTTTTCTTTATTTTCATCTTTTATGGCGTATTCATTGGAGAAACGGAGCATGTATCAAAAACAAAAAAACAGTGCTTATCGGCGCGCAAAAGTTGCTCCAATTTGCATTTTTTGGAAATCTTCTAAGTGCAGCAGGTATGGTATTAACCGATGAACAACGAGCGACAATTGAAAGAAACAAAGCAGAGGCCTTGAAGCGCGCAGCCGCTCGGAAAGCCCGAGAGGCGGCGGCAGAGCTGCAACGGAAGCCGCATCTTGTGAAACCTCTTGTAGGTTTTTTTTTTTCTGAATTATTGCGAATTGTTGAACCGAGAAAAAATTTTTTGCTCATTTTCTCCATCATCGCAGCCAAACTTGCAGTTGTCAACGACAAACTTCTCACGCCGTCCCACCTCCGGCAGCTTGTACACTAATCGATCAACTGTTTCGGCGACAGTATGTTTTCTCTTTTTCTTCGTGGGCGGCGCTTCAATTATTTAGTGTTTTTAGCATCCAACTAAGCTTTCATCAACAACAAACGCATCTTCTACGAATGCCTCGCAAAACTTTCAAGTTTGTCTAAAATTGTTTTGTTTGTTTGGCATACATGGGCTAACCGACAGTTTTTTGTGACGCGATTTCTACGATTTCCTGCACATTTATCGATCGCTCGGAGCGTGAATAAGAAATGTCCTATCAATTTACCACTCAATATAATCGTAAAAGCTCAATAAATAATATGGAGACATTCTCAACTGCCTAGAAAGTCACCTGAATGAATAGGGGTGTACGAAAAAATACCCTGTTAGCCCATGTATGTTTTATGGTTGATTAAAAATGCGATCGAAAAAAAAAATCCATATATATATGTATAGGGTAATGAGAAGCCGCCACCACACATCCAACAAATTTTGCGCGAACCGCTTGCGGCCCCTCTGAGGGGAATCATTCCGGCTGCAGTCGAACCTTCGATCAGCAACCTTCTTTTCCCGTATCAGCGAGCTGGTGTCGAGTTTTTTACACTTGATGCGTGCATTTCGCTACATGTTTTGTGTCACTTTCAGGTTTGGTGTGCAGAAAAACGGCCGAGTTTTGGTTGCCGACGAAATGGGTCTTGGAAAGTCGGTTCAAGCTCTCGCTATTGCCCGATGTTATAAGTTGGTGTTGTTTTTTTTTCTCAATAAATCCCGAGGCAATCACAATGATCATTTATTGACCGTTTTTAGATCAGAATGGCCATTGTTGGTGGTATGTCCCGCTTCGGTAAAGGCTGCATGGAAATCGGTAGGCATCGTTGATAAATCATTGAAAAAAAGTTTTTTATTCTCTCATACTTCTAGCAGTTTGAAAGTTTTCTTCCCACTGTCACAAATGTTTGCGTAATGGCGAAAAGCATGGACCCTTGGCCCGAAGAGAAGAATTCAAATACGGTACGTAGTTTTTTTTTCAGCATTTTTCATAGTTTGATTTTCTGAAGGTCGTTATTATGAGTTATGACCAGATGATTTTACGAGATGAACAGTTGAAGAGCGAAAAAATCAAAGTCGTCATTTTTGTGAGTTTCAGCTATAATCGTTTTTGTGTTTTCTCATTATCAATTCAGACATTGGTAACGCGAAACGGACGTGTTCCGGACGTTTCTGCGCGATTTTAGGGATCACTTAAGAGTGTTGAGGCTACTAAAGTGGTCACTAGAAATACCCCGACACGTCCGATTCGCGTCCCGTTCGCGTTACCAAGGTCCGAAAATGTCCTTTTTTTTTTAGGACGAATCGCATATGCTCAAGGATTCCAAAGCAAAGCGGACACGTGTTGCGACCGATTTGTCGGCTAGTTTAATTTTTCACCCTATCGTAAAAATACGGCATTTCCGATTGCGAAGAATCCTTTTCCTTTCATTTTCTCAATAAACATTTCGTTTCTTATATGAATAAGGTAGTTGATCCAAGATCGAAACACAAAAAAAGAAATTAATGTTAATAAAATAAAAAAATAAAAGGGGGGTTAGCGCCGTCTATTTATAAAATCTTTTCCTCCAGCTGTTTCCTCAGATCATTCATTCGATTTTGTGATGTTGTATTTGTTGTATTTGTCGTGCAGATTGCGGAACGTCGATGAAACTCTTGAAATCAATGAATGAATGAATCTTCTATAAACCGAAAAAGGAAAAAAAGTCGGAATCTTCGGAGTCGGAAAGTTCCCTAGTAATATGAAAACATCGGAAAAATCGCCGTTATAAATTTCGCTTATTTTTTTTTCTTACTAACTCATTGAGATTTACGTTAAGAGTAGTTGGTGGACAAAAAAACTACATCCTTTCTTACCCTTTCTTTTCAGAGAATTGCACTTCGGGTGATTTTATTGTCTGGCACACCGGCATTGTCTTGTCCCGCCGAGCTATTCACTCAACTAAGAATGATTGATCCTTTTGTATTCCCAAACTATCGCGATTTTGCCATGCGCTACTGCAATGGCAGAGAGGGCAGGTTTGGATTCGAAGTTGGTCATTTTTTTTTCTGTTTTTCTCATAAGACACAAAAAACGGTCTTCTTTTCTTTACACAAAGGCAAATTTTTTCGCGTGATAGCCGCTTTCCGACTTTTCGCCCATAATGTTAAAGTATCGTAAATGGATGAGTATTTTTTGGGTTTTCGTCCGTAACTTTATCAAAAACAATCATTTTGACCTGAGATTTCAACAAATTGAGTAAACTGATGTTATTGACAATTTTCAAACCGGCTCAATCAATATCAATCAATCAATATTTATTGGTTGTTTTAGTCAGATGGAATCGACTAGGCGGTGAAAAAATTGCTCTTTTGAGCGGCACTAACACCGCCTTTGGCGAAAAAGAAGTCAAAACGTGTATTCGGTTGAATTGAAAGCATGGTCTTACGGTCCTTCTCTTCGCTCTTCCACAAGTTGATCCCTCCGTTTCGCTTGTACGGGCACGGCGGGGATGGTGGGGCTCGGGCACGGACACCGTGTACACTCTAGGGTAGTCTCGGCCGATCGAGAGAGCTACCACTTCGAGTGAAGAAAATACACAGAATCTAAAAAAAAAAATTCAAAAAATTTTTTTTTGAAAACTCACAAACCGCAAAAAAAAAACGATAAACAATTTAAAAACTCAATAAAGCCAGTAAACTGGTATAAGTACCTTCCAATTGAAATAGTTACGATCTAAAAATTTGTAGCATAGCCTTTGGATTAGATAACAGCCTTGCTTTTTTGGGACATCGACTCGATAAGGGTTCAACACGCTCATTCACACACGAATCGGGCAGGGGTATCGCGATAGGGCCAGTAGTTTATCGAAGGGTCTGAAGCCTAACGATGTTACCACGGTTATATCTTGCAAAATTATAGAAAAATGCGATAGACTTGCGGTATACCACTCAGCACTAACGGTAGAGCTCCGGTAGTTATAAAGTATTGGGGTGTTCCATAAGTCTTTGTGCACTTTTGGTTTTTGAAAATTTCCGTTTTTTTCATTTCAACGAAAAATCATGGGTCAGTGAGCTTCTGTCCCTTGATGGCCACAGTAGTGATAGTGATCTAGCGATTGGGAACATTATTTATTCATCTCTCCCTAATGTCCGCCAGTTTCGCTTTGAACAATGGGACCAACCCGTGTTCAATATGGTTCTGCAAGATGAAATTTTTTCCTTAACAGATAAGATCAACTACTCTATGGTAGTTACAGTTATACAGTACCGCTCAAAAGTCTATTAAGTTTTGGTTTTTTGGGGATAAATTTTTTTTGAAATGCGATATCGATTCAAATTTTTTCATAGTTTTTCTGAGAGAGAGACATACGTGTTCTGGCAAAATTTCAAGTTGCTAGCTCAAAGAATAATAATTTTTTTCGAGAAAAAAACGAATTTTTCGAAAAAAATCGAATTTTTTTGCTATTTTCAATTAAAAAAATCATAGCTCAACAAAAAAATTTTTTTATCAACACAAAACATTGTTAAAACAATATTCGGGACCTAGTACTTGGTTGCGAAGCCCCTGGCGTCAATCACTGCCTGGCATCTTCTCTGCATAGAATTGAGCAAAGTGTCGATGGTAGACATGGGGATCTGATTCCATTCAGACAGCAGTTGAGCAAACTTCTCGTTGCAATTCTTGGCTCTTTTGTTGGCACAACGTCGCTCCAACTCTTCCCAGAGATGTTCGATCGGGTTCAGGTCCGGAGATTGACTTGGCCACCCCATGACATTGACCCGACGGCTCTTGAACCAGTCCTGAGTTTCAAAAACCATACGAATTACTTGTCAATTTTTCTCACCTTGACGAACAGTGAAGTGTGCTTGGGATCGTTATCCTGTTGATAAACACTCCCACGGCCCATGGCTCTCAAGTGCGGCAACATCTGGTTCTGGAGAATGTCTTTGTAGACGTGCTTGTCCATGATGCCGTTCACGCGATGAAGCGGTCCGTTGCCACTTCCAGAGAAGGCGCCCCACACCATGCAAGAACCTCCACCATGTCTCACGGTGGGTAATTGGTATTTCGGATGATATCTGGACCCAATTGGTCTACGAACCCACTGAATTCCGTCACTCCCGAAGAGGAGGAACTTGCTTTCGTCGGACCACAGAATCTTGTTCCAGTCTTGACGGGTCCAGTTGAGATGCTCCTTCGCCCACTTCACCCTGGCGGCTCGATTCTTTTCAGAAATCAGCGGTTTCTTCACTAGACGTCTTCCCATGATTCCAGCAGCATTCAGACGTCGTTTCACGGTCGAGACGGATGGCGGAGATGGCGAATTCAAGAAAACTTCCCGTCTGATCGCAGGGGCGGTGAGTCTTGGATTGGTTCTAGACGTCTTCAAAATGTTCCTATCGTCATTACGATCAGTGACACGTGGTCTTCCAGTGCGTTGGCTGTTAGTAGAGCCATCTTGAGCTTTCTGACGCTTTAGGAACTGAGAAATGCCCGCCTCTGTCACGCCGAACATTCCTGCCAACGTCATCATGGTCAGTCCATTTTGACGACCCACAACGATGGCTCTTTTATCGTTATCAGTCAAATTATTTTTTCCAAAGGTTCTTCCCATGTCTGAAAAACATGAAAAAAATCATATGGCAACATTATTAATTTTTAAAAAAATTTAATAAAAAAATAAATAAAAAAATAGAAGCATAAAAAAACAAAAAAATGGAATTCAATAAAAAAATGCCTAAAACGCGTCACAGTCATTGCGGACATGTCTTTGTATACCGTATATGTTTCAAAGTATATTTTTACATTATCCCTGAAAGTTATATATAAATCGGATAAGTACTCGCTGAGATATCCCCAAAAAACCAAAACTTAATAGACTTTTGAGCGGTACTGTATATAGGGATGCCACCACCACATGTTGAAAAACAACCTGGCTGAATAGGCGCAGCCCCAGGGCAGGAAAAAGTTTAGAAATTTTTCATAAGTGACTTTTTCCTCACATGATACCGAAGATTGTGCTCTAAAAAGTCAGCAGATAAGCTTCGATTTTGAGAATCTGTAGTTGTGTAGTCCTGAGGCCTGTTATTTATCTGACTTTGAACAGGAACTACTCGCAATGAGCTAGGCCAGCTGAGACACACCAAAAGGATAGTTTTTGCGAATTTTCGTCTCACGGTGTGTAAGGGGCTCAAGCAATTTATTGAGAGGTCATGTTCTCTGTCTTGAGGAAGTTGACGGTCTCATTTTGTAAAACAATTGACTCCAAAAGTTTGCTTGGGTGCAAGGGGTCGAGGTTCAAAGAAAACGTATTTGAGCGTTCAAGGCCGAATAAATGAAGATAGGTCTATGGAAATTTTTCATTGCTCTGGGATCTTGAAGTGATTGAACATTCTCACCGAAGTGATACCCTAGTACACTGCTTTCACCTCTAAAAAAAGTTTTTAAGATAACTGTAAACAACAGCGAGAACCATCACCGGATGGGAGGGATACGCATTTTCGGAAGATTTTGGTTTTCAATAATTTTTGCCCTTTTGGAAATTTATATTACCAATTATCATCTATACTTTAGTGAGGGATGGTAAGACCAATCCAGTAATCCAGTATTGAAAAATTTCTAAACTCGGAGTGAGCAAAGCGGAAAAAACGAAAAAAAGTTATTTATACGATTTTCGCTTTTCAAACTTCCTTAAGCTGTAAAACACCCAAACAAGAGATAATCCAATGATCCAAATTGCCTAAAGTTGCAAATGCTCTCACAATTGAGTATCTACAATATAGCTGTCAAATTATATCTAGTTAGGAAAATGTCGAATTTTTAATAAAGTGCACAAAGACTTATGGAACACCCTAATATATGCCGGAGGTATGACGATGAACATATTATTATACTATTTTGATCCATTTTGAGGTATATGCTCGGTATACTTTTTATTACTTGATCCCGATTCGTCCATGTTGGGACCTTCTTTTGAACTTCTTCGATCTGATTCTTCGTAACTTGGGGTCAAAACCATTTTTTTTAACAACAAACTTCTTTGAGAGTTTAGATCAAAAAAATAGTTTTTAACAAAGTTATGAACCAAAAAACCAAAAAAAAAAAATACTCATCTATTTTTGCTGCTGTGTCTATAATTTTTTTGAGAAGATTAGGCGATCTCAACCGACACGGGTATCCATTTAGGCAAAAGGCTGCACGAACAGCGATGAGTTGAGCGCCGTGTTGTTCAAAAGACTCATGATCCGCCGATTGAAAGCCGACGTCTTGAACGATTTGCCCGAGAAGCGTCGCGAGGTTTGAAAAAAAAAAACCATTTGTTTTAATCTTGCAACTTTGATGATAGGTCGTCTTCCTCTCTGGGAACAATATAAACGACCGGATGAAGAGCTTACAAAAGGCCAAACAAGCCTATGAGGAATCTTCAAAACCTGGCTTTTCGGTGTTTATTCGAATTCCTTTCTCTCGCCTCTTTTTGTTTTTTTTTTTAATTCTATTAAATGTAATACAGGGCGGCACCGGGAAAGCAGCGCACGATTGTCTGTTGGAATACTTTAGTTTGACTGGTATCGTCAAGGTTAGCTTCTAGTACCATCAAAAATTGTTTGTTGTTTTTATTGTTGCGAAATGAGTACTTATTCATCTTTCAAGGCTAGAATTATCAACCGACTCGTGATTTTTTTTTTTCTGAATGTTCAGGAAAGTAAAAAGTTTAACAACGTTTGTTGAAAAAGGCGTGTTCCTCGGAAAAAACGAAAATGGTTTCGAAACGCAGAAAAATTGCTTCAAAACAAAATTCAGTACTGTTTTGGAGCAACTTTGGTGCGCCGACGAACACGCTATTGTCTTTTGAACATGCTTGTGCGTCAGGCCGGGCTTCGGGCCTTGTTTTTGAGAAGAAGCCTGTTCGGGCTTTCTTTTTACTTTTAAAATCATAGTTTTTGTTGAATTCCAAGTGAAAAAATGAACAAAAACGTGACTTGTGTTGTAAAAAACACGATATTCGACTAGAAAAAAAAATTGAGCTTTTGTGCCGGCCGGCCATTTTTTTCTTGAAGACCCACTAAGGCCGGGCCGGGCTTATAAAATGATCGAGAGGTTGAAGGGCCGGCCCTCGCACAAGCTTGCTTTCTAAACATGTTTCGTTTCTTCGATGAACACGCCAAAAACTTTTCTTTTCGTGGTTGTTGATTGAAAAAAAAAGACGAATTGAAAAAGAAAAAGTTCAGTTCAACACAGTGTCTTTTGTTTCCTTCAGGCAGCCGCAGTTTCGAGCCACATATTGGACAATTTTTTCTTTCCGGATGCTCCTCCCCGCAAGGTGCTAATTTTTGCACATCATTCAATCGTTTTGGACACCTTACAAGTGGAGGTTTTCTTTTTCAAATTTTGAATTCGAGAAGAAAAAAAAAATGATGGAATAATTTGGTGCATTTATTGTGACGATTAAAAATTGAATCACTTTGGTTTTTAAACAACAATTCTTGATTCAGGTTGATAAAAGAGGTTTGAAGTCGATACGGATCGACGGAAAGACACCAGCAAAAGATCGCGGCCCTCTTTGCGACGCATTCCAGGTTTATTTTACATCAGTATCGCACAGATGGCTTTCAGCGACAAAATTGGATTATCATTATTATCATTATTATTATTATTATTATTCGATTCTCGAGCGCAGAATAAAGATGATATTCGAGTCGCCATTCTATCCGTGACGGCTGCAGGGGTCGGCATCACACTCACCGCCGCCACGGTAGTCATTTTCGCCGAGATTCACTTCAACCCCGGCACACTTGTCCAGGTTTATAACTCTAAAAAAGTGGCAGTGCATCATGCGTTGATCTCTCGGTGCACCACGCGGTGTAACCAGGAGTATGTACAAAATTCCAAAATGGCACATTTCCCAATAGTAAAATTTTCTAAAGTTTCATCAGTTGTTACGGTAGTTCAAAGATGATTTTTTTTTTTGACGGGTTGCCCCAGGGGTGCACGACATTCCGGTACAAAAAGTTCACTTTTCCCGGGGTTCACTACGGGTTCCACGCACATTTTTATCAGAGAATTTGCAAACGCGGAAACAATTTAACAGGGGAAAAAATAGAGAATAGATGATGCCTATTGTACTGCGGCTATCCAAACTTTTCAGGCCGAAGACAGAGCACACCGCGTAGGCCAGAAGGACAGCGTCTATGTGCAATACTTAATTGCGAAAAACACTTCTGATGACGTCATGTGGCCAATGGTCCAGAAAAAGCTCGACGTTTTGAGCAAGGTTTCATTTTTGAGTAAAAAATAATTAAACATATATTTTTTCTTTCGCAGGTAAACCTTTCAAGCGACACTTTTCGCGACGCGGAGAAATCACACATGCACTTTGCCGATTTGACAAACCAAAGGCGCATGTCCGAATTTTTCGTTTCCGGAAGCGGTTCTACCGTCGCACTAGATTGCAAAGAGACGGCTAGCCACGCCCCTGTTGTTGTTCTTGGTGATGATTGGGACGATTCATTTGAAGATTCCATACCTACTAAACGATTGAGGCACGAGGAACCGTAATACTAAAATATTATTTTTTTGAATTATTTTTTTGCTTTTTCCATCTCTTGAAGATTGTGCATGTTTCTTGCACGATTTTTTTCTATTACATGTGAAGAAGGGAACGTTCATTTTGTCTCACTTGCTCGGCTCGGGTCGTTTTTCGAATCAACTAATCCTGTTGTCAAGCCTTTTCTTTATCATTTTTGGTAAAGGCCCTGTTGTGAAAAGTAATGTAATAGAACAATAGTCGTGTGTGTTTGCTCTTCGTTTATTCTTGATTTACTTGCATTTCGTAAGATAAAAAAATGTCATTTATAAATATATGATTTCGATTGTCATTGAGGCACTCCTAACGAGTTGAAAGAAGAGTTTTCAAGTCGAGCAAGTCAAATACAATTGAAAATGACAAATAATTTGATTTGAGAAAAAAAAGCTGGAAGGAAAGGTGAAAAAAAATTCAATCAAATTTCTACTCTTCATTTTCAAATGTTAGCGAACCATGTATGTTGAATAGGCTTTTTCACCCGAAAGTTGCAGAATTAGCCAAGAAATAAAAATTATGTGGGAAGCTGGCTGTTTAGTCCGTTTTTCGCGACTTGAAAGGCAGGACTTCTCTGCGCCATTCTTATCTCTCGGAAACGCTCTCAGATTTATAGCTGATTCACGGCTGGCTTGAGCCATCGAGAAAAGGGTCCTGCCACGAAAAGAGAACAGACAGTGGCCTGGTTGATGGAGAGTGCAGACAGGCCACGCCTTTTTGCGTCCCAAGCTAGCCGTGAATCGTCTCTACGTGCTATTTCAATGTTTCTCTGACCTCGCCGGTGAAGAGATGGTACGACTCTACCTCAAGTTCGCAAATTTTCGTGGCGTGTTAATCGGAAAAAAAAAACAAAAATTGCTTCGAAACGCAAGAAATCTGCTCCAAAAAAATGAGTATTGTTTTGGAGCAACTTTGGCGCGCCGATTAACACGATTTTTTGTTTTGAAGCATGTTTCTCCGATGAACACGCATCGGAGCTCCTCTCACGTGTCAGAGTAGTTTCGAAAAAAAAATCTTTTAAATATCGCTTTTGGGATCGCTCACTCACGACTAATACACACTAGTCAGAGGAAGGAAAATTTATCGTGATAAAATGAACCAGTTGAAAACTTTAAAAATTAAACACAATAAAAAAATTTAGGAAAAAAAATGTTTGGTGCGGTAATTCATTCTTACCGACTCATTTGTCGGTAGGAACTTTTGATCTTTTCAAGTAAAGACGGAAAATTTTTTTTCTTCTTTTTCAGCTTATAATATGATTAAATGGCAATCTATTAGTTTACAGATTTTCTAATCATAAATTCGGCTAGTCAATTTCTTAGGTAAGATTCATCTATTCAACGCGCTGTTTCTAATACTTTTAGTTTGATAAAAAGCTCGACTCGAAACTGACACGTTACCCGGAAAACAGTGTGTACAGTGTAGATAGAGCAAAGCAAAGAAATTACACTCGCGCTGAATTTCAAATTTAGTGTTTCTGTGTGTGTTTGAAACGTGCGCTGAATAAACAATAACTTTGATGAAATAAGAAAGAAGAGACAGAGAGAGAGAGAGAGAAAGAGGGCGAGAAAACTGATACACAAAATCAGTAGTGATGATTACATGCGGCCACCGGGGTCGTCAAAAACACATTGGAAGATACACATCATATGGTTTTGAGTGAGTTACTCTAGAGTTTACGACGATGAAACCTTGGATTACTTCTCTTTGTGCTTACAAAGATTCGGTCATCGTTGTCGTCGTCGTCGTAGACTCTCGGAGTCTCATGATATAAGAATGAAATTGATTAGGAATAGTGATAGTGGTAGTATTCATCGTAGTAGTATTTTTAGTAATAGTAAACCTCTCTAACATGGCTAGAAAAAAAAACGAGGAAATGAGCACACAAGTTCTACCGCATTATTGTTGTGATGCCAAAAAGGTGTTTAAAAAAGACAGGAATGATGGACAAAAGCCCCTAGATGTGACCTAAAGCCGACAGGGATACTTTTGCATTGAAAAAAAAACCAATACATTTATACACTTTTTTGGAGCACTTTTTTCTTTGAAGACGTGAACTTTGCAGCTAAATATTGAGTGCGCATGTCTTCTAAAAATCCCAAGGCTGGTTTTTTTTTGGACAAACATCTAAACATCCAGGATAAGGTGAGATAGCGCGGTACAGTTTTTTCTTTTTGCACCAAAACTAATACGGTAGAGAAAATGGAGAAATGACTAATGTGTGAAAATACACACCACTAAAATTGCCGCTGCTTGTGGCAGTCTCGCGAGAAGGAACTCCTAACTACTCCTTGTAATGAGTTGAACAGAGTGATACAATCGGTGAACTCTGTTTCTTATTTTTTTTTTCGCAATAAAAGAAACCTAAAACATTAAAAAATCAAAAAAAAAAAAACTAATCACAGCATGTGCCCAAAAATTGTTTACGAAAATGAGTAAAGAAGAATACAAAAAAAAAAATACATAAATTTACACATGCGATGCGAGGACGAAGGATTGACTCAGTAGCCGGGCGGAGCCTTACCGTGACCCGAGTGATATGCATTGGCTGGCATTTGCTGAGAAGGCATGTACAGCGGCGGGTCGTTGAACTGCTGCTGGTTACTCGCTGCTGCCGCCGCCGCCGCATAGAGTGCCACCGTCGGATCAAACTGACCACTCGGCGGCGGCGGGGGCGGCGGCGGTGGTCCACGACCCGAGGAACCAGGCGAAGAGGCCGCTAGACCGGAGTAGGTCGGCAACTGGTTGAAAACTGAAATCGCTTTCCTTTTGTATTTGGTACTGGCCTTCAAAATTTTTTTTTTCGTTGACCAAATTGCTGTTATGTAACTTTTATCAAGGCTTGTAAAGTCTATTCTATAAGGTGGATGAGTTTTCTTTTTTCTCGACGAGGAAATTTTTGGAAAAAAAAAATCTCGAGACGAGTTCGAGTCAATTCGTAATGAAGAATACAAAAATTTTTTTCAAAATAACTTGAAAACAACCAAAACTCAAAAATGTGCGAAAAATTACGCAAAATCTACAACTGCGTTGTGGTTTTGATCGCGTTCGGTATGTGACGTTACGACCGGAACATCATATATTACGCCTTATTTCTAACTTTCACCGTAAAAAAGTCTTTGTTTTCATCTCGAAATGTCTCGAGACGAGAACGAATTTATTTCTGCATCTCGAGATCGTCAATTTTCGACCGAGACGAAATCTCGTCTCGATATCTCGAAAAATCTGCACGGCATCGTCGGTTTCAAGTCGGGAGGAGTCGACTATATTATTCGACTCACCACTGTTCATGCCCGGGTAGAGAAGATTTCCAAAGGCCCCGAATCGCGGCATGTAAGTCGCATAGGCAAGCAACTGCTCTGGTGGTATTCCATAGAGATTTCGTGCCGCCGCCGCTCGAGACTTGTTCAATTGCACGGGAAGCATCACCTTGAAGAAGAAGACAATGATCACCTTTACTTAACCCCTCTTTTCAATTGAACAATTTTTATTGAGGCAATTTCAGGGTCCTGAGCTTATTACGATGGGTCACCCTCTCAAGCCGTAAATTTTAAGACCCGAAACGGCTGCGCGATATATTCCTCTAATTGATTCGCTTCTTTGATTTCTATCATGTGTAACAATTCTTTCCAATTTCTTGTATAATCTCACATTTGACAAAAAAAGATAATTTTGACGCTTGGACATGATTTAAGGTTAACCCCGTTTAGCCAGAGTTCAGCCGAAAGTGGTATGAAAAAAAGACTAGCGAGAGTCGAACGGCAACTTTTCCGATTTTTTATATCGCTAGGGAACTTTCCGACGGAGAAGTTTCCTACGAATCCCTTTCCAACTTTTTTTTCTCGATAAACTCTCCGTTTTAAATCTTCCTATATGAAGTATATAGTTGATTCATAATTAAAACACAAAGAATAAAGAAGAGAATGTCAATAAATATTCTATAAACCGAAAAAAAAATAAGGGAACAAAGTCGGAAAGCACACCAGTTCAGACCTACAGGGACCCGTCCGGTTTGCACTGCGCCGTCTCCGCTGTCCATACTAGACCATTTTTGATCATTTTTTGGTAGTGAATACAATTAAAAAGGCAATTTCCGAAATTAATAGATAAAAAATTGAAGAAAAAAAAAACTTTTTACTCACTAAAGACGCTTTTTCGTACAAAAAGCGCGTTGATTCCGTGTTCAATTTGATTCCGCGAAATGCAAAATACCCGTTAGAGAAAGGAAAAGATCACTAAATTTTGGAGAGTCAGAGATCATTTTGCATTTCGCGGAATCAAAATGAACACGGCATGATAACGAAGATATCGCCCAAAAACCGCCATGGGTGTATGCACAGTTTCAACCTACAGTGTGCCAAACCGGACGGGCTGAACAGATGTGAAAGGGTCGGGAATTCGTCTTAAGGGAAAAAAGTCGGAAAGGGATCCGTCGGAAAGGTGGCCGTCGGAAAGTTCCCTAGCGATATGAAAAAATCGGAAAATTCGCCTTTCGAAAATTCGCTGGTTTTTTTCATGCCACCCATCCGAAGTAATAAAAGTAGAGATTGAACTAAGTAATGAGATTTCTCAACGTTCACGAGTTTCGTTGGAGTTTTATTTTATTCTTATTCTATTTTGAGGAAATCTCATTTTTGAACATGAAAAATTTTATTTATAGTCTGTTTAGATTTTAAATGTCAAGTCCTCGCTCAAGCTCCGCTCCCTAATGGCGCGATAAACCAATCAGAGCAGAGATCCACAGAGCGTTTTCGAATGACGTCCTTCTACTTGAAACTCAAAATCTGAACGGACTATATACGCGCAACTGGAAACTGCCAACCGTTCAAACATACTTGACTTTGCTGACCTTCAATATCATCTTTTTTGAAGTTTTTCATATTAAAACTTCGATGTGCAATGTTTGCAACAAATTTAAAAAAATCATATGGTTATTACTGGAAAAGTTGCTCATTCAAAAAATATTCCGCTTCAATGAATTTTCTCCGCGTTTTCAATATGAAATTTAGATTCTACGTGTAAAATAAGGTATTGGCTAACCCTATTTTACCCAATCAATACTACTGCGCGCGCAATTGGAATAGCAAAAAAGCGAAGTACTGAGCAAAAAAAGGGATCCCGTGAGTGGGCGGACCTTGGCGGTCCCTGAGCATATTTCTTTTAACCTTTTTTTTTTCAAATTTTGCGTATTGTCTCAAGCTAGAACGATGAAAGGAGAAGACAAAACTTCAGTAATATTCTTTCAAATTATTGTTTCGATCAAACTGAGCCAACCTCTTTCGGCTGCGCTTTTTTGCACTCGACCATCTTGCCATTGATCTCATGAAAATGTATCTCGCAAACTTTGTCGGCAACCTCGTCGCTGTCGAATGTGATGAACCCGAAGCCTGAAGATGATTGTCTTTCTCAAAAAGCTTTTTTTTCTTTCGTTATATCCACAAGACAAACCTTCAGTAATATTAGGTTTGAACTCTTGGGAAAAAAATTGAATAATAAAGCTTTATTCACAGATCATTGCGAACTCCAGAGAATTCCCTTCGATTTACTATTTGAATAAAAAGAAAGAAAAAAGTAGAACGTAGTAAAAATCAAAATCAGTTAAGTATTGGAGGAATAGAGGTGAAAAATTCGTTACGAGGTAAATCGACCAATAATTTTTTAGAGACTTTAGGTGGAGGCTGAACTGGTATTTGGATATAAATTTATTCCGAAAATTTGAACAAAAACTGGGATTCCCAATACCATTTTCTCTCTTTCTCTCTCTCTAGTTTTATGCTATAGCCCGTTCACGGCTGACCTGGGACAGCGAACAAACGTTTTTAACTTGCGCGACGATGGTAGATCATGGCGGCCATACATGCGCCTTCAATAAGAGACTCATTTGATGAATTATTTCTGTTTCTATTTAATTATTTATTTTTTTACATTCTTCTTATTGTTTTTTTTATTTCCTTAAAAGCGATGAATTATGAGAAAAAATAAATAAGTCATAAAATAGGGATTTTATGGAAGGCGCGGGGATAGTCGCCATGATCTACCTTCGCTGCAAAAGTTAAACCGCCCGTTTGCTGTCCCAAGCCAGCCGTGAACGGGCTATTATATAAGATTTCTATCACACGGCGTTTGTTTTTAATACGCAAGTCGAGACTTCTCGTAAATTATGATATTTTTTTGCAATTTTAGGATAATAGTTTCTGAAATGTTCGAAATCTTGTCAGTTTGAAGATCATGATGTGAAAAAAACATTCACTTACGTTAAAAAAACATTTAGGAACGATTTTTGAAAGAGGAAAACTATAAATAAAAAAACAAGAAATATTATGAAGGTGAATCAGCTCCCATTGAATAAGCAATTATAAAAAAATGAAAAAAAGATTGAAATGAGGAAAATTCGAGGAGCAAATAAAAAAAAAGAAATATTTTATATACCTTGAAAACCTAGCTTCAGAAAAACAAATAATAGATAGAAAGCAGAAATTTAAGAGAAAAACCTCGTATGGCGAAATGTTTGTTTAAATCCGAAAACCATCAAAAAACTAGAAAAAAAAAATTATTTAGACATAGGCAAAGTCGGAAGGACCCTTCACGGGCCCTTTGGGAGTCCGTTACGGATCCGTCTGTTTCCATTAATTGTTCCTAAACGGGTGGCAAAGGTTTCCTTTTTACTGCCTTTTTGCGTCCTTTCATCGGCCTTCATCCGCCCTTTTTGGACCCTTTTGTGAAATAAAATTTTTTTTAAAAATCAAGACTAATCTTTAAAAGTCGATGATTCATAGAAAAGAAATCTTCAAACTGCATCAGCAAATTCAATTTGGCTCTAATTTACACAAAACGGGTTCAAACTACGCCAAAGGAACTGGATAATGACTTTTTAAATGAAGAAACATCAAACGAAGTATTAATGAAATAAAAAGCCAAAAATATGCTTTTTTTCAATTAAATCTTTCCGTAAATCTTGAGAGATCTTTAGAGGGCGGGTCTTGTAATAGGAAAACGGGTTCTGAACAGATCAAAACTAAAGTAGTCGTACGATTTACGGCGCCCACATCTGGTATTTTTTTCTGCATTTTCTTTCACTGACAAGAACGCCGTGATCAATGTAAGAGAGAAAATAACGCTGGAAACATTTGAACGCCTAGAACAAACCTCGGTGTCTCTGAGTCGCTTTGTCAAACATGAGCATCGCATCCTCGACTTTTCCATACGACTCGAAATACGTCTTCATATCTTCGAGAGTTGAGGTCGCGGAAAGCCCTCCGATGAAGACCTTTTTCGTTTTTGTCACCATCTGAAAAGACTTGTCGATTGAGAGTTTTAAAATTCCGCATTTCTTTATCGAAAATCCTTGAAGTTTCTGAAAGAGCAGAAATCTCTCTCTCTCAACTTGATGAAATCGTCTATCTCCCTCTCTTTCTCTCTCTTCTCCTTCCATGAACTTATGTTTGCGAGTTTGTCAATGTACCGCCACCAACCTCGCGTTCATCTCGGCAGTTATCCTTAGTTTAGTTGCTAAAAAAGTCTCAAGGTGCGAGCTCATCCTTCCAGTCCACAACCAGCGCCTAACCTGGTAAGACGAAAGTTTTTTCCGTGTTACACACCAACATCTTTATTTACAAAAAGAATTCAAATAAAAAAAGAACCCTCCATTGATCGATAAGAATTTACACGACTCTTCCACAAATTTTAATTGAAAAGTCTGATGTCGTTCAATCTTCCCTCCGACAAAAAAAAACTCCAAACATGGGTTTGCCCGTGCACCAACTCACAGCTAAACTGACGGGAACGGTCGGGAAAACGACAGCCATACCTCTCACGAATTCTAGAACATTTTCAATCGGAAGGGCTAAAAACGAAAAAAAAAATTGGGAAAAAGAGAAATAGAAATACTGATAACGGTAAAACTAAATATCTTTCTTTCTAGTCCGAAATTTGTCAAGATTTGGTACCAGAGTCTCTTTTGGTGCAATTGTCCGACTCAAAACTTCAGTAGGTCAAATCGGAGAGACGTATTTATTCAGAGCCGAACTCGATGAGATGAAAAGCAAAATAAAGAATGAAATATGAAATATGAAAAATGAAAAATGAGACGCATTGTGGAAAAGTCCATCACGTACTCGAAATAGATTTGCAAAAACGAGGAAAAAAAATTGAAGAGCTCCTTAATAGGATGCCAAGGAGTAGTAATTCCGACACACTTGATCAATTATGCAGGATCGAGCGAAATCACGCTTTGCATTCAGATTTTTTTAATAAAAAAACAATTCTAAATTCCACAGTTTATTCAAATTTAACAGAATTCTTCCGCACACTGCAATAATAAATAAAAAAAGTTTGAATTCAGATAGATAATGTATCGGACTTTTTCTGAAACGATTCTCGTCGTGAAATTTCGATATTTTTAATGAAAACTTCTGAATATTTGTAGCCGATAGAAAAAGGTTTAACAATTTTTCGTAGTCTACTTTACAATGAATTATACGAGCTTTATTTTCTCGAGCCAATCAGCTAGTTGGATAGAAGTTGTCCACCTTACGGATGTTCACAGCTTTTCTCCTTTTTTCCTCATTTCTCTTTTTACTGCCAATAGACAACTGCTAGACAAAATTGACAAAGCGGAAGGTAAGCATTTGTCGGTGCCCCCGAAATATGGGAAAAGTGTGGAGGAGCGGCGGCAGCAGCAAGGAGCACGGCTCCCGCAATCAATGGCAATCGGCAGATTACGTCTTGGACAACTACGACGAGAGCAGTGAAAGCAATTTCACCTCGATTATTATTCAAATGGCCGTGCGCCTCGATGCGGTCTCCGACGGCGTGCGTCTCCTTCTAAGCCAAAAAAAAAACTAGCCAGTTAGCCTTCAATCATAAATAAAATGTATTGCACTATCGGTGGTCATCCAGCAATGAGTTGCATAACACTTCCGGTGACAACTTTCTTTTCGTCTTTTCGTCTTTTCTTATTTTAGTTTTTGAATTTTCTGGTGAACAAAATCATGATCAACCCTATACACCTCAGAGAAAAAAATGATTAGAATATTTTCAATTTTGCCAATAAAAAAAAATCGAAATTGGACCGAAAACTAAGGAAGAAATAACAAGACTGGAACTCAATAAAAATCGATGGAATTCGAAAAAATTAAGAAAATCCACATCCGAGGTTCTAGTAGGACCGTCCTACCAGCGGCAGCAATTGTCAGCTCCCAAATATTCAATAATTCAAGATTTATTATTTTTACTATAACCAAGTTAGCCTAAAAGTCGTAAAGAAATATTGAATGTACTGAATAACCGTGTTGAATTCTTATTAATTTGGTTACTCATTGAGCTTTAAAAAAGACGGAATGAAAAAAAAGGAATCAAACATAGAAGTGGACGCAAGCATAAGCAGAAGAGAGAAAGAATATAAGTGGGCAGGGGGAAACCTTTTCGCTGCACACAAGAGCTTAAAAGCTCAAGTCTTTGATGGCTGAACGCAAGATTTCGACGACGACGGCGACGAAGAGAGCCTGCACAGCACCAAAACTAAAGGTTGGCGCGCGCAATTAGTTTGGACGGGCTTGACGTGTTTCGTTCATTTCGACCTGTGACCAGGACAAACGGCAAACACAATGTGTGGCCTGGCACTGAGGTCTTACTCGTAAGTTGTTTTTGTTGTTATGGCCCTCGGGGCACGTACGAGACCGACACACTTGTCTTCTATCTCTCTTTTCCTCTCATCGCCAATAACAACTGCTTTACAATCAGACTTGCCTGGGTTATTGCAAAAAAAAAATCTAAGCCTTTAGACGAACCCCATTTTTGTGCCTTTTCAATAACTTACCCGAAATTATGCCTTTTACTATTCGCATCCTAAAAATTTCAAATCTAAGAACTACCGCCGAAACAAATTCGAGATCTCTAGCACTGATCGATGTCTATACATAGCCTGCTTTATAGTCGCACCGGCTTTGCATTTTTCTCGGCCCGACCTTGCCTTTCGGAAATTTTCAGGTTGCAGTTCCTCTGAGTGCGTTATACCTTTTTTTTTTCATCTTTTCAACATGTTACTTTCAATTTTTGACTAATTCAAGTTTCAAATGATTCAATGTGATTGCGCGAAATTCAATAAGTCGTCAAGAAGTGGAAAGATAAATAAACTTGGAAGGTCAGAGATGAGTTTGCATTTTGCGGAAATCACTTTTAACACAACAACAGAAAAGCGAGAGAAGTGCGAGGTCGCGCCAAAAGAAATACGAGTCTGGCCGCGGCGAAAAATCGGTTCATTTGCGAAGTTGACGTCGCTTTTTTTTCTCGCGCCCAACTAGGCAGTTATCTTCGAATTAATATATATATATATATATAGCATTTAAAACAAAAAAATAAAAAAATCGGTTGATCAACCATTCCGAGAAGAAAACGTTTTTTTCTCTGAAGAGATCCAGTTCGACGATTAGGAAACTGAAAAAGAGTTTTCAAAATGAAAAAAAACTTTTTTCAAGTGAAGGAAAGTTCAACCAGTATCCATTTTAAAATCAACAAAAAAAGTTGCGTGTAGAAAAGAAGGCTTAATCGTCATGTTTTACTTTGAAAATATCGGACCAAGAAGGGAAGAATGGTCGAACTGAAAGAATATAAGGGGAATCAAGGCGCAACGGAAACTTTGGAAAAGTGTTTCCGCTTCCATTTCTCGCTTGGGCTCCTTTTCTGTTCGACTACAACTCACTACCTCTCCCTCTTTTTCTCTCTCTCTCTTTAAACGCAAGTTACATGTTGAAAACCATCAAATCAAAGAAGACTGGGAAATGGATTTGCCTAGTCATCTTCAACAATTAGTCAGAACTGAAATCTATAACCTGGAACAAAAATTTTGCGCTTTAGTACAGCCTTAGCCAATTATTTTCGACAGGGAAAAAGCATCAAATAAAGCGAACCTTGGCTTGCGCACGTTTCGGGAACGCCACTTTGGGGTCGATCTTCTTGCCGTCTAGCTCGTGTTCATCAACGGCTAGCACCTTGTCGACACTCGCCGGATCGACGAACGTGATGAACCCGAATCCTCTTGCCCGTTTTGTTGCAGGGTCCCGCATCACCATACACTCGTTAACTTCGCCAAATCTTCCAAAATAATCCCTCAGACCTTCTGAAAAGGTTTCAACAAGTTCAGGCATGAATCACAAAGGTTAAGTTAGTTTTGCGGCATAGAGAGTAGACTAAGATATCGTCTTTTTCGCTGAAACTCATAGCTTATATGAAGAGGCTTTCTAATTTTTTAGTCATTGCTTTCATTAAATTTCAACCGAAACAACGTATGAAGAAATGGAAGTCATTTATTCCGACTTACTCACTCTATTATGTAAATGTAAATTTTCAAATGGTGGTTAGAGGGTGCGAAATAAAAATCAGGGATTCTTCCAATAGTGATTTTTGCAATCGTTTCACACTTTTCGACAAACCCTTCACCGACTTTTTTTTGTATTTTTTTTTTTACACGATTCATCGATACGACGTATAAGGACCAAAAAAATCATCGAAACATGTAATTTCTAGGAGGAAACAAGTCAGAAAAAAAAATTATCCGAAACCATATGCAAAAACCGACCTAGCCGCCATTAGAAATTTCGCTGATGTTTCTATCATACAACCATGATTTAACTAATCTTTTTATGTATATCCTTTCCTCCATTTTCTGGTACCTTTTTTATCTATGAAAAAACCCTGAATAAAACTTTTCTTCTTTTTTGTATAAATTCGATTCATTACTTTTCGTATGCAAAACTGAATTTAAATCTAATTGCAATTTCTTTTTCATTGTTGGAAAATAAAAAAAAGGAGAAATACTAACCCGCCGTTGTTTGCCAGCTGAGGCCACCAATGAACATCTTTCTGGAAAAAAAAAACTTTCAATTCAAATAAAAATCAAAGTATTTTTTATTTTAGAACTCAACTGATAAGGGAGGTCTTAAATTGGCGTTTCGAAATTTTCTAAAAATTTGCTCAAACACTTTCTGAGGGTCTATATGAAGGTCCCTCATAGTTGATACCTGCGCAAATTTCTAGCTTTTGAGACATGACTTTTCAAAGTTGCGAAAAATTGTTTTTAGGCCTAACTTTTCGAATTTCACTTATTTTAAAGACTAGAAACTGACGCGGGTCGCGACTTTGACGGATCTTCATGCGAAAACTTCAAGTAGCAAATTAAAATTACCTCCTTGTGGGGTCTAATTCTGTGTTAAACGGAAACTTTAAAACATAATATCTCAAAAACTAAAAGTTTTCGCAGGTAGTATGAGACTATGAGGGATCTTCATATTGTTATTCAGAGTTTTTAAGCAAATATGTATAAAATTCCAAATCGCCAAGTAAAATGACTTGTGTGAGTGGGAAAATGTAAACGTTCTTATTTTCATTTTCAACAAATTCGAAAAAGTTTATAACATTGCCATTTCGACGGTTTCAATTCAGACAAACCCGAGTGAGGAATGTAGTATTCTGGCAAAATGAACGAACCCAGGATCCTGGCTCTGAGACCCGTCATCCGAGTCGGCGTTGAGCCGCGCCTCCTCGTGAGTTTCGGTTGCAGGGCTGTCATCTCTAACACTGATCGACGTCGCACCTGCACCGCTCATTCTCGCACTGCGATCTTCCATTCAAGCACACTAATCTCTGAAAAAGGTTATTTTCAAAGATAATCATCTCAACTAGGTTTTTTGTTGAATATATTAAAAAGTTTGTGTTTGGTAGAAATTTGAGGTTTTTTGAAAAAAAAAAATAAAATTTCCATCGAGCGTCCAGCGCTGGTTCTACATACCGGCTCGAGTTTTAAAGAAGTTTGAAAAGTTGGCAACTTATTTTTTTTTTTGTGCGTACCCACAAGGAAGTAGTATAAAATCGCATACCATTGATGATCGGACGCAAAAATGAATAAAATAGAACAAAATAAATTGAGAAAAAATGGGAAGGGTGGAAGCTTTTAGGGTAATCTTTTTTGGCGTGAAATTTAAAAAAAAACCAACGGCATGAAATCGCAACAAGAAGGAGAATTATAACTGAAGCGAACCTCAAATGATAAGATAAATAAGACCAGTGAGCCTGGAATCAATTGTACCAGACGAATTTGCGTGTAGCCTTCGCTAGTACCACGCGGACAAAACATGTTGTTCCCTTTTTTCTCCCCTTCTGTCATCACCAACAACATGATAAGTTGAGATTTTTTTTTCTCAATTGATCCTCTTGTGGCCTTTTCGCCCAAATTTTACATTCTCGTTCCATCTCAGTGAAATGTTGCCAAAAATTATATTATGACTTCAGATATGAGCTGTCACCTGATAAGTGCGCTTAACGGTATGCTAGGAAAGTCGATTCACAAGTCGAGATGAAGATCCAAGTAGCTACTTCAAGATCAATCGGCGTTAGCTAATCGGTGGACATTCATTAGCTAACATCAGGCTTATGCGTCCGGCCGATAGGTTCGGGCCGGTCTGGCGTTTGGGCCTTTTTTTTGGGAAAAAGTTTGCGCGAGCTCGGGCCAGGCCAGGCTTTGAAAAAATTTCGAATTTTACTGAAAAAAATTTTCCACCAAAGAATTATTTTCACTTGTTGAATCATAGTTTCTCTTAACTCTGTGTGAAAAAAGGATAAAAAAAATAATCTTTCACGTAAAAAAAAAGCTTGATATTCGACTTAAAGAAATTTGAATTTTTTTTGGCCCCCACACAAACCTGGCTATCCGGAAATACCATAGATTTTCTTTTCAAAGGTCAATCGAGGTATCGAAGTGCTATCTAGCAGCACACTTCTAGAGCTTCATAATCCCTCGCGAATCCAAACGTCGCTATCTACCCTGACATTTTCAATTGCTACTAAGGACGGCACATGCTACCGGGAAGCTATCTCGGAGCTATTTCTCAGCTTTTGCTGATGATCGACAACCGATTAGCTTACGCAGATTGACCTGTGTTGGTTGTTTCGGTTCAGAGCATTTTTTATAATGGTTATTTTTTGAAAATTTGTTTTCAGTTAAAAATTTATAACTTCTTCCAAATAGTGAAAAAATTCCAGAAGCAAAGTGAAAGTTGATGAACAATGAAACTTTTTTTTTCAAGGTCAGAGATCTGTTCTGCTGTGATGGGAACAAAAAACCCATTCAAATTTTGGATATGAGCCATTGCGCGCGCGCTATAGTCTATTCCGCGCCAGCTTGTCACGTTTTTCTTCCCGCCAAAAAGACCGTATACAAAATTAAATCAAATTTCTGCTTTTATAACGGCAAGAAACAAAGGTCTTGAAGCGAAAGTTGGTTAAATTTGACCTGGCCTTTTGGCGGAAAGAAAAACATGACAAGCTAGCGCGCTATAGCGCGGAATGGCCTATATTCATGTTAATTATTTTGTCATCCTTCGCTTTTTTTTTCAACCATTGCCAAAGAGAAAAAAAGTTTGCAACATACATGGGCAGACAATTTTTGAAGGACGCCGATTCCTCGTCTAAGTTTTTTTCAAAATTGAAGTTAATACTATGGCAGTTAACTGAAGCTGAAACTTGTACAATTTTGGCCGAAACTATCTCCCTGATGTTGAAACTTATATCCCTGATTTTTTGAAAAAATTGTGTAAGCTAATTCCTCCTGCCGGGCTGAATGAACTTTGTACTTGCATACCTATGGTTTGCAATCAATAAAGGTAGCATCTATCTCCACCATGCAAGTCTTATTTTGTTATCGGGTATATTTAGTTACCTTCATAAACCTTTCTTTCAGCAGTTTTAGTTTTTTTCTTTTTCTAACACACCAAATCGATGCAAAAAACTCTCTTTCATTCTGTAGACGGGCGCTTTCGAAACGACTGCTACAGCGTTCCAGCGAGAGGCGAGTTTTTTTTTCTCTCTCTTTCCTGCCTCAAAACAAAAACAATCCTGGTAAGACTCGCTTCTATTTTTCCACTCGAACACGAGTGACGCTTTGTTTTTTGATTTGACTCTGTGCTGGAAAGCAAATCAAATTTGTTACACCCATAGTCCTTTTATACGGATTCCAGATTTTTTTTTTATAATTGCAAACCGGCTAAAAAAGACAAGGAGAACTAGTTTCGAACGAAAAATGTGCGAATCGTTGTTCTAGGCGAACTCTCGGAATCATAAAACGTCCAGTAAAATCTGGGAGAAAAACAAACTCACACAGACTACCGAGAAAAGAAGAGACGATCTTGCACAGTCCTAAAGAGCTAGCGATGGTGCCTTGCGGCAGAGACAGCCCGTACGAGGGTCGTGAGAGACTTTTCTAAAATGCTTCCAATGACAAAAAGATATATGCGTAACTCAGCCGAAACAAAAAAACGTACGAGGATCGTGTCTGTTAACACCAAAAAAATGAAGATGAAATAGTTGAAAGAAAAACGAGCTCCGAGCGAGTTGATGTACAACTAGTGGAAACCCGACACGTACATTTTGCCTCAACTCATTCGTCGCGTTTCAATTAGAAAATGCAGACTTTAAAATTGTGTCTCATTGGACCTTCAAAACTCTTATGAAAGGACTCTCATAACAACTTTATTAAGAATTATCAAAATTGGCACATTTCGCACACGAATCACTTTTTTTTTGTTTTTTTTTTTGAAGAAAATTGTCTAAGGGAGTAGAAACAATAAAACTCGAAATATATGATTGGGAACGTCGCAATATATTACTTTTTTTAACATAGTATAAGAATAAAAAACCGAAGCCATACGCCTAATTAACTAAATTTTTCAATTCGACCGTTTTTTTTTTTGTGGTACGCACCAAGTTTTCAAGGAAAAACGAGAGCAGTCAGCAACTGAGAAAAAAAAAATGGGCCGATCAATGCGCTGAGGCACAAACACACTCGCACGCACGGCACTCGTCAACCAAGAAACGAGAAGAAAACGCCATGGCGTGGCACGGCCAAACGGTTAGAAATGCTTGAGGATAGAAGCCTAATAATTGTAAAAAAAGACACTAGTGAACCTGCAAGAACGGAAACTTAGTCTTACTTTTTTCCACAAGACTCTCAACTTTCAAGAAGGGACAGATATTAAAGGGGTACCAAATTGTATCAGCTTCAAAAATAGCATCCAAACTCTTCTAATGCGCCGGTTGAAAAAAATCAAGACGAATTGAAAAATTAAAAAAATATTCGGTAAAGGCAACTAGCAACCGAGACGTTGAGAAACAAAAAAATCGTCTATTTTTCTTTTTTTTTTTTTTTAAGCTAGATTATTATTTTTTTTAATTTTTTTTTCATTAGTATCATTATAAACTCTACAGAAGGCCCCAACTTTTTTCAACTTTTAATCTAAGAAAAAACAGAAAGAGTGAGAAAAACATGAGAGAGCCAATGTGAACTTGGCCGCTAGATGCGACAGCCAAACGAAAAAAAAAAGTAAAGAACGAAAAAGCGAAAACCGGCAAGAGGTATGGGACGAGCGTCGACGCAAGAGGACTGCTGCGGAGGGCACAGAGGCTCGCCTCGGGGCAGAGACGCTGGGTCGGCAGCCGCCATCGAAAATTTTTCGCTGACGGTACTCTGAAAAAACTTCGATGTGTCACACTGAAACTCACCGGAATTACTAAGAGCAGGATACCTTTGGCTGAACAAAACTGCGTCGACGCCCCAGCGAAAGTTCGAAGAACTTTGAAAGCTTTCGAAAGCATACGAATTTTGTTAGAATAAAGGAAACTCACGTTTCCTCCTGGGTCCCTTTTTATACAATACTTAATGCCCCCATAGTGATAAACTCTAGACGGTCGCTATAGGAGTTTTAGAGCCTGATCCCACGGCGTTCTTTTTACCACGGCATTCCTAATGGGGTGAGGGAACGTGAGCGAGGCGTCAAAGTTTCTGATTTTACAAAAAAAAGGAAGTGCGCGCTTCGGATAAAAGGAGTGTGACGTCACAGCTACCTACTCCGACACGGCACCTACTAATGCCGTGTTAAAAGTAATTTCGGCGATTTCAAAATAGACGCGTTATTCGTTTAAAATGATTTCGGGAAATAGGCGGAATTGGTATTCTGGGAAGGTGAGTCCTACAACGATATATCGTTGGATACGCATTTTTACGGTGAGTTTTACGCGCGAATTCGAAATTTCAGTAGAAAATGCCCAAATAACTCCAAAATTTTGAGTTCCCGCGAAGAAATTACGGTAAAAATGCATATATTTAACGTTATCTCGTTGTGGAACTCATTTTTTCTGCGCATTCTCGGAATAGCAATTCTGCCTATTTCCTGAAATCATTTTAAACGAATCTTCTTCTTCTTCTTCTTCCTACGCCTTCGTACCGCTTGAGCGGCGTCGGCGCCCCAAGTCGATGAGCCGAGGTCCTATCCTGATATCAGTGGACTGGCTCGAGTGACATATCCGTCCTTGTGTGTGACGGCTAGCCACCGGTATTTGTACAGATTGCCTCACGGTAAATCGACCCCAGACTTCTCAACGGGGCGCGCTTTCTTCCATCCCACTTTTTTCTTTTTCGTTTCTTCGTTGCAAATATGTTTTTGTTCTAGTTTTTTCTACTCTTTCTTTTGTTATTCATTTTCACCTTGTCGTATCGTACTTTCATAGAGCTAACCTAATGGTAAGATTCAATTTTTGAGATTTGTGAATCTTTGATTCTTGAAAAATATGCCTCAATTTAGATTTTTTTTTTGCAAGTATGCTTTGTGTTTCAAAACATCAAATAGTCAGTGTCATGTGAAATAAGGAACGTGAAAAAACCATCAAATTTTTCTCAAAAAACTTTCGGAGTCAAGGTATGACCTTTCGAAGCGCAGTCGCACACAAGATAATGCGCGCGCGGTGTGGTATGTGATCTGGCGACTGCCGAAGCAACGGCAGCGAGGAGCAGTGGTAAAGCGGCGGACTGGTACTAGCGAGGTGCATTTTGAATGTGCCTTTGCAAGACCTGGGAATGACTGTATTTGCAAAGGAGGAATATACGTTTATCATGACCTCGAAACTGATGAGAACGAAAACGCTTGAAAAAAAAATGTTATGCTTAGAATTCGAATTTCGTAATAAGTTCACTGAACGAGTTAAAGATCCAAAAATCTCAAAAATTTCTTAGCTCTATGAAAAATCCTCCTACCGTAGTCCGCTGTTAGAACTTTTACATCAGGGCACATTTTATCGCATGCCAATTTTTCTCTTCACGTCCACCCTTTTTAAAACGCCGAGCAATAGAAAGAGTAAAAAAAACTAGAACAGAAACATATTTGCGATGAAGAAACGAAAAAGGAACAAATGGGATGGAAGAAAGCGCGCCCCGTTGAGAAATCTGGGGTCGATTTACCGTGAGGCAATCTGTACAAATACCGGTGGCTTGTGACGGCTCATTTTAAACGAATAACGCGTCAATTTTGAAATCGCCGAAATTACTTTGAACACGGCATAAAGGCGCCCGCAACTGGCCGTTTCGCCTAAAGGCGCCCCGAACTCGGCAGAGTCGGAGGACCTCCGAATTTGAGGCGACAAGCAGGCTTGTGCGAGGGCCGGCCCTCTCACAAGCCTGGCTTCAACCATTCACGGCGTTCTTTTGACGACGCCCCTCCCACAATTTCCGTAATATTTGACGTCTTTGGTGCATACACAGAACGACGCTTACTCGAATACTCATCAACACAGAATAACTGACGAGATAAACGCGAGGTCGGTGGCGGTACAATCTGGGATAAGTAGGGACCGCAGGCCAATTTCCAAAGTCAGTGATATAAAGTTGAAACCTATATGAAAAGAAAGCTGATGGCAATCGAGAGCTAACTGCGAAAACAGAAAAGAAAAATATGAAAAATGAAAAAAGTTATAAGCAAAAAAGTGGCGAAATCGGGGGAACCATTTTTGTGTAGAAACTTTCGTCAGGGTCGCAGGAAAAGGGGCGTGTTTATAGATGCCGCGCGCTCCTTGCTGTGCGTTAATTCACGCAGGAGACGTTTCGAAAACATATTTATTTGAGTTTTTTAGAAGTTTTTGAATGAAATATTAGAGTTTTTCATATTGAATATTGCTCTTTTTCAATATGAGCCTACTCTTCAAGCACTCACGCTGCTGAAAAGCGAGTTTTGAAGAAGGTTTCAATGCATTTGTAAAAAAAGAAAATAACCGACAAAATAGACCTTTGCGAAGGACGAACAGCATTAAACCGAATTGAAAAATGTAACAGTCTACTAAGAAATTTACTGAAAAAAATATGTAAATAATCACCAAGTCCTTTTTTTCAGAGAGTTTTTTTAAAAAAAGGGCGAAAGCGTTTTTTACTTTTTGACTTTCTACTTCTTTTTATTTTTTTCTCTAAAGTTCGTGCGTCTACATGGAGTGTACCTAGACAATTTTTTAGAATTCTTTACTTGACATTCCGAAAAAGTTCAAAAAAAGTTGAGTAAAAGCGAAATTTAATACTTTTTCTCGCTGCTATAATGGATATAATGATATAGGAAAAAAATATTCCAATTATGAAATGAGTAAAAAGCAACTATAAAGCCACAATAAAAACGAGAAAACTTGAATAGAATACATAAATAGTTAAAAAAACCTTCTTCACGCTTTCGAAAAAAATTTCGTGGCCTTCGCGGTGTCTGCAGATTTCCAGCGACGTGCAGTTTTAAAAAAATTACTTTCGAGCGTTTAAATTAACCATACTTTTTCGGGCCATCCTAGGAATTTTTTTATTTTTTTGATATGTTGTAGAGAAATGTCTAATGTTTGATATTATGAAATAAAAAAACTTGCCCAGAACGCTTTGGGCCGTTTTTCAAAGCGTTACAAAAAAACGGAAATTTTTAAGCTTTCATATAAACTATATAATCGATGAAAAAAACTTAGTTTTTCTATTTTTTTAAAATTTGCAAACAACTGCAAACAACCGTTTAAAAAAATATAATCAGTAATTATCGATTGCGTTTTTTTCGAAAATAAGGAATTTCGAAAATCGTGATTTTTCAAATTGCGTTATTTTTTTGAGGCCAACCATAGAATTTTTTTATTTTTTTGCCAGAATATGCGTTTTTTTAGTTGCTTTATGATATTCAAGAATAAAAAAAGTTGCCCAGAAACTTTCAAGAAAAAACGGGATTTTTATCCGTTTTCGGCCACAAATGCGTTTTAAAAACTGTCGTCGTACATTCTTATTTCTTGTTTTTCAGTATTTCCTTTTATGTAGGATTGTTAAGCATAGCCGATTGTATGTTTCCCCAATTTTTTTCCCAAATCGGTACAAGAAAACTGTTTTAAAATATAAAAAAAGAACCAAAAATGCAACGAAAATGACGAAGTTTTTTTGAACAGCGAAGTGGGCGTGGCTCTGCGGTCCCTAGGGATAAGTTTTAGGGGGCCCTATAGGGGTCGCGATTTTAGGGGTCTGCAAGTGGCCTTTTTAGGGGGAAATCCCTAGGGCCCCCTATAGGGGGTCCTAAATCGCTCCCTAAAAATTGCAAAACCCTCAAGAGGTCGCGAAGACCCCTTGGAACGAACGTGGTTTTTTTTTAAATATCTTTCTCATTTCCTGAGTTTTGAGTTGACTCAGTCGACTCAGTTTTAGTTTAACTTTATAACTTGTATGTATATTTCATCAATTTCTGTGGTGCTTTAATTAAGGAAGTAATACGTTATTCACGAACGAGTTGTCAGTAGGATTTTTTCGTTATGGTTTCAAATTGTATTATAAGTATTTGTGCGTTTTTTTGTGCTCCATAAAAGTTAACATGGCAATCAGAAGTTGATGGAGAATATATACAGAGTGAATGAAAATGTGGTAGCCGCCCTGCAGTGAATCTTTGACAAAATGTTCAAAAAAGAGGTGAATATTTCCAAGAATCGTTTGCAAAGATTCAAATTTTCAAAGATTCGAGCCTCCAAGATTGGTGTATGCACAATAAACGCTCACGAATATTCGTGAACCCAAAATTCCTTCCTACCATCGCGCGCGCGGCGTTTAACTGGAGGCAAAATCTCACGGTTTACCCGTTGCCGCACGCTTTCTTTTTAATTGTTTTTGCGCATTTCTGAACCCTTTTTAAATCGGTTTTCTGTTTTGAGAGATTGTCAAAACTGAGCTTAATATTTTGGTATGAATATTTTGTACAATCCTCATAATAATTTTTGATAAAATATCGAAAAACTACCTAGAAATAAGGTCAAAGGGAGTTTTTAGCTCATTTTTTTTGTTCTAATCAGAAGATTATTATCATTTTATTTTTGGAAAAAAAGAAAAAAATGAAAAAAAATAATGTTATTTCGAAATAAAACAGGGAAAGTGCAATTTGACTCCGAAAAAAACGGCTCCTGCGACATTTAAAAGGGCGCATCGGTGTGTTTGACGCAAACACTGCTACGGACACTTGCACGAAATCTTCCGAAATTTCAAAAAAAATTGCCATTTTTTCGAGGATTTCAAAGCCGTTATTTTTTTCGCGTCGATCGATTTTTTTCATAATTTTTTCATTGATAGAGTTTTGAACGCTTAATAACATAATCAAAAATATAGACGCGATCCTATTCTCTCATGCGTCACACGGCGTTCTTTTGACGACGCCCCTCCCACAATTTCCGTGATATTTGACGTCTTTGGTGCATACACAGAACGACGCTAACTCGCATGCTTATTAATTTCGAAAATAATCTCAAACTATAGACGTGAAAAAAAAATTTATCCTTTCACAATTCCTTTTCTAGTTGACAAAAAAACATTTGGGTGAAAGTTTTCTTATTTTTTTGAACACTTTTATTCCTTTTCACCCTCAAAATTAGTTTAAGTACTTTTTTTTCAGTGAAAAAAATGTGGAATTTTGTGCCGAAAATGACTTATTTTGGTTCTATATATCTTTCCGCACTCATTAAAAAAATTTAAAAAAAGTTTTTCTTCACAGGTTTGGTTTAGTTCATCCACCTAGTGGTATTTTTTTCTCCCCTGCAACATCGCCATACCATTCTGATGTTGCGAAAATGAAGAAATTGTTTTATTCAAATAAAAAAATTTAATTTGACACTGAAAAATGTTGCTGAAAAAGATTTTTTGCTTTAAAAAGGGAAATTTTGTCAAAACCGAGCAGATCATTTCGAAAATTAAAAAAACAAAAAAATCCTTTGGATTTTTTTCTGTCGCAATGAAAAAAATAATTACCGTAAATCAGAACTAAACAGATGAGGATACAACTCAAATAAAAATGAAAAATCACCTGAAGCACTTGAGCAACAAGAAATTCAAATGTTCGCGCGCATAGCTGTCAACCGTAATCTAGGTGAAGCAACCTTTCAAAGCCGCTCCGCATTTTCAAAGCTTTTACATTTTCTTCCACTACGCAGAACGCCGTGGCGTCAACGAGGCAGACGAAAAATGGAGGCTTTGGTAAAATTCAAATATAATTTGATTTGCTGTCCCAATAATTATTTTTCATTCTGAATTTTTCATTTTTGGATACATTTGGAGTTTTTTTAAATCAAATAAAAAAAGTATACCATGTCGCGGAAATTTTTTCGCATTTCAACTTCAAAGTTTGGTGTCACTTTACAAGCTTCGATTTTTTTTTTCGCGTCATCAGATTTTTTAATTTTTAACTCAAAAAATAAAGAAAGTGTTAGTGTACAACATACTCAAAAATTTAGAAGCGTTCCTGAGGCCTCACTTGGTTTTTCTGAAACGCGACGATTTTTGTAAAACTTTTTCAGTTTTTTTCGAGTTAAATCTTACTTTTTCGCTTATTTATGAAATTAAATGGTTTCAAAGATGTTCAGTCTTGTAGAGCGTTGTCGATTACATAGGTTTCCAGAAACAGTTTATTTTTAAGGTGGAACTTTAGCTAGTATAAACGCCTCAAAACCGTTTTTGCAACAAAAAATCGTCATTTTGGTGGCGTGAAGGGGTGGGGCTTTGCGCTCCCTTTCAGCACGGATGGCGCACGGTGCATTCTACTTTTTTGCACTCTGGTGCGAAACTGGAGTCTGCACCGTGCAGTTTTGGTGCTTTTTTGATGTCGCACTGGTGCAGCACGCTGAAAGCACTGATTTGACACCTTTGCATCAAAAAATCACCAAGATCGCACAGTGCAGACCCCAATTACGCACCAGAGTGCAAAAAAGCAGAATGCACCATGCGCCATCCTTGCCGAGCTATCAATAGACTAATATCGCGATACCCCTGCCCGATTCGTGTGTGGCTTAAGGGTGGAGCTTGAACGACGATTTGACAATCAAAATCTGAACGAATCATATAAATTTTTAATCTTATAGTAAACAGCGTGGTTTATCAGTTTCGAACAATGAAGAAATTTAAACGAACTGTAAGCATATAGAAATTGGGACACCTTCAAAGCCAATCTGAATGCAAGGAAGTGTAGTTGCATTTTTTTCGTTTTTGGTTTTTCCAAAGCTAATCATGATCAAAACCCTTTAAAACTTCTCTAGGTTGTTTGATTAAAAGTTAAGAGGAATTCTTCAAGAGGCTTTGATACGGTTTTCTCGCGTGCACCGTTAAAAATGTTAAAACGAGACCTTGGTGACTTGACTCAACCTAAGGAAAAAAACAAAAAATTAATAAATTTGCGGGGGTACGAGCAAATTTCCAGAAGGATGTCGCTGTTCTTCCAGAGCTTGCTCGTCGGCTGCTCCCATCGCTGCAGATCTTGTTTCTATACCGCCTTCTGCAGGGGAAGCCGATCTAGAATTTTTCTCAATCAACAGGTCGACCAACTCCCGAGTGTCTTTTGACTCGCAAAATGGTTCACTTGGAAATGACAGACCGTTTGTTGCTAGTAGGAGGATCTTCGCCAAGACTAGCGTCGTCGGTTGCCGACGAAACCACATCGACAGAGAAGCGGCTGCGGTTGGCGCTGCTCGACTTGCGCTGTTTCCGGAGCTCGGAGTAGTAGCCGTCGCGGACGGCAGTGAAGACAAAGGCGGAGAGCTGAGACCAGGCGGCTGCCGTCTCGCTCGGCGTATGTGTGGCTTGGTCGAGAAAAGTGCACTCGGTGGTGACCGCGTCGGCAGTACAAGCGAAAAAATCTGGCTTGAACCCGTGCGTTCGGAACTGCACATGGCTAGATCCAAAGTCTTCCGACAACTGTAATTTTACTTTTGGGCTTTCAAATAATTAACAGCTGTTTCTTCTGAAATTTCAAAAAATTTACATGTTTTCGGTTTTTTTTTAAATTTCGGCCTCGAGTTATACTCACGTAATGAAATTTATTCGGTCAAAAATTACTCGGTTTGTTTTCAATAGAGAACCGAGTAATTTTGTTTTCAATAGAGAACCGAGTAGTTTGGAATTTTAAAAAGGAGCCAGCAGTTGGGTCCAACAACTGTGAAGAAACACTGAGGAATTTCTGAGGGGTCCTTATAGGGGTTTGTTGTTTTTGGGGTTCCTATACGGGCAAAATAGGGCTTCCTACAGAGGAAAAAATGTTAGGGGCCCTATTGGGGTTGAGGGTCAGACCTAGCGACCGCAAAGCCCCGCCCCTTTTCGCGATGGAAAAAAGGCCATTTTTTTGGTATTTCCTCTTTGATTGTTTTGTACAGGTTATTTTTTTTTCGTGGTCGCAAATTTTCTGCGTAAGGTATGGCAGAGTTTCAAAGCTAGCAGACGTGAAACAGCAGAAAAATTTTTTTCGTAACGTTAAACTCATTTTCTTGGAACAATAGTTCGAGTTTTTTTCGAAAATGTGGCAGAAAAGTCCATACAAACAGATGGCGCGAAAATTATTCGAGTTGTATATGAATGTCTACTACACAATCAATAAACAATGATAGAAAAGAGCGAAAAACTAAAAGTTTGAAATAACGGCGCAAATCGATTTGGCGCAAACTGACTCGACGCAAAAGAAAGCGGCGTCTACATACACGTCGCATTGCGGACCGGCGCTCTATTTTAACGGCGCTTTTGTCCTACACTCCGCTCGTGGGGTAGCTACCGTGTAGCTACTCATTAGCTACTTTCATGGTACCAGAAAGCATTATCTCGTCAGAAATCGAACTCGGTAGCATCGCGATACCTCTCTGGTAGTATCCAGGCAGCATAAAGATAGTACCCGGTCGCATACAAACGACAACCGATTACCAAACGCCGATTTAATTCAAGTTGCTAACCGGTATACCTACTTGTATCGACATCCTGATTGACCAGTGTATTACCAATGACTCATGATGCTCGGGTCAACAATTTGGTGAAGCAAACCTTGATAACTTCGTCACAATCCATCAGTGTATCGCAGACGCGAAATATAAATCGTTTCAATTCTTCTGCAATGTCGTTTGTCTGCGCCTGTAACGATGCAATTTGAGCACGCATAAAGAGTAAAACACGAAAATGGTTTCTAACGAAAGTAAAAAAGAAGGGAAAAGCAACCAACTTTACTCAGATTATCGAGAAAGGGCTTGAAGTCGTCACGCTTTTCACCCACTCGTCGCAGAATACGATCGGCTGAAAAATCACATTGTCTTTATAGTCTGTTCAGATCTTGAATGTCAAGTGTAATGACGTCATTCAAAAACACTCTGTGGATGGCTCGCTCTCTGATTGGTTTATCGCATCATTAGGGGCGGAGCTTAAGCGACGACTTGACATTCAAAATCTGAACAGACTATAGAGTAGTTTGAATCAAAAAAGCAGCACAATTTGTTTGTTACTTTGAACGAGAATGAGCGCTAACGCTCTCTACAGTCAATCCACCCTGAATCGAAAGGCGAGGGAGGCGGAGAAGATGGTGGGTAGCGTATAGGTCATTCCGCGCCAGCTTGTCGCGATTTTAAATTTCCTCGGAGCTAGAGAAACCATTTCGGCGCTCCGCTTCGATGCTCTCGGTGTTCCCCCTTGCGTGCGCCTTTAATAAAACATTATTTCTGATTAAGATATTGCTTCAATTTCCTCTATCTTTTCTAATAATTTACGAGGTTGTTTTTAATGGATTGATTTCATTTTTCGCCTCAACCATACACACTCAGATTCTGTGCTGGATTTGTAAAAATAAAAGAAAATCAAAAAGATTGAATTATTAATTTTTAATTGTTATCAAGGAAACCGACTGTTCGAGCTTTTCTTTCATATAGCTTTTGGGTTAGTTTGATATGAAATTTGATGTTACAACTGTTTTGTGAAATAAGAAAATTCCAAAGTTCGGAAATAATGAGTTTTATTAAAGGCGCACGCAAGGGGGCACACCGAGAGCTTCGAAGCGAAGCGCCGAAATGGTTTCTCTAGCTCCGAGGAAATTTAAAATCGTGACAAGCTGGCGCGGAATGACCTATACGCGTTTGCGGTGAGTTCAACTCAAGAGCCACCGATTGTTTAAAAAGCTTGTCTTTTTGTATACATTCTACTATTGTTGATGCAAAAATGAAAAAATCAAGGAAGAATTAACACACGTTCTCCGAGATTTTCGAAGAACCGTTGGTACAAAAATTTCATCTTTGTTCCTGAGAGCACTACTTGCTATCATAGGTAGTGAACAACCTCTTGAATATTTAGAACCAGGTTTTATTGGGCTCCGCCCACTTTCAGGCTTACTGTAGAAAAAACACGATAAAAACCAAACTTTTTTCCTAGTGGAGCAAATTGGTCCAAACCAATTTTAAAACAAAATTTGTTCCCATTTGAACATTATAGTTATAGAACTGACCCGGAAAAAAATTTTCTTTCAGAAGAAAAAAATTCAAGTTTTTAAAAATGACGATTTTCACAGTCTTTGAGTCATAACTAGTACTAGAACCTCCGAATGCCTGGATTTTTATTTTTTCAATTAGGGTCTTATGAGTAGAGGAAAAATGTCTAGAAACTCTGAATCCGGGTGATCCAGTTGACCTCCATCTCGGAGAACGCGGCCAACTTGAAAATGACTAAATTTTTAAAAATCAGTTACTTTCTTGGGAGCAGGATTTTCCCTCACTTCTTTTTGCCAATCGGACACAATCCACTCAACACAAAGTTGGAACAAAAAGTTATGACTCTCAAGCATGAGGAAATTTTTTTTTCCAACTTTTCACTTATTCGGATTCATTCTTTTTTTCTGTCCTTTCCAAGAATTAGGCTCTAGTGGATTAGCATACCACAAATGCTTAGAGTTTTTTCGTTGTATTGATCCGTTACATCTTCCCAAATTCTTTAAAAATATTCTCAAGCTCTGTTTCCGGGTGATCCAGTTGACCTCCAAGCAACCGAAGCGGTCGACCTCGAAGTCGAACAAAATTAAAAAATTTTCCAAACCGTTTTTTGCTTCCTTACCAGTAGTTCTCATCATCTGGAGAGTTTTCAGTGTTGTTTTCACCAATTGCTAGCGTCAATTTTTATTTTTAGCTTATTTTTTTTCAGAATTTTTAAAAATTTTTGACGGGACGCAGCCCCTTCTTACTTTTTTCACAAAATATTAGTCATTATTTTTTTCGTAAGTAGTGTCTTTACGTAAGTTGTTAGATTCGATTGAAAAAATAAAAATCCAGGCATTCGGGGGTTCTAGTACTAGTTATGACTCAAAGACTGTGAAAATCGTCATTTTTCAAAAAACTTGAATTTTTTTCTTCTGAAAGAAAATTTTTTCCGGGTCAGTTCTATAACTATAAATGTTCAAATGGAAACACATTTTGTTTTAAAATTAGTTTGGACCAATTTGCTCCACTAGGAAAAAAGTTTGTTTTTTTATGGTGTTTTTTCTACAGTAAGCCTGAAAGTGGGCCCATGGGCGAAGCCTAATAAAACCTGGTTCTAAATATTCAAGAGGTTGTTGACTATCTATGATAGCAAGAAGAGCTCTCAGGAACAAAGATAAAATTTTTGTACCAAAATGTTTTGCATTTGTTCGATTTTCTGGGAGAATGCGTGTTAAAAAATAAAGGGAAAAAGCGATAAACGAGCTCTCCAAATAGTAGCTGGCGGTCGCAAAGGTAGGTCGATGCAAGTAGGTAGCGGGTAGCGACCGCTGAGAAGTGAGTTCATTCCAAAGACCGCGCACGCTTCGCGTCCCGCCTTTTTCTCCGTCTCCCTCGCCTTTCCATTCGGGAAAAATTGACTACATTTAATTGAAGGGAAAGATTGGCTCAGGACGGGCATAAAAATTTAGCTGTCGCTCCTTGCATAGACAAGCCCGAGCAGCTTAGCTGCCAAGCGGTTATTATCTAGTTGAGAACCAGAGCTGCTGACCAGACCGAGGCTCAAAAAAGGCCGCAGAAAGGCAGCAAAAAGAGTCTATTTATTTAATATATTCTGGAATTTTAGAAGCTCAGAAAATGGTAAAAAAAAAGAGAAAGGCAGCAAAAAGGTGCATAAAGGCTGAGAAAATGGAGCAAAAAAGCAGCAAAATGGAGTCTTCATCAATCTAAAAGGAAAATTTCTATGGACTCTTCCAGCAGCCTTTATGACCCTCGGGGGGTCCTTCCGACTTTGTCTATGTGATATAAAGATGGAACCTATTTGAAAAGAAAGCTGCATGGATGACTGGGTTTGCTGTAGGAAATATTTCGATTTTCCAGAGGTTAGAAAAAACCTACCAATGTCATCACGAGCATTTTCTAGACAATACTTGATAATTGCCCGTTTGCTTGTCGAAAGCAGAGGGCGTCGGTTGCCTTGCGAAGAAATGGACGACGACCTGAGCAAGAATCACTGAAAAAGTTGAAGGGGCCCTCGTAGGGGGAAATTTTAGGGGCTCCGACGGGGGCCCCAGAGCTTTTCTTGAACCCATTATTAGTGTGATTTTTTTAATGTTTATTTCAGTTGTATATTAAACGATTGGGGGCCCCTACAGGTGCTAAATTTTTTTTTTAAAGGGGCGTTGTTTGCAATAGTAAGGGACGAATAGAAAAAAGCGAATTCCAGTGAACATTTGTTCCTACCCCCTATAGGGGCTCTAAACCAGATTTTCGGGGCTCCGATAGGGGTTGAGTTAGAGGCCCAGGGATGGGCCCATACAAGGCAATACATTTGTCCCCCCCTATCGGGGCCCCCTAAACTTTTCTCAGGCAATAGGGATCAAAATTAAAAGTAGTACGGTTTAAAAGCTTCTTTTGCACGTCCTATCTACACAACAGCAAAAAGACAGCAAAAAGCAGAGATATTGAAGTGAAGAGAAGTCGAATTTGATTAAATATGGTATGTGGTCTCTTTGGCAGATTGAAAACGTGATAAGCTTGCGCGGAATGGGCTATGCTGGTCAGGTTGGCCGGAAAAAAGTCACGATTTTTTTTTCAAATTATAAATGAAATATATCAATCACCTGGGTTGTATTTGTGCATTTTTTTTCGACGTGGTCTTTTTTGGCCTGTGAGGCGGGGTTGTACCGGACGCCGCTTCATTGTTGTTAATGGCCGTTCGGGCCGCTGTCGTCGACTTGTTATTGCCCATAACCTGCATGGGGTAGCAACATATTCGAAAACTACATTTCGATGGTACAATCATCAATTCCCAGCGGAACAAGTGAAGAACAAAGATGCTCTCACATAAAAAAAAGAATCAAAACTTCAGCTTGTAGGAATTGTGTGAGTGAAAATTATAGCCTATTCCGCGCCAATTTATCACGTTTTTCTTCCCACCAAAAAAACCGTATACCAAATTAGATCAAACTTGACCAACTTCGCTCCCCGAAATTCGGTTTTTGTTTTTGTTTTTTTTTCGCACTTATGGAGAGTTCCGAGCGAGGCGGTCATGTTTTTGAAGAAAAGCTGAAAAGGGCTACTCTAAAACAGTTTTCTTAGCAATTCTGTTTTTAAAACGGCGAGAAACAAAGGTCCACGCATTTTTGAGACATTACTACGGCGGCCGGTGGCCGGTCAAAATTGCGCAGTCAGTTTCGGAGCCAGGAAATTTTTTAACTTTCTTTCTTTTTTGCATGTTGTTAAGGACCTACTTCTCAAGGTTACAAGGTAAGTGACGTCGCAAAAAGTACACAAGATTTCATTTTATTATTGAAAAACCTATCCAAACTACCGTAATACGACCGACCACCTTAAACAGGCGTGGGTTTGAAGCGAAGTTGGTCAGATTTGATCTGGCCTTTTGGCGGAAAAAAAACGTGACAAGCTGGCGCGGAACAGCTGATACAAAAGTCTGAGAGGTTTATTTTTAACGGAGCTTAATTTAAATGGACGTAGAATGAAATGGACGTGAATCAGTAAATCGTGTCGAAATTCCTCCTCGCTTGTGTGTAAAGAGAGAGTGGTATAAGAAAAAAAAAAAAAAAACTAGACGCAATTAGCACTTTGGAAATTTCGGCTTGTGAAGCCAAGAAAACGCCTTTGTCATGTATCTCTCTTTCCTCGGTTCGCGGTGATGCTTTCGACACGCGTCTGGCGACTTCCAATTTTTTTTTTTTGAGGCTGGTATAGTGCGTTCCTCCACGGCGTTCTTGTCAGTGAAAGAAAATGCAGAAAAAAATACCAGGGGCGGGTCTCCCTAAATCGTACGACTACAGTAGTTTTGATCTGTTCAGGACCCGTTTTTGGATTACAAGACCCAACCTTTAAAGCTCTCGCAGGATTTACGGAAAGAGTTAAATGAAAAAAAGCATATTTTTGGCTTTTTATTTCATTAATACTTCGTTTGATGTTTCTTCATTTAAAAAGTCATTATCCAGTTCCTTTGGCGTAGTTTGAACCCGTTTTGTGTAAATTAGAGCCAAATTGAATTTGCTGATGCAGTTTGAAGATTTCTTTTATATGAATCATCTAAATAATTTTTTTTTCTAGTTTTTTGATGGTTTTTCAGATTTAAACAAACATTTCGCCATACGAGGTTTTTCTCTTAAGTTTCTGCTTTCTATCCATTATTTGTTTTTCTGAAGCTAGGTTTTCAAGGTATATAAAATGTTTCTTTTTTTCATTTGCTCCTCAAATTTTTCTTCATTTCAATATTTTTTTCGTATTTATAATTGCTAATTCAATGGGAGCTGATTAACCTTCATAATATTTTTTTGTTTTTTTATTTTTTTAATCAGTTATTTAGAGTTTTTCCCCTTCCGAAATCGTTCCTAAACTTTTTTTTAACGTAAGTGAATGTTTTTTTCACATCATATTCTTCAAACTGACAATATTTCGAATATTTCAGGAGTTATTATTCTAAAATTGCAAATTCTAAAATTGAAAAAAAAAACAATTTTGAGTATGCGATAGTGCGTCTCGGTGTGCTTACACCCTAAGCATTATAATTTACGAGAAGTCTTGACCTTGCTTAATAAAAAAAACGCCGTGCCTCGAGACGGTCTCTTTTAAAAGAACAGAATAAAGAAAGCAACCGTAAAAACAGATTTTTTTTTTGCACTTTTGCTCAACAGAGCTGCAAAAAAGACAACAAAAAACAAAGTTCTTGAAGCAAAGTTACTCAAATTTGATCTAATTTGGTATAACTCTCATGCTGATGAGGGTGGCACAGCCGTGTTAACACGGGGTCTCAGCGGGTGCCCCGTGTTAAACCCGTATGACCACAACTGATAAAACTTTTGACAACTTTTACCCCCGCTGAGGCGCCGCCTTAGCACAGTTGGGTCACCGATTTTTTTTTTCTTACATCCGTTGTTCCCCCCTTGTAGCCCAGCTGAGACCCAAACAGCCTGAAAAACACGGGTTTAATACGGGTACACCCGTTGAGGCCTTTGGCCACCATGCGAGAAGGTGTTTCTGACAGAATGAAAAACATGACAAGTTGGCGCGGAATAAGCTGAAGTGCTGTTCAACGGGTTAATGAAAAAAAAAACGGCCGGACGCAAAATTAGTTCAAAATTTCCAAGTGAAAAAAAGACAACAAAAACAATAAACACCGAGAAAGAACGAACTTGTCACATCACCGCCGGTTCCACCTTGGTCCATCAATTCAAACGATGCCAGCTGTTTCTCGCATGCTCACCTCTGCCTCCGGTTCATGTTTCGTAAAGCTGATGATCATTGTTTTCACTAGCTTTGTATCATGTGAAAAAAGGGCCACTTGGGAGGAAACGCTTAGAAATTCAAACACGACCAGATGACTTGCAATTTTTTTGTTCAGATCTAATAATAAAATTTTCAATTTTGAATTATTCTCTCGCACTTTGGATCGTTCAATTTCCAAAAAAAAAATTCGCCCATGGTTCACTTATCCAAATTTTTTCTTGGCCTTTATCCGGCTTGTGCGACAGGCTGAGCGGCCAGGCCCGGCCCGGGCCTCATTTTTCAGGAAAAAAAGCCCGCGTGCGCTCGGGTCGGGCCGGGCTTCAAAAATTTAAAATTTCATTAAAAAAATTTTTCACCGAAATGTGACTTTTTACTTCTCAAATCATAGTTTTTTTGTTAAACTTTCAGAGAAAAAATGAGCAAAAACGTAATTTTTGTCGTAAAAAACTTGATACCCGACCAGAAAAAAATTGCGCGATTCGGGCCGGGCGGGCCATTTTTTCTTGAGGCCCGCTAAGGCCGGGCCGGGCCGGGCTCACGAAATGGTCGAGGGGCCGGGAGGGTGACGGGCCGGCCCTCGCACAAGCCTGGCCTTTATACTTCTCACAGCGTTCTAAAACGGGGTTGACGCAAAAAGAGGCGCACACTATTCTCAATGGAGCGCGTAACTTGGTGCGTTGTCAATTAAAATCAAGATGCTTTTTTTTCTTTAATTTACATGCTATCAACTTTTTTTGATTGTTTTTTAAAAATTTTTTTTGGTTCGATGCACTTAAATTTTTAATTAATGTTTTTAAAAGTATTAGAAAGTTTTCAAAGTATCCATAGCTCGGTAATGTGTCGAAACGTTGTTTATAAAAGAAAATACTGTATCCAAGAGATCAAACCAAAAATCGAAATTCCAACTCCAAGAATCGATCAAAATATCAGTTTCCAACTAATAAACAAGGAAAAAAAAAGCTGTCAGTGTCCGCGCAAAATAGAAAAATTTCGACTTGAAAAATTCAAAAAAAAGGTGTAATTGGTCTGTACCCAAGAGACAAAACCGAAAATCGATCACATTATCAGTTTTCAATTACTTAAACAGGAAAAAAACAATACAAAATGATACCTGAGTTAAAAATTTCGACTTTCGTGAACAGAACAATTATGTAGTCCTTTAAACCAATCAAACCACAAGAAAATAAACTGCGAAATTTTAAGAGAGTTATAGGAAATGACTAGCAACACTTGGTAACTATAAATGTCCGGAAAAAAATGTTCGGTATCTGGATGCTACCGGGTATGTAACTGAAATTGGCTGGCACAACGGTCGTTTATATGCCATCAGTGTTTTTTAACACCTTCCCAAGCCTTCCAGGGTCTTTTTGGATAAAGCTGAAACAAAAAATAACGACCCGGGAAGCAATTCCAGACTTTTCAAAAGAAATCGCGAATGTCAGGTCTACCCGGTAGCTACTTGCATCGACTTCCCGATTCATCTTTGCAATAACTCTATGAGGAAAAATAAGCAAAAACCCCACTTTTCTCGTTAAAAAAGAAGCGAAAAATTCTACATAAACAAGATTCAGATTTTTGGGCCGGCCCTCGCGCAAGCCTGATCTCTGCCAAGATTGTTCGTAACTTGTCTTGAAAAGTGCAAAAAATGGCTTTAGAAACCGAAAAATATATTTTTTTTTATCCGATTTTTTTCATGTTGGCCAGTATAGGCCATTCCACGCCAGCTTGTCACGTTTTTCTTTCCGCCAAAAGGCCAGGTTAAATTTGAACAACTTTGCTTCACGACATTTCACAGTGTTCCAAAAGAGACGGCGGCAAGCGAAAAAAAAGGTCGTTGCAATGGGGCGAAAACGCGAGTTTTTTCTAACGCAACGCGGTGCGGCAAGCCCCGACAAAATTTCATTCACTTTTAATACGGCTTTTTCTCTTTTTCTTGCGTATTTTACCATTCTTTCGTATTTTTTCACATTGTATGTGTTCTTAAAACGTGTTTATCGCGTTTTCCAAAGATTTGAAGTGATTTTCGATTGTTCTCGTCACAGAAATTCGCATTAAAATGACATTTTTGATGACAACTTATTTCGCATAAGATATTTCGTTTGTTTATTTTTTTTAGAATTTTCAAATGAACTTTCTTAAGAGAAACGCTTTGAGATTTTTCTCAAAATTTTTTTTTCGAGGCAGTATTCGACGAATTTATTCTTGAAAGTGTCATTTTGGGTGACAACTTCATTCGCACAAGCTATTATTTATCTGTTTTTTTCTTTTTAAAAACGTTCAAATGGTATTTCTTAAGAGAAGTGCTTTGAGCTTTTTTTCTCAATTTTTCCCTTTGGAAGTTCGATTTGACGAGTTTTTCCTAAAAAAACGACATTTTGGGAAATATTTTGTTTTGCAAAAACTTTTTCGTCTCTTTTTCTATTTAAATTTGTTCATTATAATTTAATACACATCAAAAATCTTTGAAAACTTGTGAGAACCTAGGAAAAACATCATTTAATGGTCTTTTTCCAACCACTAAATCCACAAAACTTGACTCTCATCCCCGCGCCCCTATTGCAATAAACCGTGCCGCTGTTGCAGTCAGCCATGCCTACTTACCACAGCTGCCGCCCGTTGGGAACACTGTGCATTTGTTTCTTGCCGCACGGCGACACCAAATCTACGCCACGCCCACCACAACGGCGGAAAATAAAATGTGTTGTCCGCATTGCATGCGATGCATATCGACACCTTGTTTACAACTCGAAAAAGGTCAGGCGATTAGGTTTCAAGTTCCCTGAAACTAGTTTGAAACTCAATTGCAGATTTGCAAATCACTTGCAAGACCCTTTTCCAGCCAAAAATTGCAACCTAGTTGCAATATACCCTCTGTCGGGTTGCAACTCAGTGTTTCTCGTTGCAAACTGCAAACTTCCTGCAGTTTGTATGCAAACTAGTCTGTACTGAAGTGCAAATCTCTTTCAACTGGCTATCCGAGTTGGGAATATTCACCTCTTTCCTGATTTTTTATAATTTTTCCAATTTTTTATAAACAGAAGTTGATGGGGAATGTTTACAGCGAATAAAAATGTGGTAGCCGTTCTGCAGCGAATATTTGACTATGCGCATGCGAGAAAGACGCATTTATTGATAAAAAGTTAGTTGAAAAAAATCAGTGTTCCTTTTTTGGTTGAAACACGAGATCTTCACAATTAGAAGACAAAAGGAAAAAAAAATGTAAGAAAAAAAAGATAAAAATTCGAAAAAGAGGAGAATATTTCCAAGAATTGTTTGCAAACTCAAATTTGCAAAGATTCGAGTCCCCAAGATTGGTGTATGCACAATTAACGCTCAGGAATTTTCGGGGACACAAAATTCCTTCCTACCATCGCTTTCGTCAACCAACCGTTGAACCACAGCCGAGCACCCGAAACGCTATTTTTTGCCCACATAGACCCCCGTAAAAGTCCAACAAATCTACGCAAACGACCACCTCGCGCCGAACCCCGTTTAGGTCAAGGGGATCCCAAAACGTTAAAAAAAACGACGGGTGATCGGCATTAGCAACCGGAGAGCACCCGTTCTGCAAAATTAAGACCTATTAGCCCAACGGGGATAGCCAGTATTAGAATGTTTTTTAACAGAAAATTTTTTTCAAAAATTTATCTCATCGTGTCAGTAATACGCTCGTCTTTGATTCATAAATGATTGCTCTTTCGACGACAAAAAGTTTGTTGAAAATTTTTTAATCACACAAGTTTTTTCAATCTTCAAAAAACGCACCAAAAGGGCAAGATTGGTTCTCAAATCTAGTTCGAGCGAGTCAAATACGTGTAAAATATGGTGAGATCATTGGAAAAAAGAAAGAGTGTGAGCTGTTTTTAATACAAGCAAGTCTTTTTCATTATTTCGAAAAACTGCGATTCGGCCACTCGCGCCGACGAGTCGCCGCCCGCTTCAGCGATCATCTCTCTCAGTTCGGCCACGGGAAGTTGTTCGCCAAGCTCGTTAGCCACCTCAAAAGAAAGAGTTTTGTGATGAAATTGAAATATTTATGAAGTCTGTTTTACTAAAGATAACTGCTGGAACGAGAGCGGCGCGATCTCGCATTCTAGAAATTTTCAAACATAAACGAACCGAGAAAGGGTATCGCGATACCCTCTGAGGTAAATCGCATGCAAAATTTGTCCAAAAGGCCTGAAACTCGGCCAGATCATAAAACACACTTCATAATGTAGGGAAACATTAAAAAAACAGTTTTATTTTTCGGATTTGGGAGGGGGAGGGTGTACGGAGGAGTAAGCTAACAGTTGAATGATTTCTGTTTTGGAATATTGACACCTAGCTGAATATACTTTCAAAAACGCGCGAAACAAGATAATAGTCCTATTTAATTTTTATCTCAACTTCAATAGTCATTTGTCATCGAAAGTTACCCGCGGGGGAGTGCGTATTTTTTCAAGGGGAGTACGTACTTTTTCAAGGGGGTACGCGATGACGTCACATAAACTAGTTGGTTAGCCCCTGTACGGGCCCCTCAACTTTTCTCTGGATTAGAAAATGGCGCGGAACTAAGCAGCACTTTTGCGAGGTCGTCAATGTAGCTAGCCCGCCTTCATCTTGTCAGTTATTCTCAATATTCTTCGACGAGACAACTCATTTACGCTAAGTGCATTATAGCTGAATACAGAACATTTTCACATTTACGTTAAAAAATATTCATCATAATTCACGTGAAATGAATGTTTCTTAAACATAAATGGTTCTTTTTCTAGATATAGCTTTTCAAGCTGTTTCTAAATCTGGTCTCACTGCCGACCAGGTCTGTGAAAAGTTATTAATCCTCAAAAGTTAGAATTTTCAAGGTCAAGGTTTCCGGTTATCATTTGAGAGGATTGAGACGCTGCCCCACTGAAAACAGAAATATAGAAAGAAAAAAAGAAAACAAATTTTTTTCATTCTCATGTATGTACTTTTGAATAAATAATTTTTTTCATGTGAGAAGAGATCATAACTCACAAATCACGATTATAAACTTGTCAAAAACATACTGCTTGCAGGTTTTCCATCGTTATGTATCCTTTGCCTTCCCGGTCAAACAGTTTGAAAGCAGATCGCATTTCTGCAGTGACCTGGGAAAAGGGGTATATGTCAAAAGAGCTGTGAAAATCGAGCTAAGAAAAGTGAGCTGATGAAAAAATTGCCAGCGATAAAATTGCCAGCGAACAGCGAGCTGCGAAAATTTTGCCCACCGTTGGCAAAATTTCAGTTGATTACATATTGCGCTCCACCGATGACGCGCCGATGACAGATTTTGAATTTTCGGAAAATTTTTTTCATTATTTTTGTTATTTCTTATTTGTTTTCATTAATTTATTTTTCATTTTGTTGTGATCTCGTGCGGAAAAGTTCTATTTAATTTGCGCTTCGAATGAAATCGGGCGAAGTCAGTCTATAAGAGTCTGAAAAACATTTTAACAATGAAAAAAAAAGTTTCAGGACGCTTAAAAGCAATCAGGGTGGATTGATTGTTGAATTCTTGCGATGAGGATAAGTTCGAGTATTCGTTCCGCAAAAAATTGAATGAAAAAACAAGAAAAAATTGAGGAAATAATAAAATTTTGCAAAGATTCAAGTTTGCAAAGATTCAAATTTTGCCCAAAATTCCTTCCTACCATCAACAATTCTCCGCAATTCCAACACAAGGAAAAAAATCATTCAGGTAAAAATTAGTTGCGAAATTGACTGAAAACAAAACCTTGTCTTCTGATTCACCATCCGGTTTTTGTAGAACTGCTGCCAATTCGTCGACGTCCATAAAGTCCTCTTCTAGAAGTGGATATAGTCGATGTGCCACGACTTGAAATTTCATGGAACAACACTCCGCTTGGTGGCCTGTGGTCGTGAAAGCGACTTGCCTTTGCGAATTTCGGTCGCGCTTTCCATTTTTTCTTTCATTTGAAAATTTCACTATTTTAATTATGTTTCAATAGTTTTCTTCGTGCCAAACTCATGATTATCATTGCTAGTGGATAGACTGTTTCATTAGAAACATATAAAATTGAATAATTTTTCGAACTTTAAGCGAAAAAAATGCGTTTATAATATTGATTTCAACGTCCCTGACATGCAACATTCTTCCATTTTCACTTGTAATATTTCAAATCATGTAAAAAATATCCCGATCAGAAATAAAACACAATGAATGTTTAAAAACAACTGAATAACTCAACATTGACGAATTTGTACAAAAAAAAACAGATACATAAGTTCAAAGGAAAAATCATTAGTTTTCTGGACATTTCGTTCAGCACATCGTTTCTACTGTTCATGCCCCATTTCTGACGGATAGCTCTATGGATGAGCTTCTCCCTTTCTCGCCAACCTTTGAAATCTCGTTCAGATTCTCTCAATAAAATCATGTCCAATGGCAATAAAAAGTGAAATAACACAAACAGAGTAGTCGATTTAACCTTATTTTGACTGAAACCGATCTCGCTATTTCATAGGGCTCATGGAAGTATACGTCTTCATTTTATAAGGCACTCACTTTCTGAAAAAATCCATTAACCACTGCAAACAGAAAAAAAAACGATGAAAACATTGAAACATGGCTTTAAAAAAAACACAGAAAATTTTTTAGAATGTTGTTTATGGCCTATTTCACCCGCAAATCTTTTTGGTAAACCTTTGAAAACTTTTTTGAGAAACGAGAAAAACAATATTAAAGCGATTGACGAATACATGACGTTTTTCAAACTTTTTTTTATCGCTTTTTTCTAGAAAGGTCATGAAACTTACTGTGTTCTTTCGTTTACATTTGTACAACAAAAATCCTTTTTCAACGATAATAATACATTTTAAAGGAACAAAAAAATTAAAAAACGATCAAAATTAGAATGAAAACCAAAAATTAGCGTGGCCGAGGTTGGCCAATTCGCAAGATGCGCGCTACCGCACAAATCGAAACAGCGGAGTGTCGTTCCATGAAATTTCAACTTCTGGCACATCGACTATATAAAAATGTACAAGAGAAATCTCCATCGTTATTTTGAACGACGCAGAAACTTTCAAAGAGTATTGGGCAAAAAGAAAATCTCTTAACACGTCATCACCTCCATGCCAGCTTAGAAGGTTTTTGCGACCGTCGCGAATCCGCCTCGTCATTTCTTCGACCTCAGTGTTTCTCGGATCGAAGCCGAGGGCGCGCAGAATGAGCTGTAATCGACGAAACGAGCATTTTAAATGCGAATAAAAAACAAGAAATTTTCGACAGTTTTCCGTATAGTCTGACTCAGCACTCAGCACGGATGGCGCACGGTGCATCCTGCTTTTTTGCACTCTGGTGCGAAACTGGAGTCTGCATCGTGCAGTTTTGGTTCTTTTTTGGTGTCGCTTGGTGTATAGGGACCGCAACCCATTTTCTCAAAATGGTCATACAAGTTTAAATTTTATGTTTTATGTTAGCTAAATAGACATTCCCAAAAATCTTGGCATCAAGTTGAATGAACGCCGAGAAAATTCGACAAAAGTGAGGGTATCTCGGGAACGCTTTTATAGCTGACTCACGGCTGGCTTGAGCCATCGGAAAAAGAGTCCTGACATAATGCACGAGATAGCCACGGTGTTCCCGAACGGGGTGGGGAGACTTCAAAAAAACTTTGGCGTGAAATTTGAAATCTACAGTACACAGCCCAAGGCGATCGAAAAAACAAGTTATTAACGTTTGATACTCAGTGCATTTTATCCGTAGCGCGCAATAAATTTTTTTTGTAAATTCAGAAAGTTTGACGCCTCGTCACCCCGTTTGGGAACGCCGTGATGGCGCCTGGCTCGTGGAGAGCGCAGACAGGACACGCCCCCTCAGTGTCCCAAGCTGGCCGTGAATCAGCTATAGCACTGAACCGTGTGTCTCTGCAGGAGAGAAAATGGGAGGAGTCTATGCAATTTTTCGGGCGCGCTTACAAATTTTGTTGAAAAAATTTTTTGAAACACGATTCTGTTAATGAAATAAGACTTTTTAGTGATTTTAATATTTCGCGATGGAATCGCCATATGAAGAACCATATAAAAACAATAAATCCATTGAAAGTTCAAAGTCTAGTCGATAGAATTAATGAGGTTTTCCAATCGAACCAGTAAAAAATCAAACAAAGATTATTTAATATGAAAAAATCTCCAATTCATGTTCTAATAGTTTTTGTAACATATAAAATGGATACGTTCTTGAAACGAAACTGAAAACTTCAAGTTCATCCTACTCCGAGCAATGCAACAAGAAAAAAACTTTAAAAAAGAAGGAAAGTGTAAATTTTATCCTTTTGTTAGTTTTAATAGGTCGACAACATTCCTGACATTTGGAAAAAAAAATCAGAATACTGCAAATTAAGAAAAATAAAACAAAATTATCATTTTTTCAATCTTTTTATTTTAGTCAACAATAACAGGACTAATGAATATTATTTAAGCGTTCCTTTGACAAAATCTCCTTCGCGACAGCTGTGAAATGTTTTCCAGTTTTTTCGAAAAAAGAATATTCAACAATAAACGTTTTAAATTCGATAAATAATGAATATTGTATTGAAAATTAAAAATTATTTTTCGTTGGAACACGCAAAACGCATCACGGGCCCGTAACATTGCACACTTTCTGTTCGAGAAAAATACAAATGTCGTTTTATATTTTATGCGCGTCGGTGCGCGACTTGTTTTTTGATTTTGTTGTTGTTAAATGTAGAGAAATAGTCAAGATATCTAAAATTGAGTGGCCGCCGTCGGGCTTACCACTCTCCTATCCGCATGTGAATTGCTAAATTTTGCGCGTATTTATGCTTGTTTTCGAAATCATTTGCATAACTTTGTTTATGTTTTAAATTTCCCATTTTTTCTCTTAATGTGTTCCAATCAACTTCTTTTAACAGAGAGAATTGATTTTTGGTGTGAAGTTGTAAAAATATTGTCGTTTCGGTGCTTTATTCAAAAAGATGCCGTAATTATTTTTTCTTCAAGATTTTTAAAAACTTTTTCTTTCAAAAATTAGTGATAAATGCTCTTCGCTAGATCAAGAACAAACAAAAAAATAAGGTCGTCGCTGAAAAAACTAATTTTCCAGAATTTTTTCGCCTTTTCTACGGTTTTTTCTAATTTTGACTTCAAAATCTGAATCTAGGTATCAAACTATGCCCCAAAACATATAAGTTCAACATATAATTGCTTCCATACGCGTGCTATGAGAAAAAGAAAAGACCGCAATGCAATGCGAAAAAAATTTTGCCCAAAGTGGCCAAGTTTCGCACCAGAGTGCAAAAAAGCAGAATGAACCGTGCGCCATCCTTGCTGAGTTGAATCCGGCTATTCCCGATTTTCGAAAAAAAAAAACAAAAAACAAAAGGAGTTCTAAAAAACCTTCAATTGATCGAGACGAACGAGACCCTGATTCTTGGGCTCGCATATGGCTGTGAAGGCTTTTTCGATTTCTACACGACTCACGGGGACAGCTTTCGCAGTCATTACGAAAGAAAGTGAATTAAGACAGGATCTGTAAATGACGTTTTTTACACTATAGTCACAGCGTTCCAAAGCGGGGTTAACGCCTGCTGTGCTAAAAAGCGTGCCAACCTTGCACGAATTGGGTGGGGCATGCGCCATCGACTTTCATTTTTCCCAATTTCAATTCGATATTTACAATTTTCCTATTATTTTATGGGTGAAAGCTTTTTTGCTGACTATTTTTGTTTTATTTCATTGCCAACCTATTCCAGATACTTCCTGCGAAAAGTGCTGTTCATTCTTTTGAGTAAATTTTTGCTTAGAGGCTTCTCAATATATTTGTTCAAAAAGTCTCAAGTGTTTAATTAATAGCAAACTGAGATTCAATAGGACTTTTAGAGGTGAAATTCCGAGTTTCGCTTATCCTTTTCCAATTTGGTCCAGTTACTAATCTTTCAAAAAAAGTCTCAAAATTTTTCATGGTTCGGCTTTTTCTACCGCTCTTTTTGTTTTTTTAATGAGTAGCAAACTGAAATTCAATAATACTTTAAAAGGTGAAATTCCGAATGCTTGTTCCGATATTTTTAGTTCAATAACCGTTGTTCAAGAATTTCAGTTTGATAACTCGATAATTTCTCTCTAGATTTAGTTTTTTCATTTATTACACTCATTTTAATAAAGCAAGAATGCGAGAAATAATTTTAACAAAAAGCATGGTAAATATTTCTGTTTAAAATGTTGTTCGTTTCTTGGTCGTCATCACTAATAATATTTTCAGACATTCAACTCTTAATGAAAAGTTCTCTCTGGCTGATCAGGTTGACCCACCGTGCTAACACGGGGTCTCAACAATCCCCTTGTATTATAGTCGTTAAAATCAAACATTGAACCGTTTGAACTTTTTAGGAAAATCAATTTCAAAATTTTTGAAGTTCAACCCACCTTTTTTCGACTGTAGCCCGGTTGAAACTGTTAAACGATTGAAAATTAACTGTTGAAAAAAGATCGAACGAACGTTCGATTGAAGAGTTAATAATGACGACTATAACCGGTATCAAACTCGTATAAGCACAACTGGTAGAATTTTTGGCATCGTATCTGTTTTAAGCTATTTGTTAACATTTCTTCATAAATTGATTTTGTACCTTTCTATTGCTTCTACCACCGTTACAGATTTTTGAGAATACACGCTGCGAAACGCCGCGCTCTCTTCATGGGACGTGAAGCGAAGTTCAACCCATTTTGAAAATTTTCTCGGTCGTTATGGTAAACTTTGTCATTTTTTTCTGTCCATTTTTTGTTGAAAATGAGAACAAAAATCGTATTATATGATGTTTCATGAACTATTTGGTAATTGTTTCGAATCCCCATATCGGAGAAATTTTTACGGAAAAATTTTCGATAGTGGTATTATTTTTTTAAAAAAAAGTACAGTATTTGTTTTTGTCTTAAGCAGGAAAAGATAGAAATTAAAAGAAGCATTAAAAAAATGAATTGAAAAATCTTTAATTTCAAGCGTAAAATACCAAGAGCCAACGTCCTGGGTGGATTTACGCGATCAGGCCACGCCCATTTTTGCAAGCTATCGCGCGCTGAACCCCGCTTTGGAACGCTTTGACTAAAGGCGATCGAGGTGAAAAAATTTACAAGGTCAAATTTACCTTTAGGACTATTAAAAACAAAAAGAATTTGTAATGATTTAATTTTATCAAAAAAAATATGTGAACGTGGAAAGCGTTGAGGAAGATTTTACTTAAAGTGATTCCCTTTACCAACTAATGAAAGTGACCTTAGTATGGCCAGGACTCGGGAGCATCAAAGAAAAAATAGAGTTACAGCAAAGATCCAAGATTTGGGCGTCAGGTCAATAGAAATTTCTCTTTAAGGGTACAGGATTTCATTGTAACGGGTGTGCTAGCGTTGATAACGATATTATACAAGAGTAAAATCGAAGCTACATGAATATGTTAAATTCTTCAAGAAGTACCCACAAAAGCATCATTGGGCAGTTTTTCGCAATCTCGAAAGCTGTTGAAACTTTTTGGCGGAAAGTTTGACATCTGTAATTAATTAGTTCGGTAGAGTATTTTTCTTGAAAATTTGAATTTTTTTGATTAAACAAGAGAAACTCACTAAATGCTGTATCTGGTGGGAGATATTCAGGCCGCTTGTAAGGAATTCCATAATGCTGCGCTAACTCAATTCGTTGCTCGGCACGAATAATAAGTTTGGATATTTCCCGTGCATCGGAGAGCTGAAACGAATACGTTTCAAAAATAAAATGGCACAAGGTGACCTCTTTGTTTTCGCGAAAGCTGAGTCGAGCTTCCAAAAGAATTCCAGCTCGCTCATAATTGGTTTGGGCGGGCTCCAGTGCCTCCCAGCTTTTACCTGAATTGGAGAAAATCAAATTGTTTGCGCACTCGTCGATCATGTGTACAATGTCAGCTTTTCGTTTAAAAAAAACTTCAATTATTTTTTGAAAAGCACGTAGGAAATTCTAGAATCGAACTCGAGAAAAAAAAAGTGCTTGCCTATTTTTAGAATGCGCCTGTAGAGCTGCAGAACTCGCACGCGATCGGTAACTATCATTCGCTTGTGTATTCTGAAACAGCAGTGTTCCCAAACAGCTCAGACACTAGTCGGGGGAGCGCCGACCGGGACTAGCTAGCTCTTATGTTTTTTTTTATAAAATTTTTCTTAAAATGCTTTGTTTTCGTTTTTATTTTACTTATTAGTATCTTTGTTCATCGATAAACTGCTTCAAAATCTTTTGTCCGAAGTTTTGAAGTTCCATTTTTTTTTTTGAAATTCCCTTTTTTTTATTGAAAAATAGGTGAGGATGAGGGTCATGCTGCTTTCAAAGCTAATTTAACGCGCAGCAAAACAGCTCTTCTGGTTCAAAAGCCCGAGCCGATTCGCAGCGAAACGCGACAGATTCCCACGACGTGATTGGATGACCCCGCCTATCTGGCTAGAAAAACATTTTGAGAATACATTTATATTGGACCTAAGAAAAATTTTAGGGGCCTCGACAGGGACTCGCAGCTTTCCTCCAACCCCTTCAACGATTCGCGGCCCCTATCGGGGTACATTTAAAAAAAAAAAATTTTTAAGTAGCGTTGTTTGAAAGGGTTAGGGACGGATATGCGCGATCGCGCGAAATCTAATGAAAATCGCGCGAATTCTAGTGAAAATTAGATCCTACCCCCTCTAGGGGCCCCTAAACTCAACCCCTATAAGGGACCCTAAACTAGATTTTCGGGACCCCGATATATAGGAGTTAAGTTAGGAGGCCCCACGGGGGCTCCTTAAGTTTTCTCTCTATTTTACCCCCTATCGGGCGCGCGCCAATTCGAAAAATGCGCTGGCGCGCAAAAGCCCATTATCATTTGTCATTAATGCCGTGTTCAAAGTAATTTCCGCGAAATGCAAAATACCCGTTAGAGAAAGGAAAAGATCACTAAATTTTGGAGAGTCAGAGATCATTTTGCATTTCGCGGAAATTACTTTGAACACGGCATAAGGCTTGTGCGTCAGGACGCGCGGCCCGGGCTTTGGGCTTCACTTTCAAGGTGAATCGGAAGGTCGTGCAAGTAGGTATAGGCCATTCCGCGGCAGCTTGTCACGTTTTTCTTTCCGCCAAAAGGCCAGGTAATGTTTGAACAACTTCGCTTCAAGACCTTTGTTTCTTGCCGTTATAAAAGGAGAAATTTGGTCTAATTTGGTATACGGTTTTTTTTGCGGAAAGAAAAACGTGACAAGCTGGCGCGGAATAGGCTTTACCGGGTAGCGACCGCTGGTGAGGTATAGCTACTTATTAGCCACTTTCATGGTACCGGAAAGCATACGCTCTGCATAGCCTCTCCGGTAGTATCCAGGTACCACAGAGATAGTACCCGGTCGCATACAAACGACCTCCGATTACCATATGCCGATTGACTTTAAGTTGCTACCTGGTACCTACTTTTATCGACCTCGCGATTGACCACTGTTTGAAAAAAAAGCCTGCGCGAGCTAGGGCACGGCGTTCTTTTGACGACGCCCCTCCCACAATTTCTGTAATATTTGACGTGTTTGGTGCATACACAGAACGACGCTAACTCGCATGCTCATTAATTTCGAAAATAATTTTTTTCTTCGAACTAGAGACGTGAAAAAAATCGATCCTTTCACAATTCCTTTTCGAGTTGACAAAAAACATTTGGGTGGAAGTTTTGCTTATTTTTTGAACACTTTTATTCCTTTTCATCCTCAAACTTAGTTAAAGTCCTTCTTTTCAGTGAAAAACGTGGAATTTCGTGCTGAAAATGACTTATTGTGGTTCTATGTGTCTTTTCCCACTCGGGCAAAACTGAAAAGCTCCCCAAAAGCTTTTCTCAAAAAAAGACCTTGAAAGGGTCCCCAGCAGATCTTTTTTACATCATTTCAATTCTGTTTTGCGTCTTTTTCACATCCTCTGACAAAAAGGATGCTGGTAAGCAACTTAAAAGATCCGAGAGGATTCAAAAAGGATCCTCTGAGGTAATGAAAAAGGTGCTCAAAAGCTTTTTTACATCATTTTAGGAGCTTTTAGAGGAAGCTTTTTATCTCCCTCTCAGGATCTTTTGAGGATCCTCAAAGGAACTTTTCAGTTTTACCTATGCACTCATTAAAAATTGAAAAAAAGTTTTCTTTACAGATTTGGTTTAGTTCATCCACCTAGTGGTATTTTTTCTCCCCTGCAACATCGCCATACCATTCTGATGTTGCGAAATTGAAGAGATTGATTGGGCCGTGCCGTGAAGAGCTCTCGCACTAACAGTTGGCTGCGGCAAGTAGAATTTCTGAACAAACAAAAAAAATTAAATAAAGACCTGTCCCACACAGCTCATTATACACTCGGGCAAAACTGAAAAGCTCCCCAAAAGCTTTTCTCAAAAAAAGACCTTGAAAGGGTCCCCAGCAGATCTTTTTTACATCATTTCAATTCTTTTTTGCGTCTTTTTCACATCCTCTGACAAAAAGGATGCTGGAAAGCAACTAAAAAGATCCGAGAGGATTCAAAAAGGATCCTCTGAGGCTATGAAAAGGGTGCTCAAAAGCTTTTTTACATCATTTTTAGGAGCTTTTAGAGGAAGCTTTTTATCTCCCTCTCAGGATCCTTTGAGGATCCTCAAAGGAACTTTTCAGTTTTACCTATAGTTAGCGATTTCCCTGCTTCAAGTAAGTTGATCAATTGCTCAAATTCATAAATTTTAACACGATTTTTATCAAAGACCAAACATAGGATGGCAAAGGCGAACAACATGAACAACAAAGCCTGTCAACATCGGTAACGGTGTTGGCGTACCACCATCAAGACATGGTCCATTTTCGGAGTAAAAAAGGGGAGCCAAATTTATACGCAAAAAAAAACAAGAAGAGGGATGCGACCTTGTGGTTTTGACCACCAAAAAAAAACGAGAGCCTTCCTAACACTGTTCAGAACAAGCTTGGAACGACCTTCGCACAAATTTAAGCTTCAAAGCTTCATTCTTTGAGCGGATTTCAAGCGTTTCGCTCACAATTTCAACTCGTACAGAAGAAGAAGAAGAAGAATATCATAAAGAAACAACGAGGACTCAAACAAAAGAGATGTGGTTAACTGATGAAACATGAATGATTATGTATAAAAAATAAAGAATCTAAACAAGGGCTCGAATGGCTCGATTAGAAATTGGTTATCAACACTTTGATTTTCATTCCATATACATTTAACATCTTTAATAGTAAAGTAGCGGTGCGTTCGAAGTTTGACAAATTCGAAAAAATAACTGACTCTCTTAATTCTCGTTATTTTTTCCACGCTCTGGCGGTCATTTCTATATTGCCGAAATTAAATCGAACGCGGTATAGTATTGTAGTAGTAGTGGTGGTGGGGAGTGAAGAGAGGGAATCTACCTATAAGAAACAAAATTTCAAGCGGTTGAAAAAAAAAGAGAAAAAAAAAAATGTATCACCGAGCGCCTCGAGATCGATGCAATCGTGAGAATGGCAAGAACGCAACGATGCTACAAGTACTTGTTTGGTAAAACGCGCATAAAGTACATGAATATGTTCATACAACGTAAAAAGTACCAATGTCTAGATATAACGAAGATCAATGCGCACTAGTGAAAATGAGGAGGTGCAACTGACATGGGGATGCGTTCTATAGCCCATTCTGCGCCAGATTGTCGCGTTTTTTTTTTCCTCCGATCTACATAATTCTTTTGGGAAGCTCAGGCGAAATAAAAGGCGCATTGAAGGATTCTGCTCACAGGGAAACAAAAATCGCAATGACGCAGAATGAGCTATACCTAGCTTTTTGGAATTTCTTGTAAATGTTCTAAACAATTTTCGAGGGACTGGGAATCGAAACTTTATAATCGTTATCTGCACGTACTTTTAGTTTTAAAATCACTGATTCTCAAATTTTGCGTTTAAAACATAGTATGGCCTGAAACCTATATTCCGCAATTTGGAATAATTAAAACCTCCAAACCGAAGATTGTTCGAGCAAACTTATGGAAAATTCTAAAAGGCTAGGTGGAATAACTTTCATGTGAATCATTGAAGAAGAAGAAATAGGGTATTCTAGACTGAACTCAGAAAAAATGTACATGTATCTAAAAAAAAGAAGATTCTCAAGAACGTTTCAAGGCTCGCTGCATCAGATCCTCGTCGTCGCTGCTCTCCATTTCTCGGAACTTGGCGACCAACTCGTCAATGGTAAAGTTGAGACAATCGCCATCCGCCCGATTCATCTGTATATGGAAGATAAACAAAAGTACAAGATTTTGAAATGGTTTTTTTCCCGTCATCTTTGCTCAAGCAGTGGGAAACAAAAATTATGAATTGAGCTACTCACATCTGTTTGGACAATCGACGGCTCCAACGAGATTTCTTCGCTGTTCATCGGTTCCTGAAACGGATTTTTTCAGTACGTAGAGTGAAAGGTGCGAGGGCTCACTAGAACACGCGGGTAGCAATCAATCGAGGAATTGGAACAGTTTCCCCATATGAGCTGACTGTCGGAAATCAATGGGTCATCTGAAAACTATTGATATTTAATTTTCATCTTTTTGCTATGCATAAATAAGGAAAATAAAAAATGAATTTTTCTTCGATACGCTCCTACTTGGAACAAACTCACTTTCAAATTTCAGTTCAGCCATCACCCCAAACATTTGAAAAAATTTACTTGTCAATCTACCAATATACGAGTTTTTTGTATTTTTTCCTCCGAAATTCAAGTGATTTGATGTTTTATTATGTATTATATTATGTTCTAGATCCTAGTGAGCTCGTTAGGGTTCGCACTTTTCTGTCTATAAACTATTCGGTCTTCATTACCGCTCTCGCCTGAGATTCAATTCGACGCTCGCTAGCCATGGACAAGCTGGGCGCCGTGATGTTCCTACAGCAGTGTTTTCGGAAAGCTCGAAACCCGTCTACTACTATCACAGAATAGGCGAGATGCTCTACGCGACGTTCTTGATCAACGAAAGTTTCGCAAACCGACAAACAATTCTCCTATAGCTGATTCACGGTTGGCCTGAGCCATCGAAAAAAGGGTCCTAGCACGATAAGAAAGTAGACAGAGCCTGGTTGGTGGAGAGCGCACACAGGCCACGCCTTTTTGCGTCTAAAGCTATTCGTGATTCGGCTATATTATCCCATTATTAAACAATTATCGTTCAAGAAAATGGCAAAAAGTGGAGGAAACTGACACGTCGAGATGGGTTCAATAGACTCTATGTCTTCGGCTGGCGGAAACATGAGGGCAGAAGCCAGACAATGTCGAATGGGCGGAACATCTGTTACGACAGCGCCGACAGTCGGAGACGACTCGGCGACTTTGTAGACATAGTCATCGCTCTCATTGAGGGTGTCGCTGGTTACCGAGGCGCCGTCGTCGTCCATTTCATCGTCCTCGTCCTCGCTTTCAGGGTGCATCACCAAAGAGGTGGCCAACACGCCGTTCTGCGGCATTCTGCTTGACACGGCCGCTCGTAAGCTCTCCTAGAAGTAGAAGTCAATTGAAGCGTGCTCTTTCACCTTCCGAACGAACCTCGGACGAGATGTTGGCAGTCAGACGGCTGACAAAAAAGTCCATCAACGTGTCGATACCACCGTTCTCCGTTTCGCTCTCGGATCCTTCATCGCTATCATTGTTCGTGATCAGTTCGTTTGTTGGCATTTGATTAGAGTATTCGTTTCCTGAAAAAAAGAGCAAGATGAAAGAAACAAAGTGTTGTCATGAGAAATTTGAAAGAACTTATCGAAACTCGAACACTGGGGCTCAAGCGAAAAATGTGAGAAACCTAGGTGAGAGATCCGATGATAGGCAACGGGTTGGTGAGCCATTGACAGGGGTCCTCCTCCACTTGGCGCCATCGCGTCGTCAGCCGCTTCAACCACGTCATATTCAGTCCATCCGTGGTCACGGCCAGTCAAGCCCGGCGTATCTCTGGTGAGTAGTGCCTTCTGAAACGTTTTCCTACTGCTTGTAGTTAATTTTCTAGATAAAAAGCCTTTTTGTGAGAAAAGACTTTCGTTCTGTTTACCAAGCGATCATTGCCAGTCTCTGAAGAGTTGGATGAACGAGAAGAGCTTCTTCTTCCTCTGGAGCGAATGACCGGCTGCCGCATCTGACGCAAAAAATCATCACATAATTTGAGATTATAATAATTTTCAAGTAAATCGAATATCTCTTTTTCTTCTAGAAAACATTATAATGAAGGTGAAGACAAAAAGTACCTGCAATGTCGGCATGACAATCCGGACGTCTTGCGGCGAAAACGTCAGTGATGGTCCAGTTTGCTGGTTGTACTGTTCGAATACCCGAACGTTGCTCCCAGCCATGGTGTCAAAAAAGCGTAGTTGCTCGATAACGGTGGCTCTCAATGCAGGCATCGTCATGATCATGCCGCGTACTGAAAAGTGACTTATTGAAACGTCACAAGAGCCATTCTTGTCCACTTTCAAGTGCGGAAAATTTTTCAGACTTTGACATCGTTCTTCCGCGTATTAAAGTTTAAAATCCTTGACTCTTGCACACGATAAGTTAAAAGTTCGAAAATAAGAAGAAAATTCAAACCAATTAGCAAATCCCTTTTTCTTCAAATATTTAGCTTTTTGGTTGGGATGACCATTGGCCAAAATAAAAAAAGGCTTCGGTTTGGTTGATAAAAGGAGGTTCGAATGATCAGGAGCGGATCAGATCGTATTTAGTCAAGCAAAACTCACACAGATTGAGAGTCTGCGCGTTTCGTGTGTGTGCCCCCATGAGCATGATGTCGTCAATGAAGAATCTCGTCAGACGAGGTCGCGGGCTCGCGTCGTTGCCTCCTGAGCCGCCACCGCCGCCGTTCTGCTGCGGAGTGTTGTTTGGCTGCACGTCGACCGGTTTGCTGTTTGAGTCGTTGTTAAAGCCATCTCTTCCGCCGTGCGGACTTGATCCCATTGAATTGATTGCTGGAAGAGATATAATTAGTGGCAAAAAATTTTTTTTTCAATGGAATTCTTGACTTAAAATTACTCACAATACTTTCCTATTATCATTATTCGCTCATACCCAAGGGCTACTTGAGAATTTTTGGGTAAAAAGGGTATGCTTGAAGTAACCGCCCGCACGTGAGACCTAACCTCAAAACTTTTTGGGTTGGAAGAGCTAAGCAAACATGTTCAGCTAGACCCTGCAGGCAACTCAGGAAACCTTGTCGAACGTTTTTCGGAGAGTTCAGCTAGAAACTGGCGACGTGGCCTAGTGGTTAGGGGCTTTTATTCTTCTTTTTTTGACATTGCGACTTTGGTTTTAATCCTTTCGGCGGATATCTTTTTTTTTTTTTGCCGACAATGAGCTCATTGTTTGCATATTTTTTGAGCGTTCCTCAAAAGTTTACGATAAAAAGTTATCAAGTCACCAAAAAATTATTTAAAAAAATCAGCCCTTTTTCTAATATCTTCAATTTTTCTAAATGCTAATGGAAACCATCTGGTCACATAAACTTCCGCCAATTAGACATTTTTTTAAATTTTGAAATTTTATTTAAAAAAAATTAGAAGTTTTTTTCGAGCGAGCAATAAGCATAAATAGCTTTACTCGGTTACATTTCGCTCTTTCTTCGAAAGAAAGAACTTCTGTCTTTCAAAACTCATCACGAAAAGAAAAAGTTTTTTGCATATTTTGAAGAAAGTTATTGAAAAAATTATTTTAAAAATTTACGAAAAATAAAATTATGAGCCTTCTAGTCGAAGGCTCCGGGGGGCATATACGCCCTGGAGAAGCAGAGTTTTATTTTTGATTCCGAGTAGTTTTACCTGAGCTTACAGTCTAACAAGGGATGTGTTTTGGGGGCCGGTTGAACTTTTGATAAAAATTTTGCTGAAATGTACTAAAAACCTACTTTTTTAGGAACACGAATAAAATTTATCGCAATAGATTTCTTTTTCGAGATGTGAAGCTACACGATCAATGAATACTGCAAGGCCAGGGGGTATGTGGCTCGCGTACGCACGCTTCTTTCCAGTTTAGTGGCTAGCATCCTTGCCCCGTGAAGACTTTGATCATTATTGGAATCTTTCGAAGAAATTCGTTTTTGTCAGAAAATTCTCTGTAAGGAATCTAGTGGAATTGTAAAAATTGATCAAGACTTTCTTTTCAAAGAATCACAGTATCTCATTTCGATTCATTTTAAAGAGATTTTCAAGATTTTCAATTTGATGCCTTGGATAGAAAACGTTTGCTGAAAAAAAAATAAATGGAAAAAGAAAACATACATTTGGCCAACATTTCTCCGTAGGGATTCTTGTGCTTGAGCTCTTGCTCCTCTTGCAACTCGTCGTCGTCATCGTCGACATCGATGGGCTCGTCTTCGGTCTCGATGTGTTCGTTCGGCTTCGACGTGCTGCCGGCGTGTGCAGAGGCCAACGATAGTGGCGACGAAGCGGCGCTCGAAGAGAGCGTTGTGGAGCCTCTGGCCTGGGTCCGATACGTTTCCATCTGCGGCGGCGGCAGTTGAGGCTCGTGCACCGCTTCATCCAGTGAAGAACGCTCGAGTTGCGTCAAGTTCTAGATAAAAAAGTACGATAAACTCTCACGAAAACAAGAATTGATTAATTTAAAACTGAGATGAAATGAAGTGGTTCGCAAAATTTTGAAAACGAAAAAAAATCTCTTAATGAAAGTATGTACAGTACTGGCCATACAGGTATGCGTTTTGTCGCCTCGTCATTCAAATGGACTATATGAGATCAATTTTGTTTGAGAACACCCCGTTTTATGTTAAAAAACTTCAAAACACCCTCAAGAATAGTTTTACACTATTTTCCTCGGCTTTCTCACTTTTTCCGCTCTCCAGAACTCACTAATTTTACTAGGACCAATTTTGAAACCTCCGATTCGAACAGTTTTTCTGGATTTTCGGGCATTCAATACAGTTTTTATCGAAAAATCGCTTTTCAATGGTGAATTCGAAGATAACATATGGCTGAATTGCAAGCTCCTACTTTCTGAAGACTCCTGATTTTTTGCTGACGCATTAGTTTCACAAGACCAAAAACTTATTTTCCCATAAAATTTAAAGTACCTTTCTTTTATCTGAGAACTAGAAAAAGAAGTTACAAATTTATCTCATGATCTAAAACATTTAACTATATGAAAAAAAGTCTTTTATCATCTTTCCCAAGATTTGAAGCCTTCTAAGCAACACTTGCTGAAACGAAGTTTCGAGAACTTTGAGAAACTCATTATAACTCACTATATCTTTTGGATAAGTAAGCGAAACACAGTCAATCTTTTCACATTTTTATTCATCAATGTTCTAAAAGGGTTTCAAAAACTGAGATAACGAATCGAGAATGTTCTGATTTTGAAAAACAAGCCTAAACGCTTCAAATCAGAGGTTTCAAAATTGGTCCTAGTAAAGTTAGTGAGTTCTAGAGAACGGAAAAAGTGAGAAAGCTGAGGAAAACAGTGTCAAACTATTCTTGAGGGTGTTTTGAAGTTTTTCAACATGAAACGGGGTGTTCTCAAACAAAATTGACCTCGTATAGTCCATTTGAATGACTAGGCGACAAAACGCAAGGTCCTTCCAAAGAAAAAATCACTACACTCTTACTATCGGGTTGGTAGGGGGCTGATTAGGTTTTTTGAAAAGCCGAAACCTTGTTTTACAAGTAAAAAAAAGTTTTTGATTGAAAATCGACGTTTCTTTGAAAATATGATTTTCCGAATCTCAAGAGAAAAATTTCCATTTTCACGATTTTGGGTTTTTTGCTCAAAGATCTGGTCTGATTCGAGCAAACTAGTTTTATCTCTGAAAATAAGTAAATGCATAGCTGTTTAAAATCTGTGCGAAGTTTCATGTCATTTGAGCCACTTTCAGAGGAGTTATGCTTAAATAACCACTTTGAAATACCTTTATGGCCTGTGCTGTAGTTGCGCAATTTGCTTCACGTCGCGTTTGAAAATTGAGAGGACAAAAAAAAACTAACGTCACGGAGAGCCTGCTCCTGTTCAAAACTCGAATTGGCGTCGTCTTTTCGATCCACTTTTTTCGCTTCAATCTAAATCAAAAAGCTTCGATTGAAACAACGAAGAAACTTGCACAAGACCTTTTTTCGACCGCCGTGATGAGGAGGACGACATTTTTTCGCCTTCTCATACTCTTCGTCCCCATGAACAGCTTTGATGTGTTTACGCAGAGATGAAGGATCCGTGTAGCTTTTCGAACATGTCGTGAGCGGACAGCAGTAGGGCTTCTAACAACACAAAAAAAAAACTTGAATACATATTGGCTCTGAAACTTTTTCATTTTGTCTAGGGCCTGATTACCACGTCATTAAATAGACACTGAGGATGGTATCCACTTAGAAAATATAAACCTCAATTTAGTTTTTGGCTATATAGTCCATTTAGCGGATTGCTTGTCTGGGTCTGCCCTACAGCTACGTTGCTCGGCTTTCCTACTCAGGTAAAGTTTGGGAACCTTCTGCTTTTTTTAGGCAAGTGGTCGAACGCCTTTCACATAGCTTCCTAAAACCTTCTACGTAAAAAAAAAAAGCCGTCCAGAAGCATTCCAGCAGGCTTCTGCCATGTATTTTAACCTTCCAAACACCTCTTAAAAGCTTTCCCAAGACCTTTTAGCTTCTCTACACATTTCAATCTCCTCCTTTCCAGGATTCGCCTGAAGAAGTTGAAAAAAGTGAACAACATCACGTCGCTAAAAGCGCTGAAAGGGCTTTTCTTCCAACTGGTTTTTAAAAAGCGCTAATTTTCTCCGAAAATTCTTGATTGGTCATCAGCATGCCTTACCAGATCCGAGTGTGTGCGGTTCTGATGCTTGGCGCGGTCGCTAGCGTTGCTAAAGGCCTTCGAACAGTTGGGATACTCGCACTTGTAGGGCTTTTCGCCGGTGTGCGTCCTTCTGTGCGTCTTGAGATTCTCCAAACGACTGTACTCTTTGTTGCAACCCGGAAACTGAAGAGGGAAAAAAAGACTGGATGAATATCTTAGGCCACCGACGTCACAACGATTGGGCTTTTCTCCCGTGTGTCGGCGAACGTGAACAATGAGCATGTAGAGGGCGCGGAACGGTTCCTCGCGGTCACATCCGTCCCATTCACACTTCCAAGCATGGTGTTTCTGGTCCATGGAAGCAACATGAAGGTCGTGAACGTGGTCGACCAGCGCCTGAAAAGCTAGTTTTTTTTAAAATGAACAGATGTCATGAACTGGGTGGATTTCGTACAAGAAATATTGAATGAAAACAAAAAAAGATTTAAGAATAAGATGGGAAAAACCATTTATATGTTTGCAAAAAGAGACCACACTATTTTCTTTTGCTCAAAAAACATATGCAATTAGTATTAGCACGATTCGTTCAACTTCATCAACCTCACTAGGACACGTTTTTTCTCCCAAGCCAAATTGCTGAATTTAACTTCAAGGATAGCGCTCTTTTGTCGTAATGTGCGTATTTTGCTGACTTTGAAGCTTTACAACTTAACAAAAAGATTTATCGCGAGAATTTTCTTTCTTTTTTTGCAATCAGGAGGTTTCGTAGTCAGAGTAATTTTGAGAAAAACAAGGTGACAGTACTTTGGAGGGGCGATTTCAAGATTCGCTAAATTACTTTGAACATGAAACCTGATTATTTCAGGTTGAATGTTTCATTGATGAACTTTTTCAATTCCTGTGAGGAGCTCCGTAAATTCAGATTTCAATGGTGGTACCACATTGAAAATTATTTCCTTAGGACAGCTATTGTTAAGAAATTCTCCTATAAGTAGGACTGTCCTAAAAAAAAAAGTCGTGCAACTTTGACGAAGTATTGTAATAATTTTTTTCTGCGTATCCAAAAAGTTAGCTATAGAGGTTTTTTTGATTTCTCTGTTCTGTGCTTTTCGGAGCAAAAGTCGAGCCTTTTTCAATCAGTGATCTTTCAAAAATTTTCTTGTCCAAGTTTGAGACCCATTCCTTGCCGTTAGATGGCTTAGGCTTTTTTTTGGTAAAGGAATAAAAAAAGAAAAAAAACGTACCTTGAGAGTGGAAAACTTTTGCATACAGCCCCGCCAGCGGCAAACCACGTCCACCAACGTCTCGACATCGACCTCCTCGCCGTGCTCTGAGTGTTCCAGTCCCGATCGTGCACTGAAAACACTACGTTGACGGACTACGGGCTGTGGGCGACGCTACGAGGTTTTGTAGGAAGAGGTCGACGATTCTCCACCCAAAAGACGTTTGAAGGTACCCGGTGGTCGACCAACTCGCTTTCCCTTGAAAAAAAAAAACAAATTTAGCAAACAGGAGGAAATTTCAAAATATTAATCATTATTTCCTGATTCAGATGTGAAGAGCTCTTTTTGGAGGGAAAAATAATCCAATTAACAAGCCTTCGGGAAAAGGTACATACATTTGCGGTTAGACGGGGCGGTGCAGGATGCCCGGTGGTGCCGTTCCAAGAATTTGCGACAGCCTTGCTCTGCACGCCGCCGAAAGGTTGATGGGGAGGAGGAGGAGCCAATGTTGTTGGTGGCGGTATTGATGCGTCGACCACCATTAGTGTATCGAGAGAGCTTTGAAAAGGTGGCGGAATGTACGTAGCCCCGCCGGCATTCTTTCCAAAAGAGGACTGCGTCGTCGTCGTTGTGGCTGGCAGAATGGTTTCGCATTTCGGCAGCGAATGCGCTAAAAATTTTTAAGTAAGAGTTGGGATTCATCGTTTTGTGAATGGAGAAGAGAAAAATATGGCTCACTGTGACTGCGATCAATTTTGGTTTCACAGGAGTTTTGCTTGTTGTTATCGTCGACGAAAAGAGAATCGCAAGGCTCGCGAGCGCGTTTAACCTTTTTTCGCGAGCGCAAAGACGGCGAGCCGATATGCTTCTCGATGTCATCCTTGCGCACAGCTCGACCGCTCAGCACTTGTTTTGGAAGATGCAATAGTTTTTGCCATTTGGATTTCTTGGACTTGTCACGCTCCTGATTGTTATGATCACAAGGCTGCTCGACCTTGCATGAGCCTTCCATGAGGTGGAGACATGTGCTCCTAATATTATCTGTTAAAAACTTATTTCCGTTAAGGGTAGGACGAGTAGCACATTTTTGCAAGTTTTGTTCAAACCATTCCGAAAAGAAAGAAGGCGATTTTTTGTTACGAATTCTTGATTTTTCAGTCAAAATGTTTATCTTTACCCGAAAATTTGAGTTAAGAAAAAAACTACATTCAAATTTTGAGATTAAAAAAAATCTTACTATTCCGTACGCCGGAAAAGAGAGTGAAAGAAAAAAAAATTCACAAGACTTTGGGAAACGAGAACATTATTGGCGTGTTCGTCGGAGAAACGGAACATGCTTCAAAACGAAAAATCGTGTTCATCGGTGCGCCAAAGTTGCTCCAAAACAGTACTTATTTTTGTTTTGGAGCAATTTTCTTGCGTTTCGAAGAAAATTTTGTTTCGTCCGATGAACACGCCATAAATAAAAACTGCCTGACGCACAAGCGTTTTTGTCAACCCCTCACCGATGGTACGATTTTACCTCAAGTCCGCAAATCTCCGGAGCCGTTATCTCAGAGTACCGTAATCTCAAGGAAATCTCAAGGCTCCGAAACCACTTACACCCAATTTTGCAAAATTTTGTGGACTATATCGCAGCGAGAGTAACGCTATACCGCGGGGGAGCCGCGAGCGATATCGCTCGTCTCTCGCTGCGACCTCGCAAACGTCTTGCGCTATATCGCTCTCTGAAAAAAATTTTTTTCTTCAGAAATGTTTTTTTCTTTGAATTTGATTGATTTCATCATAAAAAGTCAAAAAAATAAAGCACAAAAAAAAATTTTTTTGAAATTTGAAATTTTTTTAAGAGGGAGCGATATCGCAGCGAGACTTTTTAATAATAAGACTTTGACGAGGTCGCAGCGACATGTTGACGAGATCGCAGCGAGAAGCCATGGCTATATCGCGTGCGGCCCGCTGCGATATCGTCAATTATGTTGGGTGTTCGTAACGCGAACGGGACGCGAATCAAACGTGTCGGGGCATTTCTAGTGACTACTTTAATAGGCTCAACGCATTTAAAAGATCCCTAGAGTTGCCCAGAAACGCCCGGAGCAGGCTTGTGCGAGGGCCGGCCCGTCACTCTCCCGGAACCCGACCATTTCGTAAGCCCGGCCCGGCCCGGCCTTAGCGGGTCTCAAGAAAAAATGGCCCGCCCGGCCCGAATCGCGTAATTTTTTTCTAGTCGGATATCAAGTTTTTTTACGACAAAAATTACGTTTTTGCTCATTTTTTCTATCAAAGTTTAACAAAAACTATCAGAAGTAAAAGTCACATTTTGGTGAAAATTTTTTAAATGAAATTTTAAATTTTTTTTGAAGCCCGGCCCGAGCCCACGCGGGCTTTTTCCTGAAAATAAGGCCCAAATCCCGTGCCAGGCCGGCCCGGGCCGCCCGGCCTGACGCACAAGCCTGGCCCGGAGCACGTCCGTTTCGCGTTACCAATGTCCGAGTGAACACGCGAAAGAACTTTTTTAGAATTTCACAATTATAGTCTGTTCAGATTTTGAATGCCAAGCAGCTAACTCCGCCCCCAAGGCTACAATATCTTTCGCGTCAATTTTTTATTTACAGATGGCGATGGCCCTTCAATATAGCTGCACTTTTGACTTATTTTTCTATTCTTTAGATCAAAAAAGATCAAATATAGTCCCGCGCAATAAAACATCGACGCGAAAAGGTACCTCGCATGCTGAGCAGGTGTCTCAGCGCGTGTACTCGTATTAAACCCGTGTTTCTGAGGTTATTTTAGTTTCAGTGGGGCAAAAACGGGGGAACAATGTGTGGAAGAAAAATATGTAACCCAGCTTTGCTAAAACGGGGTCTCAGCTGGGCTCAGGCTTGTGCGAGCGCCGGCCCGTCACCCTCCCGGCCCCCCGACCATTTCGTAAGCCCGGCCCGGCCCGGCCTTAGTGGGCCTCAAGAAAAAATGGCCCGCCCGGCCCGAATCGCGCAATTTTTTTCTAGCCGGATATCAAGTTTTTTAACGACAAAAATTACGTTTTCGCTCATTTTTTCTCTTAAAGTTTAACAAAAACTATGATTTGAGAAGTAAAAGTCACATTTCGGTGAAAATTTTTTAAATGAAATTTTAATTTTTTTATGAAGCCCGGCCCGGGCCGGGCCGCTCGGCCTGCCGCACAAGCCTGGCTGGGCTAAAAATTGCCATAAGTTCTACCAACTGTGCTTATACGGGTTTAATACGGCGGCACCCACTGAGACCCCGTGTTAGCACGGCTGGGTTAACCTCCTCAGCATGCGAGTTAATTAGTTTTGAAGCGTTCAAATATTCTTGTTGCGTGTCGAGCAAAAATGTAATGAAAATTAACATCCTTCACAAATGATAATACCGCAGCGGGCAGGCAAGCAAATTTTCACTGGAATTTGCTTCCTCAAATTCGTTCCTTATTCTTTCAAACAATGCCCCTTAAACAATTTTTAAAAAAAGGTGTCAGCGATTTTGCTTGCTGCTCCCCCACCACATAGCGTTATCCTCGCTGCGATATAGTTCATACATAAACGAATTGGGATCAGGTAATAAAAGTATAACGAGGATATACCTCAAAATGGATCAAAGTAAGATAATAACTTGTTCATCGTCATACTTCCGGTATATACTTTAGTACTCGGAGCTCTACCGGTAGTGCTGAGTGGTATACGGTATAAGTCTATCGCATTTTTCTATAATTTTGCAAGGTATAACCGTGGTATCATCCTTAGGCTTCAGAAACTTCGATAGACTACTGGCAGTATGGCGATACACCTGCCCGATTCGTGCGTGTAATATTGGTTGTATTGTTGAATTTGGAGGGTTAAATGAATAAGAAATGGCTCAAATCATTACTTGCAGTTGAATGATAGCGATAAGAATGAGCAGCAGCAGCAGCCGAGAGATGCACTGGAGGAAACGTCGCCTGTCGCAGGTACGAAACGGCGGCAGTGCTGCTGTTTGGCGAGCAAGAGCTGTAGGGGAGCCCTGTGGCCGAGCCCAGGAATCCCATCTGGTTGGCAATCAGATGAGATGCACTCTGCGGATTCGGAGACGCGTACATTCTGAAGTTGGTTTTTTTGCCGTTTTTTTTTCAATGACGTGTGGAAACGTACCGAAACTGTGGCTGCACATATGTCTGATCTTGAGCTGCCCGCATGCTACAAGTGTTGCTCTAAAGTTTAGTGGAGTATTGTTGTTGGTGTGTCTAGGATTTGATTACCTGGGCGATGGGGGCCATGTCATGCATCCCGCCGAAGGCGGTCACGACCGATTACTCACCAAAAGGAACTGAATTTTTTTTTTGCCAGATGCGAGTTGAAATAGAAGCGAAAAAAAAAAGAAAATTGGACGAAGCAGATACTTTTGCTTTTTTTTTACATACACTGGTCAAGAGAGGTCGATACAAGTAGGTTCCGGGTAGCAACTTAAATTCAGTCGGCGTACGGTAATTGGTGGTCGTTTTTATGCGATCTCTATAGTACCTGGATACTACTGGAGAGGTATTGCGATGCTACCGGGTATGATTTCTGACGAACTTATGCTTTTCGGTACCATAGAAGTAGCTAATAAGTAGCTACCTACTTTCATTGACCTTCCGATTCAACTTTGTAGGGAATGTGCTCTTTTAGACTCTTCGAACGATCTTTTTTCTTTAGGGTATTTTGAAATTTTCGAATTTGTCCTCCTAAGCTCGTTTTCAATAGAGTGAAAAGAGAAAGTTTTGTGTGTGTGTGTTTTTTTTTGTGTGTTGAGTATATTTCCATGTTCAATTTTTTTCGAGTGTGGAGCCCATTCTTAAAGCCTTCATGAATAGTTTATCAGTGTTTAGGACGGCAAAAAAAAAAAATAAAATAAAAAAGAGGGAATTCGGGCAAAGATGTTCATTTTGAGTCGATTTTTACCACTTGCCAAGTGAAAAAAATTATTTTTTACAAGTTTTTGGAAGATCTTTTCGAAATACGCTCCAGCAAAATACTGATTCGATTAGTTAGCTGCTAATCGATAAGATGCGGCAAAAGACAAACTTGTGCCATTATCTCGGCTTGATGTAGGTCTACTGCTCATTTGATATAAAGAGGGGCAAAATATTAAAATAAAAAAATTGGAAGAATTTTCCGACAGTTGGTTAATTTTGTGAAAATTTATATCTTTAGCTTTTACATACAAATTTAATTTTCTACACAGGTAAAATTTTATTGAAACGGAAAAGGATCTGAATTTTAATGAATTGATAAATGCGATTGGAAAAGTTAAGAAATTTTAGTCGAATCGGGTCCAAAATTTTTGTCAAGTTTCAGTTAATGAACAAAGTAATTTCAAAGAGATAGAGAGAGAGGAAAAACGCAACCGCCGTAATCAAATGTATAGAGACACACAGTTGGACCTGCCTCGTTGGTAAAACTGATAAGGAAACACAGAGAGTGCGGTGGGCGGGAAAGAAGCGTAGCAAAAGCAGAAGTTTGCCACGGACACTGCCGCCGCCGACACCACCACAAGACGCTTTCGAGTTATTCGGCGTGTGGCCGCTGCGCTCATCTTGAACGTTAATTCGAGGCAGCATTAGAAAACGAGAGGTTATGTCAGCGCGACGGCGGAACATGACATGCGAAAAAAAAACAGCTGAGAGGGCGCTGCGCGGTAGCATGGCAGCAGTGCTGTAGGCAATCAAAAAATTTCAAATCCACTAGTGTGAGTGTGTGTTTTCCTTTTTGTGGCACATCAACGATACCACGTTCTTTAATACGTCTATTACGCGGTTGACGGCTGCTCGCCGTGTAGACGTTCAAAAAAAAAAACCATCCAGTTTGGCTTTTCGGCGCATCCATATTCTCTGTTTCAATAGCTTGCAATATACTAAAAGAATGTGTATTGATTTTAATAATCCGCTGCCATAGGTAGAGAAAAGCTCGAAACTGCAGCCGAACGCCGTCGAATCCTCACACAGCAACGCCCTCTCAGTTGCACTCACGCTTTTTCTACCAGGAAAAAGGAGAGAAGAGACGGCAATAGATTACAAAATGAAAGAGAAAGAAAAAGAGAGAGAGAGAGAATGTGTATGTGTGTTGCAGGCCGATGGGGACGGAATGGCGAACGCGCCAGCGCCGCCGGGCGCCACAAGAAAAAGCGCAGACGACCGAGAGAGTGTTGGCAAACTAGAGGTGTGTGAGCCAACTTGTGGCGATTTATAGCCCGAGTCTTGTGTGGCGCGGCGCAGCGACTGTCTTGGTTGCCTCTCATTTCAATCTAAATTGGCAAAAAAAAACTTTGAATGATTAAAATAAAAAGATTGGAAGAGCCGCGTTGTTGCAAACTGCTTTGGATAGTCTTTTTTCTCATAATGTTCGATACTTATGAAAAAATTTGATTTTAAAATATTTTAATGCTTGAAAAAAGATTCTCTGCCTCTATAATTAAAAAAAGCGATTAAAAAAAACAAAGATTGAACCGATAAAAATGAAAAGAAAAACGACGGCAAAATCAAGTTTGAGTTTACCGGTTCTGCATACTAAAAACCGATTGTTAAAAAAAAAGAAGTTTTTTATTATACCGGCGAAGAAAAAAATTTTTTAGGCTTAGGTTCATGAGAATTTTTGAATTTTTCTTTTTCGCTTCAGAAAAAAGGCCCAAACTAAAATAAGAGTAATATTTCCTTGGTAAAGAGGCGTTGCTTTGTGTTCCCTAGGAAATGAAACAATGCAGTACTATCGGAAATGCTCGGCATGTGTAGACTTGCAAAAATTCGAACGGCGACTTTTCCGATTTTTTTATATCGCTCGGGCACTTTCCGACGGAGAAGATTCCGACCTCTTTTCTCAATAAACTCATCGCTTTGAATCTTCCTCTATAAAGTAGGTAGCTGATTCATGATTAAAACACAAAGAAATAGGGGAAGAAAATGTTAATAAATGTTTTATAAACCAAATAATATGAGGGAAAGAAAAGTCGGAAAGGGATTCGTCGGCAAGTTCCCTAACGGTATGAAAAAATCGGAAAAGTCGCCGTTTGAGAAATTCGAGAATTCGCTGGCTTTTTTTTCATAACACCCAGTTTTTTATATGTTTGGGCCGGCAATTGTTTAGATGAGGGTATGTGTGAATAGTGGAATAGTTTCTCATCATGAGGAAAATGGAATTCATCCTTACACACGACGAGATGCTTTACCAAATTTTCCGAATATCAGACAAAATTAAACAAATTTGTATATAAATCTTGACAGGGCAGTTCACGAGCAAAAGCAAAGTAGTTTTCTTAAAGTAAATTTTTACACATAAAATTTTTGTTGGCTTTGTGAAACTTCCCTTTTTCATAATGTAAATAAGACCTTTTCTCAATAAAATTGACAAAAAGTGTGCTCAAAAACTTTGATTTCTTTTTTTCTTTCAACTGACTCTTTTTGAAATAACTCAATATTGGAAAAAGATTAAGTCTAAGAGAAAAAAAAATGGAGCCAAAAGTTGGCAACGAAAGGCAGAAGTTGGGGAGCGGCTCTGCCAAACGGAATATGCTTTCAAGTTGTGTGCTGCATCGTGTTTATATGAACAGTAACTGACTCTTGCAGATATCGCGCAGAATGTCCAGTTTGTGCGAATAGAAAAAAGAAGCCGCGCGCAGCACGAGGTCAAAAAGCATATGTTTGAAAACATTGTTTATGTTTTGGTCGGGACCCAGAAAAGTTGTTTTTTTTCTCTAAATTACTAGGCAAAAAAAAAACATAGTCTCCGGGCTCCAGTTACAGCATCTTTTATTATAATCAGCTAGTCAGAGTGCAACTGGATGAACATTGCACAGAAAAAGTTTCAAACTGCGTTTGAATTAGGGAACGAAAAGATGCTGCTAACTGAGATTTAAAAAAAATTGAAAATGAGCAGAAAAGCCTGCGCAGAACAGAAGACTGCTCGCTAAAGGAAATTACCTACGAGGAATCCATTAGAAGCCTCGAACCATGTCCATTTCATTGTATCCTCGTCGACCAGACAGGTGCAACCGGCGCTCCGATTGGGTGCTTTGCCGCCACCGCTTCATGAACACTTTCTGCAAGTTTTGGCAAAAGTTGAGAAAAAGATATTTCGACACTTAAAAAAATGTTCAGCTGGAACGACACATTTTTTTTTCTCAAAGCTTATATCTACACGAAATTTCATTAGAAACTGTTATTTTAAATAAAAATGGCAGAGCCGAGAAGAGAACATGCAAGGTTAAAAATTTTGCAACTTTCAATTTCCAATTTTTCCAAAATAGATTTCTTGCAATTTTCCTTTAAAAATGCCTCATTTTACAGATTTCTACTCGATGTTGATGAAGAGAAGGATCACACAGGGCGCCTCGATCGATAGAGTTGGGTCATTCGTTGGCGACCTTTGCTGTGGTGGACGTTGTCTTCAAACCGCTGACCTAGTTCATTTTTCGTTTTCATAATTCTTCGTTTTCTTCTTCTTGCCCCGTGCCGAATTTTTCAAAATTTAAAAAAAAAAATCCATAGAACAATTTTTGACTCGATGTTTTTAATGTTTTTTTTTCTTTCAGGAGTGGCTATGATCACGGTATTACTACAGTTTTTGTCGCTCATTTCATTGGCACGGTGCGATTTGTTCACATCTGTGGCCGACATGCAGTCTCTTTTGGAAACGGAGCGAGCAATTCCACAAATGCTTGGCAATTACCTGGATAAGGAAGAAGCACGGCTGGAAAAGTTGCGGAAGTGAGCTTGATATTTCGTTCTTTTCCGGTATTTCGGGAAAAAAAAAGTTAGCAAATCCTCAAATTAGTTCAAATTTGGCATTTGTTTTCGTCCGTTCTATAATTTTTTTTTTAACGTGGTAAACTTGCAGAGAAAAAAATTTTCCAAAAAAAGAGTTTTTTTATTATTTTCTGTGTGAAATTTTGAACATTTGTCTGTTTTTCGTTTTTCAAACGTGGAGAACATATGCTTAAAAAGGGTAAAAAAGTGTAGACAGTTTGACAAAGATTCAGATTTGAATTTTGTGAGAACTAGCTCATCTTTAACTCTAAATAGCGAGATTTTCTATGGCGTGTTCATCGAACAAAACAAAAGTTGCTTCGAAACGTGAAAAAGTTGCTCCAAAACAACAATTAGTACTGTTTTGGAGCAACTTCGGCGCGCCGATGAACACGATTTTTCGTTTGAAAGCATGTTCCGTTTCTCCGATGAACACGCCACTAATTAAAAAAAACTCCCACAAAAATTGTCAAAATGTGTATTTCGAGGCTTGCGGCCGCCTACAATCATCGTAATGAAATGTCGATTGTCAACGGGCTCAAAGACATTACCAACCCCATCAACGCCTTTCTGATGATCAAGAAAAAAGTTAATTGGGCCAAGTTTTTGGATAATCGGCTAACCATTTTGAGATTTTCGATTGGAAAAGTATTGAAAACTTGATGAGCAGCAATGAAGCCGACAGTTTTATTCATGACGTGGTCAGCGGTGACAATTACGGCGTAAGGTATCCGACGGAAGAGGATTTATCTGGAGCTGCAACGGGACTTTTGCGTCTCCAAGACACGTATCGTTTGGATACGAAGGAGATTGCAGACGGACGCATATACAGTGACCAAGGCAACTATACTTTTGATGGTGGGTTTGAAACCTGAAAATGATGCTTTGGAAACGGACTTGCTCCCACTTGTGACAAAAAGACGCAAAATTGAAAAAAAAAACAACTCATCCAGAGCATACATGGGCTAACCAACTAGTTTTTGTGACGTCACCACGTACCCCCTTGAAAAAGTACGTACTCACTCGCGGGTAACTTTCGATGTGAAATGACTATTAAAGTTGAGATTAAAATTAAATGGGACTATTATCTTTTTTTCGCGGTTATTTGACAGTATATTCAGCTAGATGTCAATACTCCAAAACAGAAATCATTCAACTGTTATCTTACTCCCCCGTACTCCCCCAAAATCCGAAAACAGATCTGTTTTCCATGTTTTTTTACATTATGAAGTGAGTTTTATGATCTGGCCGAGTTTCAGGCCTTTTGGACAAGTTTTGGGAATAATAATTATTTTGGGCCACTCTAAAGTGATATTTTAAATTTTGAAATTTTGGCTCAAAATCATTACTACCCTTGATCTTACCATAACTGAGGGATAATTTTCGAATTTCCAAGCCTCCGGACGTTTTTTGACCTAGTTACAGTGTTTCAAAGTTTTATCACTTGACGGTTTGCGTTTTTGGTTATCAAAAAAATCTATCTGTTTTCATTTTTTTATCATACATTATGAAGTGATTCCAAATTGTAAATTTGAAAAATCTACATTTGCAGTGGCCCAAAAAAATTATTCTTCTCAAAACTTGCTTAAGTTTAAAATTGATTGTCAGTTCAAAAAAACTGTGAAATTCGAGAAATCATTTTTCCTGGGGGTCAGATTTTGATTTAATATTTTTATTTTCCAAACGGCTGAAAAATCGGTGAGCATGTATAATTTATCTGTCGGTAGCATTTGAACTAGAATTCAGGTCGATTAATCATTTCTGGAATTTTTTATAAAGCGTTTTCTACGATTTTCCGCGATTTCATCTACCTTTCGGAGCTAGGCAAGAAGATTGAATGTGAAAAAAAACCCTGTTAGCCCATGTATGATCCAGAGCTGTACGCGGGCCAGCAGAGGCCAGCCGATGGCTACCCATACAATGCGATGCGAAGGGCCCAGCCGAGTCGGCCATGGGAACGCGCTATTGTAAGTTGTATTTGGGATCTCGCAGTTATTAATAACTGCGAGAGTAATTACTCTACTGAAATCGTGCAAAGTGCAGTGCCTATGCTGGCATTCCGCAAAAAAAGTTGCATGCATTCTGCAGATCAGAGCTTTGCATTTTGCATTTCTTTTTGGGCTCACTTTTGTACAGACGAGAAAAAGTGCAAAATGCGAGGTACTTCTGTGCAAAATGCAAATCACGGATTTGCAAAATGCTGGAAGCTTTTTTGCAGAATGCCGCCATAGGCACTGCACTTTGCAAAAATTCTGTAGAGTAATTATATGAAAAACGAAGATAAAATAGCGCTGCGCGTTTATTTGGCTAACAGGGCTTGCCATCTATGCGTCACGAGTTTGGCCGAGCTAGCTCGGTGGTGCGTTGCGACCTACCGGGCTGGCCAGCCTTCAAATTAGCCCTCCTCGTGCATAGTTCTGTTTTCACCTTTCAAGAACTGAGAAAAATATAAAAATGACAAGTAAGTCTTGCATTTCAGCGCGAGATTGCTTTGAAATAGCAAGGGCCGCCTACAATGAACAAGACTACTATCACACGGTCATGTGGATGCAGGAAGCCAGAGAACGTCTTGCCAAAGAAGCTGTTCCTTCTGTTAACATGGAAGACGTGTTGGAATACCTGGCGTTCGCTCTTTACAAACAGGGCAATCTCAAATACGCCTTGAAGCTAACCGAAGAGCTCTTCCAATTGAGTTGGTTTTTATTGTTTGGAAATTGAAAAAAAAATCGATTCGAAGCAAGAAGTTAAGATCCTCTTCACTCGAGGGCCAAAGGAAACGTCAAGTGGTATGAGGATTTGCTGGAGCAAGAAGGTGTTCGTCGAAGCGAAATGAGACGAAACTTTGCTGCCATCGTCAATCGCCGGCCGGAAAGCGTGTTGGGCAACGCCGAACGGACAATGTACGAAGCCTTGTGTCGCGGTGAAGTTCCTGTGGTTTGTCATCTTTTTCCTAGAAAAATTTGCGGCTGTCGATCGAAAAATTCCATTTCTTTTTTTTGAAAGCTAAATTTGGATTTACACACAATCATTTCATTTTTTTTTTACTAACGTGCATTTTTTCGCCCAGAGCGAAAAGGACGTCTCCAAGCTCTATTGTTATTATAAACGCGATAGACCATTCCTCGTTTATGCTCCTATCAAGGTGAAACTTTTCCGTGCCTAAACACACGTTTAATTCATTCATTTAAAATCCAGGTCGAGATAAAACGGTTCAACCCACTTGCAGTCCTTTTCAAAAACGTGGTCAGTGAGGATGAGATGGAGCGGATCAAAGAGCTTGCCAAACCAAAGGTCCTGGGATACACTCATTTTCTGTTTCAAACCCAAAAATAAATGCCTTTCAGCTGGCAAGAGCGACCGTGCACGACGCAGCCACGGGTAAACTGGTCACGGCAACGTATCGCATCAGCAAGAGCGCTTGGCTCAAAGGTTGGGAAGACGACGTCGTGGAGCGCGTCAACCGCCGCTTGGACCTTATGACCAACCTCGAAATGGAGACCGCCGAAGAGCTGCAGGTTAATATAATCTATATATATATATATATATATCTATATAATATATTAATATAGATTAACTCTGCAAAGATGGTCTTTGAGTCGTTTTGACAGATCAAAGTTTTGACCATTGGATTCATAATGACATTTCGAGATATCAAATTTCGATATTTCATTTAAAATGATCTCTCATTATAAATGACATGTTGATCTGTCAAATAAAACGTTACATTATTTAGACATGTCAACTTTTCATTTAGCCAATATGTTAACATTTCATATTTTAGGTGACATGTTATTAGAATTTTGACCAAAAGATTGGTCGAAAGATCATTTTTTCATACTCTGATATATATACACTGCGCGTCATAGTTAAAGGCGCACCTCAGTTTTCGCAGTTTTCAAAAGATATTTTGAACTTTCTGCAATTAAACCTATTTTTCCATAAACCTTAGCTAAATTGACTAACATCGGAAAGAGAACTACAGCAAACTCAGTGCAAAAAAGTTTCGAATTTCGTCAAAAAATAGTTTTTTGACAGGGTCCTAATTATAGACGCACCCTGGGTCAGCGCTCATTTTTTACGTGTGTTGGAACTTTCGTCTTTTTTTTGTTTCAAGTCAACACTCAAGTGAGTAGGACCACACAGCATTTTAAGCAACTCGAGATCTAGCAATTTCATTTTCGTACCATGCGAGAAGCGAAAACAATCGAAAGTTTCAAAATGACCTCTTCTCAAACTATCGGGGGCTTAAATCTGAGTTCGCGCATGAACGTAATGAAGTTCTTCAGAACAATAACTGAAAATTTTGAGATGAGAAAATTCTTGTGCGGTTCTAAAAAACTCTTTGAATCAGGTGTATTTATTTTTCATAGAACACCTGGCGTTAGTAATCAGAAAGAGTTTCGAGGATTTTAAATTCTTTTCGACCGTATGGAAGTGTCCTGTTTTCTTTTGCGGAACCGATTTCTAAAACAGAAAAAGAGTAAAACTTTGCTCGTTAGGAGATTCATGAACTTTCATTATTTTTATGTTTCCAATGTATGATAAAACTGGCTAGAATCAAATTCACTTAGTTCAGAAATCAAATTCACTTAGTTTTTTTTTGTTAGTTTTGGGTAAAATTAACGCTTTCGGTGATTGGGAAAAGTAATGGTCAGGGTGAGCAGAATCATCCGATTTCTTGCTTCTTTCTTGGTGGTCCAGTTGTCAGTCCAACAAAGGATTTATCTCAAACTCAAACTAGTTCAACCATATAAATAAAATAATCGAAAATAATATATAAAAAGCGTCAATAAACATAAAATTGCGAAAAAAAAACTAAATGAAACAAATGTTGGCGGCTGGCCGCTGGGAACAGCGCGGAACTTTTTGGTTGAACGTTTGGAAAGGATATATCCGTAAACGTTCGAAAATTGGAAAAGTTTATTTTTTTTTTGAACGGTCATTTTTTGAACGTTCGGTTTTGAGAAAACCTTAAACCTTTGTTGAGAAATCGGTTCAGATTGCCAATTATGGTATCGGCGGTCACTACGATCCTCATTTTGATCACGCGCGCAAGGAGGAAACCAAGTCTTTCGAATCGCTTGGAACCGGCAACCGCATTGCCACTGTTCTTCTCTACGTGAGTACACATTTTCCCTTCTCGAAAAAAAAATGATTTGCAGATGTCGCAGCCGCGATTCGGAGGTGGCACCGTTTTCACCGAGGCCAAGTCGACAATTGCACCGACCAAAGGCGATGCCCTTTTTTGGTACAATCTTCATAGGCAAGGAGACGGAGACTCTAGGACTAGACATGCTGCCTGTCCAGTTCTTGTCGGCATCAAATGGGTTATTTATTTTTTTGTTCAGCAGTTTCAATATAATTTGGGGTATACAATTATACGAAATCAAGCGTAATTTGAAAAGTAAACCCTTGTCGCCATCATGGGGGAGCCACGAAACAAATGGATTTGGGTCTCCCCCGCAGTTTTTCAAAATTTAATCAACCTGAACTCAAAAAAAGTTTGAAAATTTAATCCACGAAAAATTTTTTAACTGAAAAACACATTCCTAAATAGCCTGCAAAAAACGCTTGTGTTTTATTGTCAAAAAAAGCCACTAGCGATATTCAGACCTCAAAAGGTTAGAAATTTCATTTAATCAAAATAGGATTTCTGAAGCTTCTTAAGGTGATGATGAGTTATTTTCACAGAAAGGCACTCAATCTGGGAATGTTTTTTCAGATAAAAAATTGTTGATGGATTGTATTTTCAAAATTTTTTTGACTTCAGGTTGATTACATTTTGAAAAACTGCGGGGAAACCCAAATCCTTTTGTTTCGTGGCTCCCCCACGATGGCGACTAGTGTTTCCCAAGTTTTGTTGGCGTCCGAAGGATGCCTTGAAATTTTTTAATTCGCTGAAATCGAAAAAAAAAAGTCTGAAGGAACATGACCATGAAAATGGGAAATACATCTCAACTTAGAGACGATGTTTACTGTTCAAAAAAATTTCCTGGATAATCTTAATTTTTTTTCAAATAAAAAGCTTCCATCTGCTCAAAACTTCTCATATATTTTCTTTTGCCTATATGAATCATTTTTCAAGGAATTTTTCTCTTCATTAGGATTTGAATATAGTTTCTAAATACAGTTTGAACATTTGCGTACGTGTTTTAACTGCGAACCTAAAACGAAATCTTTTTCCTCCCTGGGGGTTTTTTTGAAAATGACTTATTTAAAAAAA